ACCGACTGAAACAAAGCAAAAATTGTTGTCAGAATTCCTGCACTGTCAAATTAGTCCAAATTTAGGTATATTGTAGATATGAAATGATGGAAGCAACTGATAGAAAACAGAAGCGGCTAATTTAACTAAAATGGTATACATATATGAGATCAACAGTTCCACCGATTTGGAACTTAGATTACATCACACATAAGACTTGGTTCAAAGTGACAAGTGCCCTGTTACCCTGAATTGTTGAATGAGGATCTAAGTATTCTATGATTTTCGAAGTTGAACATGTGGAATGATGAGTGGCTAATAATGAACTCACCAATGGTGAGGGATGATACTTTGTGCAGTGGAGGGCATATTGGGAGCTTCACTTGAGAGTTAGAAGGCAATGGTGGGGGAGGTAGACAAGCAAACAGATGGGTTATGAACTGTGTGGACAACTGCAAAGGCTACTCATGACTATGAATGGGTCAGAGTGTCCTTGTGGAAGTTGAGTTGATTGGGGTTTGGGTGTTGCCTATGCAAAGTTGACGCATGGAATGACGAGTGGCTAATAGAACTTTCTGAAAGGGGGGGTGGGGGGGTAAGTACAAGTGGACCATGTACAGCAGCCATGATGGGGTGATCATTGAGTGGACTCACCAACGGTGCAGGATGATAACCCATACGTGAATGAGGAACGCTCTGGGCATTCTGAAAGGGGAGGGGGTGGGTAGGTACAAGTGGACCGTGCACAGCAGCCTTGATGGGGTGATGAGTGGAATGGGCAGTGTGGTGTCGAGAAGGAAAAAGTGATCTGAAAAGTCAAAGTCAAAGTCAATATTGGGATTTTAGTTAGAACGGGACTGGCAGTATGCAGTACTGCACATTGAGTCTCAAATGTTGCTGATTGGCACTTTCAGCACACCAAATGGCATACTTGACAAGGCAGAGAGTTGTTGAAGCTTGCTTCTTGGAGTAGTAGTAGTAAGTAGTAGTGATGGCAGCAGGTACTGCTAGTGAACTTGTGCATTGCATGCAAAACAAAGTGTTTCAATGGTGTTTCACATCAGTTACTTTTATTTCGTGTGCTTCAAGTTGAATCAACCAAGCTTCAATTTCATAAGGCATTTTTGCAATAGATTGTTCAGTTGCTTTGTCCATTTGATATGATTCTCAAGCTATTTACATGATATCTATAGATTTTACACTTGCAGTTCTCACTGAGAACGTTGGGTGTTGAGTTCATTTTCCACCGGCACAGCTGGTGTACCAAGAAAATGCACATGGTCACGTGATTTTTTCCACTAGCAACAATTCGCATCATTTTGGCCTACTACTCAAAGAAATAGTGCAAAGTACACAAGTAAATATTTTACTACAAGTGTAATATGAAAATTGAGTGTGGAAGTCAAAGGCAAGCAGTGAGACTTTGATGAGGGAGCCCTCCTCACCAAAGCCTCACGCTCAAAGAGAAAACTAAGTAGTAAAATGTGTAATATACATCCTACAACTGTGTTAGACAGACATTGATTAGAAAAACAACACTTACCACAAAGAAACAGGGGGCACAGTATCATATACATCCTACAACTGTGTTAGACAGACATTGATTAGAAAAACAATGCTTACCACAAAGAAGCAGGGGGCACAGTACAACACAACTGCCAACAAACCAAGAACAATTGCTGAAAAAAAACAGGAAGTCAGTGACAAACACCCATCCCAAGACACAAGAGAAGCAAGAGGCGCACCACACACAAACCAAGCCAAGACCAGTGCTGAAAAAAAGACAGAGTCAGTGATACAAGAGAAGCAAGAGGTGCACCACACCAAACCAAGCCAAGACCAGTGCTTAAAAAAGATGGAGTCAGTGATAAACCCCCAGACCCAAGATAAGCAGGGGGCGCGGTGCCACACAACCACCAACAACTTAACCCCAGACCCAACAGACATTGAGGCAGAAGCAGGGGGCGCGGTGCCACACAACCACCAACAAACTAACCCCCAGACCCAACAGACATTGAGGCAGAAGCAGGGGGCGCAGTGCCACACAACTGCCAACAAACTAACCCCCAGACCCAACAGACATTGAAGCAGGGGGCGCAGTGCCACACAACCGCCAGAAAACCAAGACATGCACTGAAAAGGAGATAAAGTCAGTAATAAATCCCCCAGACCCAATATAAGCAGGGGGTGTGGTGCCACACAACCGCCAGAAAACCAAGACATGCACTGAAAAGGAGATAAAGTCAGTAATAAATCCCCCAGACCCAATATAAGCAGGGGGTGTGGTGCCACACAACTGCCAGAAAAGGAACCCCCAAGACCCAAGGGAGCACTACAGACAGAGGCGGTGAAATCAAAGGTAGTCAGCACCAAAGAAAAAATGTACATAGTACTTACCATAGGCGCCACCAATACACCTTGATGAAAATAAACATAGAAAGAAAGTTAGTAAATGCATGAATAGAGAAAAGGGACTCACCATTAATGAAAGGCAACTCCAGTGCATTGCCTTTAGATCCTTGCAGCTGCAGTCTGCAAAGACCTAAAGGGTACACCAGAGAAGGTGCCCTTGAGAATGAGATGAGAGTGGAAGTGGTGAGGAGAGTAGAAGGGTGAGGAGAGTGGAAGTGGTGAGGGTAATGGGCGAAGAAAATGAACCGTGGGAATTGAAGTTGGTGTTGATATGATGCATGTGCATTTGTCCTTGTTTGGTTGTTTGGCACTTGGTGCGTTAATTCAACCATGTGTCTTTATTTGGCTTACCAACCAGTTTGTGTTTATTTGTACTACATGTGGAAAATATGTGTAAGTCTTTCTCTGTCTTTGCTTGATGCTCATCCAGCTTATCCAATCATAAGTCTTTCTGTGTCTTTGCTTGTGACACTTATCCTCTTTCTTCAGCTTACAAATCCAATGACGTGCACCAAGCAAACCTGCAAGAAGTCGACTGGAGGCACCGCCAAGCGTATCACCATCGACTTTGTGCCCTTACTCGACTTCTCTTCAATCGGCATTGATTCTTTGATCGATCTCAGCTTTGATGCTTCGATCCGTGTGGATCTCAACTCCGATCTGGTGATGGAGGAGACGGTTTTGGATGAGGAGACTGGAGGAGACAAGGTGGATGAGACAGATGGGATGGATGATGGGATGGTAGCTGGTGAGGCGCAGTCAAGTCACAATGAGGTGAGTACTTGCCCCATATCTTGTTGATCACTAATCCACGTGTTTTACAGTGGTGTATCGTCTGCCAGGATGGTTCAAGTGACCACAAGTTTTTGTACTTGTGTGACCTTTGTCCCCACATGATGTGCTCTCGCTGCATCGACATTCCTGTCGCTCACACTCACACTGTCAACTGCGATGATGTCACATTCACGTGCATATCTTGCCACTTGGCAGCACAAGACCCTTGTGCAGAAGAAACATGCACTGCCTACTTTGTAAGTCCTTTCTTCTTCTGTAGTTGTGTCTTAACATGCTATGTAGGGATTTTACAGGAACAACTTGCCAGTTTTGCCCACCTTCCTCCCAATCCGTGGTGCATTGGAAGTATCTCTGCAATCACAGATTTCTTCCACGCCTGTGGTATTAATCCACCTCACACTCATCAACTTTGAAACTTCCAGCGGACCTTTTGACCTCATGTACCACTTCCTCTCCCCCTATTTTCCATGTGGAGGTATTGCTTTCCACAAGCTCATCTTTGATGTCAGCTCCAAGTCAAAGAGTGACCAGTACCAAGTCAAGGTGGGTGAATTGGTCCATAGCCTCATGGCTCAGTGTAACTGGCCCTGCATCGTGTTTGCCATCTCCAACCATACTGATGACAATCTTGGAGATCCATTCCTGGGCTACGAGACAAAGAAAAAATTGTACGTGTCTGGCTGAGTTGACAGTGTGAGTAGTGTCTTTTATGACATGCTGTTTGCTCACTGTTCTACATACAGTTTTTGGGCATCATCCTCATGCCATGGCAACCGCTCATCAGAGCTGCCAAAGACTCTTACCTATGGTTTTTGTCTTGTGGCGCTCTAGTTAACAATGAGGAGTCATTTTTGTCCTTGCAAATGGCTGTCCTTCAGTAAGTACCATAGTCTATCATCCTGCACTTCTGCTGACACATACTCCCAGTCATCACATTACAGCTACCATCTGCTTCAATGCCATCCATTTCCAGCCAACCTTTGCGGCTCCCCTTCTTCTATCATTTGCAGAACTCGTCCTGACTGAGTGTCTGCCAATTCATGAAGTTTTTCTGGACATGCTTATGCAGTCCTACAAACTTGGCAGGCACACTGATGTGTTCTTATTGATGACTAATGCTGGTCATGCCTTGGACATCACTAGATTCGCATGGACCCATTGTAAGGAACACCCTTGGGGCCACCATCTTCCACTCCAATGCCCTCAGTGTGGATGGGCTAACTCTTGGCATTCAGCCAACCACAAGAAGACCTACTCCTTTGAATGCATGAACTCAAAGTGCAGGAAAGGGTATCTCTTCAGCCCCCCTGAGAACTCAGTCATCCTATCTCATGCCAGAAAGAGTGGTTCCTGCTGGATTGCAGTTTGTGTGAAGGCCAATTGAATTTCATCACTTTTTTTTACTACTACTTTTACCCATGTTAGATTTGCTTTTTTACATGTTTTGGATTACAAATTGATGCTTGTTTTCATGATCTTGAATATCAGTTGTTTGCCTTGGCCTTTGAAGACTTCAAAAATTAAGTGGTTCAAACACGATCACATGATTAAGTCGACGCGTCAAATACAATCATGTGAACTGATTGTTGATTGTTGAAAATCATCTTAATATGGTCATATAATTAGCAACTTAATTTTTGTACCTAAATATGGGAGTCAAATCAGTTTGTCGGCCAGCCGCCCTCCTACCGCAAGTACGCGTCAGCTCTATCAAAATTTTCAGCCTTTTTTTTTGACTGAACTATAATGTCTTCTGACTGGACAACTCGCTTTAAATATATTCTTGATCATTATCATCAAGATGTTGTGACTGCAGATTCACCACAGGCTGTCAAATGCATGGTGAAGAAAATTCATAAGGCTATACTTGAAGCCCAAAAGGAACTTGAAGACGAAGATGTGCCCCAATTGCCTACTTCTTTGAAAAAGGTAACAAAATTTTAATTGTGTATGTAAATACATTTGATTGATGGGTGAATGCTACATATAGGAAATAAAACAATACTGTTCCCAAATCATCACCTACAAGGAAGAGGCCAAGGTTAGAGAAGCCACAAGTCATCCGAGAGAAGCGTCCTTCTACAAGAAATCACTTACCAAATGGGATGTCACACAGAGGTTGTTCAAGGAAGAAATAGATAAGTTTGACAAGGCTGAGCAGAGAAGGAAAGGCGTCCAACAGTCAATCAAGTATCGGACAGGCCATGCCAGGGAATGGTTTGACAATATGTCACCTTCACAACAGGAGGAGGTCAAGTTGGCCATGACAAAATGGAATAGGGAGGAGGCACCAGAAGAAAGTAAAGCAATGTAAGTTTAACTTAAAATTTACTATTGATCTTGTCTAAGATCTTCCTTAAGGTATAGGAAGAACAACCTCAAGAAAACACTTGAAGACTTTTCTGAGCAAATCTGGTGTACTATGGGTTGTTGAGTGGTGATGTTCATTAGTCACAAGAAAAAAGCTAGTCAGACATTGTCTGTCAGTCTGTAAGTGATTGAACTTTCTTAATTCTCAAGGCTAACTAGACTAACTAATCACTATGTCTCAGACACGAAACTGACCCTCAAAATGTCAAGAAGAGGTTCTCTGTCAGCTCCAATGGGATCAAGGAGTGGACTGCAACTGGATTTGAATCCTTTGCAGAATGGTCAAAGACCGAGTTTTGTATGTGGCTAATTAAAATTTGAATCTTGCGCGCACTAACACTAATTATTCACTCAAACTAATAGATCCTTCAGATGATCAGGACCTCGAGGGTTCAGACAATGAGGATGCTGGCAATGAAGCTGCTATCCCTGAAATTATCCTAGATGAAGATGGATATGCCAAACTTCCTAGTCATGATGGTCTTGGCCTTAAGGGCCAACATGAATTGATGAGGGGTATATTTCATGCTTCATATAGTAAGTTCTTATGTCTTCATATTTGTTAGCATTTCATTGATGCTTTGGTTTGTAGAAGTTTGCACTGGGGGCTCTAGACCTGTGCCTTGGGGTGTGATGACTGCCGCCTCATCCAATTATTTGGAACATGGTTCTGTTCCCACTGCATTTGTGGTCAAAGACCCTTCTCATATGAAGACTGAGGAGGTAAATCGTCTATGGAACCATTGGGAACAAAATTCGGCTGCAAACAAGAAGCTAGTCATTTTTGTCAAAGCCAAGGATGGTGATGTTCACGCAAATGTAAGGAATGAAGAAAGAAAGAAGAAGTCTAAGGTGAAAAGAGTAAGCTTACTTGACTCAGATGAAGAAGACAGAGACTGGCTTCCTTCCTTGAACAGCTCTGATCTCACAGAACGTAGAACCCAGCCAGCCAACACAACCCCTGATGACATCTCAATCACTGATCAATATACATTCCTGGAATCTCTAAGCAAGAATGACAACTACCTGGAGCTTATAGATGCCATTAGGGATCTGGCAATCTTGGCCAAGCAGAAGGTCAGTATAACTTCCAGTGCATCTTAATCTTATAGCTCATAGTTCGTCCAATAGCCAACTTCAGTGCAAAATCCAGATTTGCCTATCTGGGCTAACTGGTCTTGGGGAGGATCTTATCTTCCTAAGGACATGCATGTGTCATATGACACTTTGAAGGTGAGCTTGGATAAGCTGCAAGCATGTCCAATCTCAGGGGCAGCATCTGCCATGCCAGTGATTCTAGGAATTGGGCTCCTCTATAGGGAGTCTAAACATGTCATAGAGTATGAGGAAGATGAGGCTGACCCCAATATGCCTTTCTACCTACCTTATTCTGCTTTCGATCTAGAATTCTTGGTTTCTCTTGATCAAGTTGTCTCACAGGTTAAGTGCACAGTTGTCGAGCACATAGAGAAGCTGACAAAAGAGGCACTTGGTGAGGACAACAACATGGAGGATGAAGATGAAGTTGGAAACAAGGTGACCGAGGAGGAAGTTGATCTCACAAAAGAGAAGGAGAAGCAGCAGGAGCAGGAGCAGCAGGAGCAGGAGGAGCAGGAGAAGGAGCAGGAGCAGAAGCAGAAAGGGAGGAAGAGAAGAATGCCCCAAGCTTCGACCAGTAAGTCTAAGAATCCCAGGATTGAGCCTGAAGTCTGCAGATCAGCCAGGACAAGGCAACCTTCCAAGAGAAACCAGAACTGATCTTATATACTCCTTTGTCTTCATTGCTGATCAATCTTGTACAATAAATATATCTACTTGTCAAGACTTGGACAAGAATTGAACCATTAGCTCCTACATATGTAGACGAAAAAAGGCCAGTATACTAATGCAAAGTGATAATTCAAAAGCTCTACACTGGCCAGCCATGGTCCTACGTATGTAGAACCAAGCTGGCCGGTTTGCTAGTGAAATATAAGCAAACTGGCCAGCTATGTTCCTACGTATGTAGAGCCAAGCTGGCTGGTTTGCTAGTGAAATATAAGCAAACTGGCCAGCCATGGTCTTACACACGTGGGGCCAAGCTGGCCAGTTTGCTAGTGAAATATAAGCAAACTGGCCAGCCATGTTCCTACATATGTATATACAGGCTGGCTGATTAACTAATGACTACATATACTAGCCAGCTTGATCCTCTGGTTAGTACACTTAAGGACTACAAACTGGCCAGCCATGGTCCTACATATGTACATACAAGCTGGCCAGTCTACTAATGAAATCAGACTGCAGTAGATATATCCTACATATACCAGCCAGTGGCTAGTATATGTCATATGATATATCAGCTGGCACTGATACTACATACAAGAGATTGGCCTATAATACCTTGGCCAGCACCAATCCTACATGAAAGACATTGGCATACTATATACTGGCCAGTACCTATCCTACATGAACTAATGATACTCAGGTGATAATCAAATAGTACACTGGCCTGCACTTGTTCTACATGCACTGGCCGAGGACTGGCTAGCCATGATTCTATGACCTTTTGGCACATCTGGGGCAGGGGTTCTACATGTAAAATGACTGAAGGGTCTGCAGGTGTACCCTGAAATTGAGAGCCTGTCCTCCGAACAACTAGCCCAGTCTGCGTCACAGTATGCATGCAATCCTTCTTCGACACAATCTCCTCCAAAATGAGCACATAAATTCAAGGTCCCACTGAGGTAACACAAGAGGCACTTCGCAGCAGCATAATAGCATGGTGAGGGTGCTGCATTGTGTTGTGCCAATGTGTTTACTGCAAAGACAATGTCTGCTCTGGTGCAGACTGCGAGATACAGAAGTTCACTAACAATCTTGTGATAGCGCATAGGGAGGTTTTGGATGTCATCATAGATGTCAGAGTCACGACCGAATGGATGGTTTGCATCGAGAGGCAGGAGAACAGGGTTGCAATCTAAGAGGTGTATGAGTCTGCCTAGCGAAGGAAGACGAGACTCAGCGGAAGTTAATAACAACACTATATTAATAGGTACCTAGCAAAGGAAGATGAGACTAGGTACATGAGTCAGTAAGTGTGTCAACTACACAATACAAGATGAGCTCACCTCAGCGGAAGTTAATAACAATGCTGAGGTGAGAAGATATTTGAAGTGAGTACATAAGGGTCTATGGAGGATCTGTGGCTGATGAGTGGAAGGTGCTATACAGTACATAAGAAAGGTAGTCAAGAATGCATAACGGGAATACTTTTTATGTCAACAAGAGGTCATATTCATCAAGGAGGTATGTGATATATTCGCCTTGATGCATCCAAAGCTGACAGGATGTGTGGTCATGCTTGAACTGAATGCCAAGAAAGCATTGGATGGGCCCGAGATCCTTAATGCCAAAGCGTTGGGCAATGTGACCTTTAACGTAGGCTAGGAAGGGTTTGGAATTAGAGGTGCCCATTCCATTGTCAATGTGCCATCCAACGAGGCAGTAGATCCTCCCCCCCATGCTGGGCCTGTTGTAGATGAAGACAGTGTGGTCAACAGCACACCTTGTAAAGCCAAGTTCTTTCATCACGGCACAGACTTGCTCATACCACTCCATGGCCGACTGCTTCAGGCCATATATCGTGCGCAGCATCAACCATACCAGGAGCGACCAATCTCCATCCTCAAAGCCCTTTGGCTGTCTCATATAGATCTCCTCCTTGAGAATCCCCCAGAGAAATGCCCTTCGGGTATTAAATGTGTCCAACTCCCAGTTGTTGTGACAGGCCAAGGCTGCAATGAACCGAATGGAGGCCATTTTGATGACAGGGGCGAAGGTTGCATTATAATCAACTCCAGGAACCTGTGAGAAGCCTTGCATGACCAGTTGCACCTTCTGGATTGGACCTCCCTTATTGTCCTCTTTGAATTCTAGCACCCAGCGACACCCTATGGCCTTGTGCCCTGGGGGGAGCTTCATAAGTCTATACACCCCCATATCCTTCATGGTCTGCAACTTGGCCTTCATCACGGTAAGTCACAGATTCCCATCGGGACGCTTCATAGCCTTGTTGTAAGTTGCTGGGGGAATGGAGAGGTTGTAGTCTGAGTTGTGTGGATTGCATTTCCTGTTGCTGTGAATTGCTACATGACCCTGTTCTTCAATGACAATGTTCACCACGAGCTCAGGGATGTCAGTGTTAGGTTCGACATTTTCAATGGACTCCTGCTCAGTGGTTTTGGAGGCATCCACCCCCTCAAGCGAGGTAGTAGGCACCCCCTCATGTAGGGTGTTCTCATGTGCACGGTCAGTGTGTACTTCATGCAGAGAGGTCAGGCGTGCTTTGGAGGTGGCTAACTCCTCAGCGTAGGTCTGTCCAGCCTTTGTAGGGACCCGGATGCGAGATGAGTGACATGGTTCAGGAGGGACCATAGGGGCAGATGAGGGCAATGGTGTGAGCTGAGTCACCAATTGAGTGGGCTGAGCTGGGAAGGAGGAATGTGTTGTGGAAGTGGGCCTATCATCACTGCTGTCTGAGTCTGAACTCATTGAATGAGAGGTGGAAGGAAGGTTCTCGTCAAAATGAACATTCCGAGCGGTAAAGAAGGCTCCCATGTCACAATCACGCAGGCAATAACCTTTGGTGCCCTCTGGGTAACCCATGAAGTATGCTGGGTGGGAGTGAGGACCGAGTTTTGGTTGTAACTCTGAAGGGATTCGTGCAAAGCAGCAAGATCCCCAAATGCGAAGGTGCTCTAGGTTGGGCTTGCATCCATTGATGATCTTGTAAGGTGTGACCCCTCGAGGCAGGGTGGACGATTCAGTTCTGTTCCAGAGGTAACAGATGGTGAGTGCAGCCTCCTCCCAGAGGGTAGGAGGAAGATTGGCTGTTTCCAGCATTGTGAAAAGTCTTCCCTCAATGGTCCTGATTGCCCATTTGGCCTTGCCATTTTGCTGATGTGCATATGGTGCCGAGAGTTGACACTCTATCCCTGCAGATGTGGGAACATGTGTAAATGCCAAGCTCATAAACTCCCCCCCATTGTCAGAGCGAAATACCTTCACTTGTCGTCCTGATCAGTTTTCCCAATGTTTGCATACAATCTCCCAGGCTTCTAAAGCCTGATCCTTAGTTGCTAAGAGTTGGAGACTGAGGAGGTTGCTGTGGTCATCCAGGAAGATGACAAAATGGTGTTTGCTGTGAGGCGTCACTACTGGGAAAGGTCCACAGAGGTCAGAATGCATGAGGTCGAGTACATGAGTTGCAGGAGGCATGGTGGACGTGGGATAAGGTTTGCATGGGTGTTTAGCCATGATGCAAGGTTCGCACATGCAAAATGGATGGGAAGTGTCTATTTTCATACTGGTGGCGAAGAGAGGGAGTCTTTTCACGGCATCTCCACCTGGATGACCTAATCTCGCATGCCAAAGGTCCCAAGATAATGGTACCTTGGCAAAGGCAGTTATTTCGAGATGTGGGGAAGGATCTGAAGGTGGGATGAACATGAGGTCGAGAAAGATGAGATTACCCTGCAGAGGGACATCACCGAGTACATTGTTATGAAAGACAAGTTGGCATCTTGGAGGAGACAGCTTAAAATTGCATTCCCACCCTTTTTTCAACATGCAGCCTACTGACATGAGGTTGATAAGCGCCCCAGGGGCATGCAAGCAATCGGTCAGTCTGATGCGTTGTGTGCGGTTCCCAATGGTTAAATCTGCTATGCAATCACCTCGTCCTGAAGTTTGCAGCATTCCGTGGTTTGCAGTTTTCACAGAGATGTTGGTGCTCACATTGAACATCCAGAAGAATTCTCGACTGGTGATGAGAGTCGAGGTCGCGCCAGAGTCTAAAATGGTAGAGAGAGCCTGACTGGAGATGCAAGTGAGGTCCTCATCCGTTGGTATGCAACTGGGATTGAGCTCAATGTCCTCAATGAGAGCACAGGACCAGTCTTGGCTGTGATTACTCATAGCGAGGGCTGATGTCTCTGAATAGCCTGGTGGGGCACTGGTTGAGCTGGAGCCTGGTGGGGCACTGGTTGAGCTGGACATCATGTTAGGAGTGGTGGGCTTGTTTTCTGTAGCAGCTGCTGCTATGTTCATCTTTTTACCTCCACATTGCTGACTCCACAGTGCTTTTCCTTCCATTCCCCCACTGGCTTGCATGTAGTGTTCCCAATTGTGCATGAGTGAGCAGGGAAGACCTGTGCACACAGGGTTATCGCAAGGTACTCCTCTTGTTACGGCGAACCATAGGTCGACTAGGATAGCGCGACGATAGGTACCCGATAAGGGTGCGCCTAAAGCCGGATCATGTCCTCACAAATGTAAGGTTCTTAAGACAAGTCAGAGAGAGTGTCTCTGCCTTGAATATCGGTTTATACGACGACTTAGGATTGGGGGTCCTAAGCGAAGGATAATGCAGGTAAAACCTAGTAGATTAAAGTGAGGTCTAACTAAGTACATGACCATGCTTATATAGGTGTAAGTACTTTAGGGCCGGTGTACATACGTCATAGTCCGAGTCAGAGATAAGGGATATATACGTCATCAAGATGACGCAATCAAGACGAGTCAGAGATAAGAGGATGAGTCACCTAGCGACGGCAGCGGCGATCGTGATGTAATACAAGTGTAGAAAGAGCGTGGTCTAGTGATGGCGCAACGTGGCGCGGTCATGACGTAATACACGGATAAGACGAGAAAAGAGATAGGGGGTAGCCATGACTGTAACACCTCTAGGATTCTGCTTGTGCATACAGACACCATTTGAAGGGTTAACTCTTCGCTCAGAGGAGGTAGAAGAGCTGACAGCATTGGCGTATTCAGAGCCTGGTCGAGCCAGTTTCTGATGGCCACACTGCCTGTTGGCCTCTTTGGTGAATGCAGCTGTGACATCTTTGAAGGAGACGGAAGGAGCAGTTGTAGTTGTAGAGGAAGTAGTGGTCGATGAGGAAGTGGTTACTGGTGGTTTGTAGAGTCTGAGGGTGAGGCTCCAGAAGATGACCCATTGCGGGGTCTCAGGAAGCCTGTGCAGGAGCATCCAGACTGCTTCCAAGTCGGAGAATGTGATGCCCATTTTGGTGAATCTTCGACGGCCGTTCTTGAAGACACTGATGTATCTTGATGCATCTTCTGCATCTTTAAGCCATTCTGAGAAGAGCTGATCACAAAGTTCAAACTGTGAAGTGATGTCGAGTTGACCAAAACGTTTGAGTAAGGTCTCCCATTGTTGGTGGGCTGTTAGCTTTTCACCAAGCATATTCTGAACAATGGGGGAGAGACACCTGCCAATGAGAGCCTTGGCTTGGGTGTCTTCTTTCACCCATTCTTTGATGGCAGTGAGTTCAGCAGGAGTTGGATGCCCTGCCGTGGCTGCTGTGGGCATAGTGACAGTGTATTCAGCGACATTGTTAGGGTCAGTGCCATCACTACAATGGCTCCAGAGGCCCTCTCTGGCTAGAGCCAATTCTACAGCCCTGCACCAGCTAGGGTAGATGTCTGCCCCAGAAAGTTCTGCGATATGATCATATTTACCCATAGTGGATAACCAAGTCAAAGTGAGTTTGTCTGCATGCATATTGATAAGAGCTCACTTTGGTCACCCCATTTTGGACACCTCTTAGGTTGATTGCTACCTATAGAGGTTTTCACCTAAGAGGTACTTTTCTGGTGGTCTACCCAATGTTCTGTGGTCTTTCCCTGTTGTTGTTAGGGACCAAAGACCATTGGGAATATGTTGTGGGAGTACCATATGATGATTTGGACCACTTGAATTCCCTATAATGTAGGGGTGTCTGGGGTCTTCAAATGACAATTTTTTGGCAAATTTCCCTACCTTTGTGGATGCATCTGTGACCTGTGCCCTGCCTCCTAGACCCTCCCATAAACCTAATGAATCTTTTTTTATATAATTGAACAATATATCAAAATTGTATACTTTGTCCAGACAACCTACAGTCATCTCCAACATGCCAGGTGCATAACCCACAACAGATTTCATTATATACCCACTGGACCTGCTCACATCCTCTGGAAAACTGTCCTATGCCCAGTCCAGTTCCACCTAACACTACTGGTATGTACACTTCAAACCACACACATGTTGGTTCATCACACCCACTCCTTGATGCTCACTCCGCTTGCATCTTGGTAGGGGGCTCCTCCCTGTTTAACCATATTAGCTGCAGTACCTCATGGCCGTTTACCTACCTTTGGACCCAGTAGCTTTACTACAACCTTTGTCTATAGTACTCCAGACTTTCACATAGAAAGATCAATAGGGACGGCATACCACAGCATTGCAAAAATGATAAGCAGGCGAGACCACAAGCTTAATGGGAAGAATTGTAGGTGTGATGTGCCTGCAATAGGGAAGACCACAGGCTTAATGGGAAGGACCATAGGTCTAATATGCATGCTATAGGGAAGACCACAGGCTTGTTGGGATGGACCATAGGTGTACTATTCATGCTATAGGGAAGACCACAGGCTCATTGGGAAGGACCATAGGTGTACTATTCATGCTATAGGGAATACCGCAGGCTTAATGGGATGGACCATAGGTGTAATATGCATGCTATAGGGAAGACTGCAGGCTTAATGGGACAGACCACAGGTTTAATGGGATGGACCACAGGTGTAATATGCATGCTATAGGGAAGACTGGAAGCTAATTGGGAAGGACCATAGGTGTAATATACATGCTATAGGGAAGACCACAAGCTTATTGGGAAGGACCATAGGTGTACTATTCATGCTATAGGGAAGACCGCAAACTTATTGGGAAGGACCATAGGTGTACTATTCATGCTATAGGGAAGACCGCAAACTTATTGGGAAGGACCATAGGTGTACTATTCATGCTATAGGGAAGACTGCACACCACCACCCCCTTCAACAGACTAATCTGATTGGAATTACTCCATTTCTACTAGGAAGACACCATGTCCGATTCTTCCTGAAGAACATGTATGTCACTCAGCTACTACCTTCATTTTCTCTCAATTAATGAATACATATGTAGATGTAGCTCAAAAGTACTCCATTAGTTGCTACTAGTGATGTCTCAGCTCTCGCATACTTCCAGGTCCTTTCAGCAATCAAACACTCTTCATTCTTTGCTCCATCCGTCCCTTCAACACTTTGTCCAGTCCATGCATTACTGCATGATGGTGAGTGGGTTGGCGTTGAGGAAGACTGGTATTTGAAACACGTCAAAACAGCTGACTCACGTCCATTGGAATTACAACAATTAATATTTTCATTAGATCCAACTCAGTCTTCAGCTACAGTCAGTGTTTGTCCAATTTGTTTTTGTTCTCATGGTTGTGACACATTCATTGCCAGGTCACTGCAGACTCCACACCTGTCAACCTCGTATCCTTATCACAATCTATTGATAATATCACGCACCATATAGTTCATGGCCTCTCTACCCCATTGGGCAAGATGTACACGTCACTTTGCCTTCTTGCAAGAGAAGCAGCTAGGCAGACACAGACCTGTAGAAGTGATTCAAGAGTATGAAGCTGAAAGTAGAGAAGCATGAGAGAGTGGAGTTACAAGACATAGACACCATTGATATTGATCTTTATAATGTTGCATGAGTGCAGAAGACCATGCACATGAGGAAAAACCACACACAGTAATATTCTTCAATATCAGGTAAGTCTAGACAATTGTGATCAGCATGTAAGATAGAGGACAAAACATAAACCATGAGTCATGGATTACAAAAGCATGTTTGCATACACATAAGAATTTTAACATGAGTCATCAGCATGCAATGAGCGAGGTAAGTCATAGGCAAGTAGTAGCATAAGTCACAACAAGTATCATAGTTGAGATCAGACAATATGACAGGTGGTTATAAAAGCTGTAAACGTCAGTTATACTCAAATTCATCCTCATCTACAAGAGGAAGTAAACAGCAATCCAGGACATGAGCAGGCTGAAGATGTGAAGCATATTGGTGCAAAGATGGAGAGCCCTCAGAGTATGGCATGACTGCCGAATGAGATGGCAAGTGCATAGTGTTTTGGTTTGGGGCAGGTCCCATGTGTGCCTTTGATGAGGCACAAACGTATGGCTTAGGATGACTAGGGAATAGACAACAATTAACACAGTAAGATTGGCAACATGGCAATGACATACTTGTGACCCTTGGTGGCCTCATACCCATGCTTGCCCTGTCCTGCAACATGAAAGTATGTGAGAAATAAAGACAAAGATACAATGCAAAAATATGTACATGGGTCCTGCTCCGATATCTTGCAACCACCATTCCCATTTCAATGTCGTCGGCCTCCCTTGCACTTTCATAATCATCACGAGTCCATTTCCTAGTCTCAGAGGCCATTGAGCGGCAGATATCTTCACATATGCAGTTGTACTGGTATTGTCCTGCTGCTACATTCGAACCTTGAGGGGTCGCATGAGGAGATGACAGTGGTGGAGATGATGGTGGGAGATCGTCATCAGACTCATCTGAGTGAATGCTGTGATCCAGGAGTTCATCATGGTCAGTGTGAATAGGGACAGGTGGAATTGAGTGCAAAGCCCTATGTTGTGAGTGTGAAGCCCCATGTTGTGAGCACAAAGCCTCATGTTGTGAGTGCGAAGCTCCAGAGTTGGAGTGTGGAGCCTGATAGTTGGAGTGCGGAGCTGTGGGGTACAAGCACAAAGCTTCCTGGTGAGAGCGCAAAGCTCCAATAGAGTGTGAAGTCCCTGTGTTTAAACACTCAGTAACATGGGGAGGGAGGTCCTTGATAAATTTCTCCGACTCTTCCAGATGACATAAAATGATGCCATCTGTGTTGATAACAAGAGGGATTGAGTACACCTTGTGAGAGTATCCAGTGAAGTCTGATAGCTGACCTGTGATGCAAAAAAAATGTTAGTTTATGTAGGGTACAGACTACCTGAATACGCACAAGGAGTCCACCCCTTGATAGATAAGATGACATCGGGCTCTTGCACAACCGCGCCATGAGTTCTGTGATTCTCGTTGGACTTCTTTGATTTACCTTTTCACTTTGTCATTGTGGCTTTCTCTGCATCGTCCTCATCCTCGTCTTAGCCCAACTCAGCCTCATACATGTCGCCGAGATGCTTCCTGAGATATGGACCCACTAAGGTGCATAATTGACTCACAGACAGCAATTTGAGATCAAAATCAGGGCCAGGGGGTGGAACTCCTGCTGGCCAGTCATGAATGCAAAGTTGCATAGAGCAAAGGGTGTCAAGCATCCTCATCCACCTGCTGTTCGACGTTTTAGAGGGATGACCAGCATCAGCTACTGAAAGCATGTGAGTACACTGACAGCAGAATCTAATAAGACACAAACCAAATGCTTCACTAATGATTAAAGGCACCACTATGCAATTTCTATCCCTGGTGGATTTGCCATTGTGCAAGAGGGGAGCATTGGGGACTGCAACAGGCGGTGGGAGAAAACTGAGACTCTTGCCTTCTGCTTGAGCAGCCTCCAAGTCCTTGTATCTGTAACACATCCCATGTACAGTGGCTCAAAAAACTGTCCACATGTTTTTGCATTTTTTACTATTTACAATATTGTGTGAGAATACATAAAGACCTCAGTGACATGCTGATACCATATTGTAGTGCTGCTTCAGGGCTTTGGATTGAGCACCACATCGTGAGAATAAGAGGAGATATGGTGGAGATACAAGGCTTACAAAATCATGACTCATGCGGACAGTTTTTTGAGCACATATTAAAACTATATAAATCATCATTTATGACACCATAACAATCATGCCACCATTAAATAAATTATAAAATGGTGTCATTATGTCATTTTAAAACCATATCTAACTATACAAACCAAAAATTTCCATATGTCATGGTTATATTCACCATGAAAGCCACCCCCCCTGCTCAAAGGGATAATATCCTCTCTCTTTCCTATTCTGGCCTCTCTGCTTGTCAAATTTCCTCTAGAACTGGAGTATCCAAGTCCACTGTGGCCAAGTTCATCAAAGAAAGTCACACAGACAAGGAAAACTTCTGTGAAGGGTGTCCATCCAAGCTCACCTCTACTGATAGGAGGGCTATTATTCAACATATCACTACAGGAAAGGCTGATAATGCTGTCCAGGTCACCTATTACATCAATTCCACCATCACATTCCCTGTCTCTTCACACACTGTGAGAAACATTCTCAAGACAGCTCATCTCAGGTCAGTAACAAGGAAGAAAAGGCTCTCCTCTCTATCACACATAAACAGAGATGACTAACCTTTGCCTTAGCCCATCAGAATTGGATTACATGGAATGGAAGCATGTTATATGATCATATAAGACCACAATAAATAGGATTGGGTCAGATGGCAAGGTATATATGTGAAAAAAGAAGGGTACTAGTCCTCTCTGCATATGTGTGATAGAGAGGAGAGCCTTTTCTTCCTTGTTACTGACCTGAGATGAGCTGTCTGCAAGACCAATGATGCATAACAGTAAGAATTCCCCTTAGATGCCTCCCAGATTTTGGCTCAATCTATGTGCATAAATATTTTCATGCATTTAGGAATTTTATCCAGCGTGTTATGCTCATTTTCTGAAAAATGCAGTTTGGAGCTGAGACATCACTAGTAGCAACCAATGGAGTACTTTTGAGCTACATCTACATATATATTCATTAATTGAGAGAAAATGAAGGTAGTAGCTGAGTGACATACTTGTTCTTCAGGAAGAATTGGACATGGTGTCTTCCTAGTAGAAATGGAGTAATTCTAGTTGGAATAGTCTGTTGAAGGGAAGGGGGGGGTGCAGTCTTCCCTATTGCATGAATAGTACACTTATGGTCCATCCCATTAAGCCTGTGGTCTTCCCTATAGCATGAATAGTACACCTATGGTCTGTCCCATTAAGCCTGCGGTCTTCCCTATAGCATGCATATTACACCTATGGTCCATCCCAATGAGCCTGCGGTCTTCCCTATAGCATGAATAGTACACCTATGGTCCATCCCAATATGCTTGCAGTCTTCCCTATAGCATGCATATTACACCTATGGTCTGTCCCATTAAGCCTGCAGTCTTCCCTATAGCATGCATATTACATCTATGGTCTGTCCCATTAAGCCTACAGTCCTCCCTATTGCATGCACATTACACCTATGGTCCATCCCATTAAGCCTGCGGTATTCCCTATAGCATGAATAGTACACCTATGGTCCTTCCCAATAAGCTTGTGGTCTTCCCTATAGCATGTATATTACACCTATGGTCCTTCCCAATTAGCTTCCAGTCTTCCCTATAGCATGCATATTACACCTGTGGTCCATCCCATTAAACCTGTGGTCTGTCCCATTAAGCCTGCAGTCTTCCCTATAGCATGCATATTACATCTATGGTCTGTCCCATTAAGCCTACAGTCCTCCCTATTGCATGCACATTACACCTATGGTCCATCCCATTAAGCCTGCGGTATTCCCTATAGCATGAATAGTACACCTATGGTCCTTCCCAATGAGCCTGTGGTCTTCCCTATAGCATGAATAGTACACCTATGGTCCATCCCAACAAGCCTGTGGTCTTCCCTATAGCATGCATATTAGACCTATGGTCCTTCCCATTAAGCCTGTGGTCTTCCCTATTGCAGGCACATCACACCTACAATTCTTCCCATTAAGCTTGTGGTCTCGCCTGCTTATCATTTTTGCAATGCTGTGGTATGCCGTCCCTATTGATCTTTCTATGTGAAAGTCTGGAGTACTATAGACAAAGGTTGTAGTAAAGCTACTGGGTCCAAAGGTAGGTAAACGGCCATGAGGTACTGCAGCTAATATGGTTAAACAGGGAGGAGCCCCCTACCAAGATGCAAGCGGAGTGAGCATCAAGGAGTGGGTGTGATGAACCAACATGTGTGTGGTTTGAAGTGTACATACCAGTAGTGTTAGGTGGAACTGGACTGGGCATAGGACAGTTTTCCAGAGGATGTGAGCAGGTCCAGTGGGTATATAATGAAATCTGTTGTGGGTTATGCACCTGGCATGTTGGAGATGACTGTAGGTTGTCTGGACAAAGTATACAATTTTGATATATTGTTCAATTATATAAAAAAAGATTCATTAGGTTTATGGGAGGGTCTAGGAGGCAGGGCACAGGTCACAGATGCATCCACAAAGGTAGGGAAATTTGCCAAAAAATTGTCATTTGAAGACCCCAGACACCCCTACATTATAGGGAATTCAAGTGGTCCAAATCATCATATGGTACTCCCACAACATATTCCCAATGGTCTTTGGTCCCTAACAACAACAGGGAAAGACCACAGAACATTGGGTAGACCACCAGAAAAGTACCTCTTAGGTGAAAACCTCTATAGGTAGCAATCAACCTAAGAGGTGTCCAAAATGGGGTGACCAAAGTGAAGAGCTCACCTAGAGCTCAGGGCTCATAACCTGATCACTAGAATAACTAGTGGGAGCGCATGCTCAGTAAGTTCAAGAACAAACTATCATTGAAGATATCTACCTAGTGGGAGCGCACACTAGGTTACATTAGTATGAGATAGAACAGCGAGTAAGAGATAGAACAAACTGAGGTATATGTTGAGACAATGTGAACTAAATATGAGAGACCAAGAGCTTAGGTAATTGTACCGGTGAATGGACGAGCAGAGGAGTTCGTGTGGTCAAGAAGCAGGAAGATGCATTGCATATGGTGTCAAAGCTGATAGTACCAGATAGTGCCAAGAAGGTAATACGAAGTCTAAAAGGCAAAAGATAGTGAAAGAACACGTGAAAGTCAACACATGATACACTGTGATGCTTGACCATTCACTGCTCGGCTTGCTGTTAAAGAGAGTTGATGCTACAATCGACCCACGCTCGTCGAAGTTTTTGTAACAGTGGCAGTGGTACTAGTCCCTGAACAATGCAACATTGAAAGTCTATGAAAGAGCTGTTATCAGTCTGACGGTCCCCTTCTCCTTGACATAACAAGACTGGTCTGCTGCCAGACGGACACCCGGGTGTGCATAAAAGTTGGAGAATTTATTTTGCGCTGGTTGCAAACTTGCAGATGATGCATGAGAGTAGCGCATAAACGTGGCTGAAAAATACTCAACCCCTGGACGGAAATGATGATATTTAAACGTGACACAGATAAAATGGGCACCACGTTCGTCCTTCACATTTTCTCAAGTTTCGAGAATCACTGCCGACCTTCATAAAAAGACTTTTCTCCTTGGCTTGAAGCTGGTTGATTAAGCACAGAATCGTGGATAATTCGTCAGAGCGAGAAGTCGAGAAGCAACACGCCCACGTGTCGCTGAAAGGAGTGTGATGTAGTGTACATTGCGCACTTCCTTCATTCATGCATGGATTCGCTCAAAAGCAATTCTCGTCAGTGCTAGTATGCACGGCAACTGATTCAAGTTCATTGAGCAACTGAGCACTCGGCAGTCGATCATCGGGATGTAACTCATACTGTTACCTGAAATGAGATCAATCTTGGATTTAAGGTTGTAGGTTCTGTCCAACACTTTGTCAAAAGATTTCACAAGCAGAAAACAAATACATACAATGACAGCTTGACATTCGACAGGACAGCAACGGTCACCGCCGCAAGAGAACGTATAGATCAGCTTCCCTGAACTCCATGAAAGTGCCTTTCCGTAAATAGTTCGTGGAGCCAGAAAGGGAGGCGTGCCGTACCTGCAAATTCTGAACTTTTGGTTTCTTGCCAACTGCACAATGAGCTTGATGATGGCGGCGGCAACGAAGATGGCCATGACAGGGAACCGAACAACAAGCAGATTGAATGGACACAAAACAGCAGGTAAAAATAAACGCTGTGCCATGCACAGGCACCATCTGAATGGACGTGTTAGGAAGTACGGGAAGTGGTCACGAGATGCACGCACATCCAATCAGCTGAATCACTCGCTCTTCTCCCAAGTTGCTAGTCTCTAGGTAATACGTGCTAGCGAACTGACAGTCAACATTAGCAGGCAAAGTGTACCAGCTGCCACCAGTAGTTGGGCATCCTTTGAAATTACTATCAACGTCAGGCCACAGGATATGACATAGCCTCACCGACGGTCCTTGGAATACTTCCAAACAACAACCTTATCGTACTTGTCAGCCTCTCCGGCGGAGAAACGGGACATGGATTCCAGATCGCGACAGGCTACTACGGCAGCAAAGAAATCGACTCTGACACACGTGTTGACCTTGGAGGGTCACAAAGGTTCTATTCCATCGATATCCTACTTTCCGGACGGGAAGCGAATAATCAGCGGGTCAGACGATAAGACCACTCGTCAATGGGACCTAGAAGCGGGTAAAGAAATTAAGGAGATGCGGGATGTTTGCGAACTGGAAGTGCATACCGTGGGGGTATCAAGAGATGGTCGATGGGCTGTCTCTGCAGGTGGAAATGGCTTTGACTACACCGGGGAGCTCAGAGTCTCTGAGGTTGGGACGAAGATCGTGAGAACGTCTGAAGGTCACTCACGGAAGATCACCAGCATCGATATCTCCGGGGACAGCACGCTACTGGCGGAGGCAGAAACTTACATAGTGCGGATATGGAGCTTGGAAACTGGCAAACTCGTAGCTGGTCCATTCAAAAGTGTCGAATATGATGATGTGGGCGCAATTCGATTCTCGCAAGACTCGAAGAAGCTCGCAGTCAAATCATGGTGGGGGAATCACCTGGAAGTGTGGGATATCCAAACACAAACATTGGATGTCGAAGTGGGGTCATTTGATGGCGTGAACTACGCATTTGCACCAGTGTTTTGGACTACCAAAGACAAAACCATCGTAACCTCATTCAGCTACCATGACTCCCCGAAGACGATCTATGAATTTAACGCATCTACGCTGGAGACTGTCGGAACCCCCTTCGAAGGACACACCAAAATCATCACCGGTCTGGCGCTTTCACTTGATTGTGCACTCCTCGCTAGCGCTTCTGATGACAATACCATCAAGCTCTGGGCATTCGAGTCCCGCCAGCTCCTCGCCTCATTCAATGTCCAGCTGGTCCGCCATCTTACCCTCTCACCTGACTCGCGCCAACTGGTTTACACGGCCATGTACAACAACAATATTTACTTGTGCAACACTCCTCCCGAGATCCTCGCTAGCATTCAGCCTGTACCACAAGTTAGAGTGCGCACCCAACTCCGAATACTGCTATTGTTCATGTACTAACATTTTTTTGCAGACCAGTGACCCCCCTGATGTACTCATCCCTTTCTTTTGTTCACTTACTCCATTAATGCCATTTTACAGTTTGGCGCTCTCTCACTCACTGCAAATCAATTCAATGAGGCCCAGTTGCCTACCCTTCTCCCTCCACGGCAGATACCCTCTTCTACATCAGATTCGCAGCCACCCCAGTTACGCACTGACCCCCGCGAGCTCCTTCCCTCCTCTTCCCATACGCATACAGTCCTGTCTGCTAGTAATGTTGACCCTGACGATCTCCCCCCTGAAGCAACGCTCCAAGACCTCTCAAAGTATATCACCAAGGATGGAGATTACCCTGTTGCTCGTGGTGGGTTCGGGGAGATCTGGAAATGCACCTTTCACATCGATCGTAGCTCGGTCAAAGTTCGTTTGACGTCTTTTGTCTGTTCATGTCTACAATTAATAATTTCGCAGGTCGCAGTGAAAGCGTTGCAGGTATACGCTGATGATCAACTCGGCACAGCGAATACAAAAAAGAGCAAGGCAAGTGTCTTGCTGGAGGACTGTCTATCACTTACACAACAGGGTGCCACTTCATAGAGAATACAGCGTGAGCTCAGAATATGCGCCAACCTTAAGCATCCAAATATTCTACCCATTTATGGTTATACGTATGGGTTCGGCCCATTCCTAGCGATAGTCAGTCCTTGGGCGGAGAATAGCAACTTGACGGTCTATTTGGAGCGTGAGGGTGCGGCTCTTACTCTCGTTAGACGATTTCAACTGGTAAGTCATCTCTTGTATTTTGGGTAGATCACGAAACTGATGACAAACTTAGCTAAGAGATATCATATCTGGTCTGCAATATCGTATGTGATAGATTTCACTGTTGCCGGACAGCGTTGTAACTACTCTTCACAGTCCACGCTAACAGTGTCATCCATGGTGACTTCAATGGGGTGAGTTCGATCTTCTCGATAGTTCCAATTTCATTGAGACATAAGCTCCAGCCTAATGTGCTCATCCACGGTGATGGCACCGCATGTGTCGCTGACTTTGGTCTTTCCTTGATGTATTCCGAGGCTATAAGTGCCTCTCAGGCATCTTGGACGTCCACGCTCAAAGGAAACATGCGATGGATGGCTCCTGAGTTACTTGAACCAGAGCAGGAGGATGGATCTGCAACTCGTTCGAGCGAGCAAAGCGACATCTTTTCGTTCGGCGGTATCATGTTGCAGGTACGTCTGGAGTACTCTCGACTTGTCAATAATATCATTAGCTCTGCCTTTAGGTCCTCACGAACAAAATCCCTTATTATTACCTCCCGAATGACGCCGCAATCGTCCTATGCATAGCCAGGTCAGAACAGCCTTCCCGAGCTCGTTATCCTGAGATCCCTGAAAAATATTGGACGTTTATGGAGCAATGTTGGTCTACTAATCCTCGAGACCGCCCATCGACGAAGGGAGTTGATGTCACGATCAGGAATGAATTTGACCTGTATAATAAACGCAGGCTTACCGCAAGACTTCTCTTGTAATATTGGAGCACGACAATGCACTGAAGTTCCTAGTACTACTGGGCTCACCACAGCTGACCCCATGCGACGTATTTCCTGCAAGTCTTGTTCACCGATTCGCTGATTACGATGAACTGGTTCCTGGCACAATACAACACGATCACCCAAGGTCTTTGCTAGAGAATACATCTAGACAAGTCCATTCACCGTTCGAGATACGGAGTGCGATGAGCTCGAGAAAACACAAATTGTTTCGGAAAGCAAGACAGTTTTGCACTCTTAGTCCGTCTTGAAAGGTGCACAGCAGTTAATCATTCGTTGTACAACCTACAAGATGGAGGTACATTATGACAATACATAAGCTCTCCAATAATGCATGAATATATATATATTCCTCCGAGACATCCAACTATTTCTTTCCCTTCCTTTTAGCAGACCCCTTCTGCGGCGTATTGATTGCACTCGACGTGACTGCGTCTTCTGGGGCTGCGGGTGCAGACACAGGCTTGGGTGCAGGCTTGACTGCAGGCTTAGCAGCGCTCTGAGGACGCGAAGGCTTATGCAAAAAATTGATGAAAAAAGTCGCAAGACCTCCGCTCATCATGTACATGAGCCATTTCGGCACACGAACAAGAGTGCCGTAGACCATGGACAGAAATTGTGCCAGGTAGTCTAAAATGTATTCGCTGCAAAAGGGCGGTAAGCGCTGGTAGAATACTTAAATCTGACATGTCCTACCGTTCACCACCGGGGCCATAGATGGATTTCCATGGCTCTTTCATGCTCCACGCCTTCTCCTTGAGAAATTGGTGGAGGATTTCGTCGGTCAACCTTATCTGACCGGCTTTGTAAAACCGCAAAGTTTGCCCCCGGTCTTTCAATACAACAAGGTAAGGTGCACTAATAGAAGGTCAAGAACACGCACACGCTACAAAAAATGTTGAAGACTCACGACCAGACAGCCCATTTGGTAGTGATACTCGTGACATTGAGATAGTCGATTCGACCAAAGCGCACATGGGAAAGCTCTCCTTTCTCCAGGGTATAATTATACGTGGCATCAAAAACATGGTCTACGAACTTCGAGACACCTTCTGGCTGTCCAGCGGTGACGGTTCTGGTGAGGATGCGTCAATTAACGGACTATCAAAGACGATATACTCACATTATGAGAAACCAGACTCGTTCTTTCTCCTCCTCTGCAGTCAGCGTCTCGTTTACAATCATTTCTGCATAGTTCTCATCCGTGATGAGAGGTATCCGCTCATCCCAAGTTACAGATGGAGCTCCGGTAAGGTTGAGACCAATGAGAGAGGATACAGCGCCCAACGGTCCTACAGTTACAAGACTGTCTAGAAACGACATCTTCCCTGACCCATGTTGCGTCGCAGGGGTGGATGGGGAATGTGGGACGTGTGCTGGTGAGGGAGTTTGGCTTGGGACGGGTTGTCCTGGGGTCCATCCAGCTGAAAAGTATTGAGCATTGACTAGCCCCGTGAGTGATAGAAAACCGGCAACGTATGCCAAAGGCCTCATCTCTCAAAACAAGTATGTTCGGGTAGTAATGGAACAAAAAGAGGTCTACTCTAGTTACATAAGGTTGAAACGTTGATGAGCGTCTATATTATTCCCATGAGACTGTCAATTACAAGTCAATTCAGCCTAAGTTCCTTACCACGACAAGGTCATTCGCATGAGCTGTCACTAATTCGCTCCTTGTTCTCATGCTTATCGCAGGCAGTATCCCGAGACGCACGCCCGTCTCGACGTGGACAAAAATGCACATCCCCGACTGCAAACGATCTAGTGGAGAAGGGCACTTGTCCAACACGATTGCTTTTCTCGACTTATTTGACGGTTAGTGGGGGAGTAAATTGCAAATATTGGTAGAGAAGGATACATTTCCGACTTCCAGGAAGTGCCTTTTTCTCTACAAATATTGCAAACCCCGATGTACCTTCTGTGAAAAAGCATACGACGATGTAAGCACGCTGGCTTACTAGATTTCCCATAATCTACATAAATACTGTCCGCGATAAAGCTTTCAGTATTTGTTCAGTATCACTGCCTTTTGGCGTAACAGTTAAAGCCTGGACGACAGTCTTAGCTAAGTTACAGACGATCCGCACAGACCAGGGCTCGGCCTGAGTAGCACATCTCATGGATAGTAACATCCTGAATAATTCCTCGGAATTTGCCCTTGTCGAGAAGCGCATCCGAGCCCTCACGACAATTTTGGCAAAGATGGGCCATCGTCAGGAGCCGTCGTTTGATCTTCAACAAGTTCCTTCCCTCTTGCGCCATTTTGTTTATCTCCTCACCCCGGGTGACGTTTTCAGTCCTGAAGTAAAGAAAGCCATAGCGGCCACGGGCGCCATCGTCCATGATGGGGTTAACGAGAGGTTTCAGACATTAATGGTCACCCAGAATTTATATCCCCGTTCCTCCCTAACCGAGTCAAAGTTGGAAGAAGTAACCAAATCTCGAAATCAGTTCAAGAAATCGTGAACAGGTGCGATATTGACTAAAGCCTACCACTACTGATCATTATTAGCAATAATGACGTCCCCCTCAATGAACACATTTCGGAGATCTGGACTGCCCTTGCATCCTACGAACCTTCCACGGACAACTACATCGCTCTCAGCAGATTTGTCATCAACTGCTGTCGTCGGAAACTGTTCACCCGTATTTTCCTCTACCAGAAGACATGGCACGTGCATGTGGCCCAAAAGTTGGCTGATTGGACTCCCGCGGCCAATGAGCTCCCCGAAACGCACTGGCTTGACGCTCCTCATTGGTTTTCATTAATCCACCTACCGCCTGACAAATATGTGCCAAAGCGCAAGCAAGGTCCACCAGATAATCAAGTTACCCAACTGGAGTTTTCTAGCAATACAGTGCACTTATGGGCTTCGTTCCTCGGTCACCTCATCCTGACGCTAGAAAGTCATGCGGTGGAGGCCCAGAAAATGGAGAATGAGGGGGACACACTGGGATTCAAGACAGCTATGGGTAAAGTCTCAGATTACTGCGCTGCGTTGTATTGCTTTGTCTCGTGGGGCGCTGGCGTTGTGAAGACCCTACTGACAAAGACAACGCTTGCCTCGAAATTCAACGGATTCACCAATGGTGATGGTGGGGACTGAAGGTAAGTTTATCCCTACATTGTGGTACCGCACTGCTTATTTTTGATGTAGATTTGTATGATTCAGACGAGTCTGACGACTTGAATCCTGAACCTCACGAGTCAAGCGGACGTCGTGTCTTACGGTACTTGAAAGGCATTGTTGCATGGCATGCAGCCATAAGCATCGCTTACGACGCCGACATATTCCAAATCACTCGTAGTGAACTTTCCCTCAGTTTACTGGAGATCCCTCATGCCAGTTTTGATATTGCCAACTTGGATGACATCTACGAAGCGTATTTCAATGTAATTTCTTTAAAGCCCTCGATCGCTTACGAAGATCTAACCAAACCAATTCTGAAACGCCATCTCCCACAAACTTTCTCTGGCACCGTTCATGCGGAGGCCACATTAATGAGCCTTCTCACGTACTTCTCATCTTCTTCGAGTCGTGTGGCTTTTGATATGCCCCTTCGAGATGATCATGTAGCAGCTCTGGACAAGCTACTCGAACCGGCAAGCCTTATCATCAATGTTTGCTTGACCTGAGATTTACTAACCACAGATCATCAGGCAACCACTGAAAATGTCGTTGCAGTAGGAAGAAAATGTTGCTGGTGTTGTGATCGCCTTCACTTCGAGCTCCTGAAGGCCAACGGTACGCAGTTCAAATTCCCGGGCTCAAATGGCGTCATTTATCCATGGAGTCCTCCTCGTGTGGGAGTGGATGTCAAGGTTCTTCAGAGGTTGGAGGATGCTTTGTTTCAAGAGCTACATGCAGTAATCAGCGATCAGTCAGATCTGTTGTATCGGCCGAGTTCTGGTGCGTATCTCCACTTCTCGCCACTCGAGGTGTGTGGGTTTTGAGCAGATTGGATTTTTTTCGCTTTTGCACTACTACACAGCACTATACTTGAATGTGCCAGTAGAAAGATTGTAGCAAGATAAATTGATCATAAACAGAAACACCAAACTCGGGCTAGTTTTTGCAGCTGATGGCTCATCGCACCAAGATTGATACGCGTCTGCCGTCTGGGGAATGACAGACTCGACGAAGGCGTCATCCCATCATGACCAACGAAACTATCCACGAGTGAAAGTCAAGGCGTGTTCCAATAGAAAAAAAACTTGTCGGCAGGTTCCGAACCTGTGCAGTCCAAGAGAAACAGATTCTGTGTTCGAACTTCGTGCACAAAAACCGACTACAAAAACGTAGATGCGGCTTGCATGCCACATGGTACAATATGCTCACCGGGAGCTCTTCCGAGTCTCGTGTAGCGCCCCAGTGCAATCCAATCCACGCCTGATCCTGAATTACTCCAACGAGATGAGTCACTTGAAGCTTACTTCACGATTTCGACGAACCTGTCGTAGCTCGTCCTTAGACGAATGAGGATAGTCCACCTCTAGTTTATTGAGTCCTGAGGTAAACTCGCGTCCTGCTGCCGCTAGGAAATTGGGCGTTCCATCTCATCGCAGGCTTCATTCAGATTCACATCCAAGTGTCTGGTGACCTCGTGACACATGGGTACAGACCTGACTGCTTGTCGGTCTTTGGTGACGAAGAGCCCTGGTCCCTTCTCCATAATACTGACGAAGATATTATTCTGTTCCTGGATTCTGCAGTGATCTCGTCCAGTTTCTATAAGGCATTGCAGTCGGGAGAATTATTGTCGTTGACAAGAGAAAAATTATCCTGTTCGCGAATTCTGCGACGACCTAACTCAGCATGCCTCTTTATGGTGTAACTTTCGCCTTGTGAAGAACTTGTCGTTGATCCAAATGACGAATTTCTCTGACACGGTGTAAGCGCAGACTCTCCGTAGTCATTAGAGTGAAATGAATCGCACCCGGAAGTTCCATAGTAGAACTTCAAGCTGAGTGGTCGATCGGAGGGAAGTCCATTGGGCACTTGATAGGTGTTGTTTCTTTTCGAGTCGCTCGTGTTATAATGCATCATAACATTTTGGTCTTGACAAAAGTCCCCTAGTTCCAGGCTCGGAAGCTGGTCGTGCCATCCTGTAGATGTAGTTTCCTAGGATCAGGCCTGATGCAGATGGCGGCCGTGATGTATTATGTACAGGTTTGTGTGAGGCTGACAAGTGTTGCCGCACAGGGCCGCAAGGCTCCACGTCATATATCGTAGCCCGAATCCTCGAGTTTTCAAATTCAAGCAGTACCCTACAGCAAACTCAAGTTGACCAGCCAGTCTTACAAAGTTATAAATGCGAATGCGGAGGTATTTGCGAGGCACGCTGACCTGCGTCACGTCGCTTCTTGGTCTCGTGAGCCAACCAGTGAAGGCTGCTCCAACTGAAGGTATAGCGCAGACCAACCACTCAGAGATTTTGACACTCCTAATGCAGAAGGCATACAGTTCCCTCAGCAGCCTCTTTCTATGTTCCTTACCTCCCAAGCCTGCACCAGGATACAACACACCCTTTACACATATACGCTGGACACATTCTTTCCGATCCCGATGCAGATTCAGCAGCTAGCACGGACGTTCTCGCGCATTTATTCTTCGTGATGGTGAAGGCTCGTAAGTCAGCTGATAAGGAACGGCTAATGTTCTGGTTTAATGTGCGTGTTATATGCTCCAGTGGTATGCAGCGAACTGAATGCAATAGGGCGGACCGGGATGTTCCTCATTTGACGGTCTAATGATGGAAGTTGGACCTTGGAGAATTGATGGAGAGGGTGGCCTTAAAACTGTAGAAGGAGGTTGGGATGAGTATACTACTATGGTATATGGTAAGTCTATCAAGACTCTTACTTTGACCAAGTTCAACCGAGCAATTTTCTATCCTTTCTCAGTGGATCAACCTGCTGGGACAGGTCTCTCGTATACTAGCACGAATCGCTACGTGCACGGCCTACAACAGGTACGTGTTGAGATGTATGGGCACAATACCGGCCAACTTAGTAGCTACGCTATCTCAGACGACTGACCAACTCATGGAATTTCTACGCACATTCTATAAAGTGTTTCCTGAATACGAAACTGTAGACGTACGTTGCTTTATTCAGTCCCGGAGCTCACCTAACGGCGGCTTGCAGACTTATCTGGGCGGCGAGAGCTATGCTGGACAATATATTCCCTACTTTGGTATAGCAGCTCCGGATCACTCCCTGTCAAGTGAAACTGACCCCTTTGAATAGCGGATGCTATTCTCTCATCAGAACTCAAAATGCCCTTACGCGGAGCTGCAATCGGTAATGGCTGGATAGATGGTCGTAACCAATACCCTGCATACCTAGACTATGCCGTCACGCACGGACTTGTCGACGAAAGCTCACAGGTGAGTAATTTCTAAGAACCCTACTCGCACCGAACCTGACATGATCCTTAGCACTACAAAGATAGTAAAGATGCGACTAACAGATGCATGACGGAGTTCAGGAGCGTTACTACGGAACCCATCCATATAGATCAATGCGAGGGGCTGCTGGAATTTATCCTCAAAAGCAAGTCGCGAACGTGAGTAACTCTTTTGAAAAATCTGCCGACTCTTGGTTTCACTATCAAAACAGTGTCGACGGACAACAAAAATGCGTGAACATCTATGATATCCGGTTAGAAGATGATGCACCCTACTGCGGCATGCAGTGGCCTCCGGACTTGAAAAATATCAGTTCTTACCTTGCTGTTTGTCCTCTCTCGACATGCCATCCTTATTGTCTAACGAAGCTTTTTTCTAGCGCAGAGATGTTGTCAGGGCGCTCCATGCAGAGGCCAAACCTGAGAGCTGGGTCGAATGTTTCAGTGGGGTCAGCATTGAGATGCGTGACTATCTGTCTCCATCATCTGTCACACTCCTTCCTTCAGTACTAGAAAAAATCCCCATTTTATTGTTCGCTGGTGATCAAGATTTTATCTGCAATTACATGGGTATTGAGAGTATGATCAAGTCTTTGACATGGAACGGAGAAAAGGGGTTAGGGGTGGGTGTTTTCTCATGTCCAGAGTTTCGGAACTGACCACCACTTCAGCAAGTACAAACTAAATCATGGACGGTCAACGGTACGCCAGCAGGGACCTGGGTTTCCTCACGAAACCTCACGTATGCCAAGGTACGTTATGTACCCCGTCCAAGGCACTCTACTCACGACGCCACAGATCTTTAACGCATCACACATGGTACCATACGACGTTCCTGACATTGCGCATGACATGATCTTGCGATTCATGGGGATGAATTTCTCTGCCATCATCGACGGGTCTGCACGTATACCAAGCGCAGTTGGGGATGATGCCAAACCGATATTTATGGACAGCGATGATGTACCGTTGTCATCGCCACTGCCCGGCAAGACGCCTGAAGAGACTAAGGCGCAATGGGATGGTGACAATCTTTTATTGCATACAGAAACGAGTGCTAACTCAGTGTTATTGTCAGCCTACTATAATGCAGGCTCGGTAGTCCTGATCTTCCTTCTTCTGGCTATTGCCATTGGCGTTTGCATATGGTGTCGTTTGCGTCGTCGACCAGTGCGGTTGTTGAGAGATCCTCAGTCAGAAGAAAACATTCCATTGAACGGATATGACGACGAGCAGGCGCATCGAAGACGCAAAGGGAAGGAACGGGCTCTCGAGGATGAGAGCGGGACGGCTGTCTTTGATGTTGGAGAGGACGAAGAGTATACCAGTGATGATGTGCGGAGAGAGAGAATAGATTAGGTTGTCTATTGTAGCATTCACTGCATAGCCCATTCATCGCTTGACATGTCTGACCACGGGTCAGAACAATCATTCCCTCGAGCACAGCGAACCTGAACTCATGAAGTGTGGCATTTACCCGTGCTTGTTTTTGGCCTGCATTTAAAGTGTCGAGGCGCTTTTTTGTGGCTTTATCGTATGCACTACGCTTGTCTATTCACTCATGGATCAAAAAAATTGGCGTTGAAATACAATTACACGTCGAATACATGGTGACTGATGATGTTACAATACCCTCTGAACTCTGTCTTTATCCTGAAGCTAAAAAGAAATGAGTCAGGTAGCATGATAATAATGGCAAGGAAAAAGTACCTTCATCGGCTCACCCCTCGGGCTTCCCGAGTCGCCATAAGACTTGAGTTACTCGCACTCCGCAATGGTATAATCGAGGCCATACTTGTCTATTGCGACAGGTGTTACACACGACTGATCCACTTAGGCATATGATAACTTGCCTCCATTGGCATATCCCGGTTCTGGTATGGGGTATGCCACAGCAATTGCGTTAAAGACCACGAGTATCGTGAAAACAAGTGAAAGCTGCATGTTTGGAAACGAGAGGAGTGACAACTGCGTCAATGTCAGATCTCATCAGGGAGTCGCGAGGGCTTTTATACCTTTGTTCACGTTCCCCAAAACCACTGCTTCTATCAGAGTGGTTTAATCTAGAGACGACATACGGTTCGCCTCGTGTCGTATCCCAGGCAATTATCATTGCTCGAGCGGTTACAAGGCGTATCTTCCATCTCATCATTTGGAGTCCATGAGGTGCGAATTTCGAGTTCCTTCTCTCGCTGTATTAAAAATTGCTTCGACTTGGACAGAAGTCCTCGTGGTGCACAAGTATGGCATGCACTGCCAGTGGGGAAGAAAACGTGATTGGTGGAGACAGCAAATGTTCAGATTCGCGAAGCACTTTGGTCATATCCGACTCGAAGATGAGCTGTGCTCACTGGTTAAATTTAGCTGAAGATGTAAGAAATTAAGATCCCCAAAATACACTAGGGTGGTAGTGCGCACTGGCACAGCGCCAAAACTTGACTTTGTCTCCTGAATGTTGTAGATGACAATATGACGAAAGGTAAGGCCTAGGTTTAGGAAGGTTTAGGAATGTCGAGGTTAACGTTGAACGTCAGGAGGGCTCGGGAGTGCCATCCACGTTATTTGGTTGTGTCAGTGAGGTTTAGGAGATAAATCAAGTACTCCGTCACAAAGGTTTTTATTTCGAAGTCCGATGGTTATCTAAGACTACCGTTCTTGCCAGCAGCCAGAGGTGTTCGTGTTGCGTGGTGTACATGTGCAACGTGTACGGCCAACTTTATTATCCAGGATAGCAGCCTTTTGGCCCCGCTTTACCGCGACAAACCTCACTTCTGACAACATCTTCACGTCTCCTGTAGAACACCTGATGGCATGTATTAATCACCTGAAGGTTTCCGTACTACACACTACAGCTAGTTGACACAAGTGCTCCTTCCTGGAAAACAATTGCAGTCATGCCAGTTCCTGCATCAGAGTCGTCCACGAACTCGGCGTAATATTCTCGAACACTCAGGATAAGGCGTGGTCCCAGCACAAACTGCTGCACAGGCAAGACAAACACAATGATACCACCATAGATTTGAGCTCCCGTAGAATTAGAGGTCTATAAAGATTATGAGCAGCGGTCAAATATCAGTTATAGATCACTGTACCGATAGCTTTTGGGAGAAATAACCGAAGTTAAGGCAAGAAACAGCAGCAAAACTACAATGTGTGGAATTTCAGAGAAAATAATGATCATTCAAATTACAAGCTCACGCTGTAAAGTGAAGCACCTGGCTTTTTATCAATACAGTGAGACAATCCCCAATGGTCGATACTGTCGATCGTCCGAGTCGGTTTATTTCACGAAAGTGTTGGATACCAATCCGGACGGCGAGACACAGTGTGAGGGCTTCCCACGCAGTGCCGATCACCCAAGTCCAAGTGAGAAGTTGGGACTGGTCTTCTGCGACCACAATGCACAGATAGGTGCCTGACAGGACTGACTCCTCTGGAATTGGTCCCATTAGCCTGAGGATCCTAATCATTCATCCAAAAATAAAGCCTACCCCAGGTGAAAGGGCGGGATCCTACGCCGTCCATCACCGAGCAAGCAATTGCAACAGCCAGATAGGTTACAATAAGAAAGACGAGCATTTTTCTGGATTGCTGATACATGGCATGTAACCGGATGATCATGATGGCTTACATGGTATTTCAGTCGAGTCAATGGAATTGACTGCGGTCGAACAGCTTACCGCCTATCATGATATCTGTGACGAATAGCACCCACCATTGTATGATGATAACGCCAGTGCCTAGAAAAACCAGTTCAAGTTACCGATGAGTATTGGAGGACTACGTGAAGCAAACTCAGGCTCACAACTGTTGTCAGTGATTATATGGAACCAACGAGTTGTTCGAGAATGTCACTCACCCCTGCATAGAAATGCAATTGGTTCAATTTGTGTGGATGCATTTTTGCAGAAAACTCACCACATCTGTCATCGAAACGGTCGGGAGGTTGGCTGCATGTCGCTGGTCAAAAGAAATGAACAGTGTATGCGAGGGAGACGTACATAGTACGAGGGCTCTGAGACAGTTTATTAGTACAGCGTCAACTTGTTAGTTCTTGGAAACATACACAGAGAACAGTAGTCCAATGTAGCGCAGCTGTAATCTCTTGAAGTCAGCAGAACTTGCCAACTGACTTGCAACATAGGCAAGTGCGTACACTGAGGTATAAAAAAGTCACGAGGGACCATTGTTTCCTCTGCCCAAATTATTCTGTATGCTGCTGTTTTTGTGATGAGATTTTGCTTACCCAGAGAAGTTCAATCTATGAAATTGTTCATAGTAAGATACCTGGGCCTGCTCCGGTGATGTCAACAACCTACCTCCTGTCCGAATGTCGATACTGGAGATGACCATATAAGTCATCAACAGTTCCTAGATAAGGACTTCCTTGCTCACTCCAATCGTATACCACTGCAGTAGAAGATGCAACTGCAAAGCCACAGTCAAAAATAAAGTGAAAACATCACCAACATGCACTCTACGAACCTACAAAATAGCTGACAGTACGAGTAAAAGCGATTTGCGGCCAGAGGCTGGGATTATTTGAGACTAGGGTCATATTCAGGAAGTATTGGCGTTAGTGAATGGAAAACTTGCAAGTTGGTGGATATATGAGAACAGCATTCGTGCGGCTAGATATCCCAACGCCTTTATCCAATTTTCTGAACGGCCTGAGGCCTAAGGTACAATGCAGATAAGTGTTGACTTGATGGCCTTGTTATAAACAAGATCTATAGCAGGGCACTGGCAGAACGCTGTTGTACCACAACTGTGGCACAACAAGATAAGACCGGTGTCTACCAAGATATAGATTACATAATCAACGCAAGTTGACTTGGCACTGCAGTGTTACTTATCGAACTTATCAACTATATATGCGCTTCTCGATCATACCTTACATGCTAACCTTGCACACTCCCCACTTTGAGCATTCAACGTTGCAACGGTAAGACGCGCCAACGAGTGTAAATACAACAGTGACACAAACACATGGCACGCACATAACGTGCTTAACACTACCTTCCATTGTAATAGATATGTACTTGAAAATAAAACTTTCAACCTGTACTTTGACAACGACTGGTATACTACAGTCACACGCAGTCACTACACCCATGGCAAACCAATGGACCTCAGTGCTCGTTGGCCTCATGACCTAGCAGACACAGATGTTGGTGTACTCAATTTGCGCACTTGCAAGCAGCACAGGCAACGTGGTCATTACTGGGGAGGGAATATCAGGAGTTTGCATGTTTGGGATGAGAGAGGAGGGTGCATTGTGAGCCTCAGTGCAGCGGCAGTTTGGAACACAGATGAAACTGGCTCCAGGCGCGCTTCGTCACTGTAGAGATAGTCTGTGTTCAGAAAGAAAGTTTCAAGCGGATAACACAGCCGCATGCATAGATTTGAATCTGAGAGCATTCACACGGTGAACGACCAGCAACCTCGACCTCACCTTAAACTGCCTTCCGAAACTCTGGATATATGCCTGTAGAACCAGTCCTAGAACACTCAGGGAGCCACTTGTCCAAGTATGATGAGGTTCCCCAAGATCTGCACCGAGCCATGCTGCGGCTCAACTTCCCGTCCTCATACGTGGTCGTCGGTGCATACCGACTCTTCACCGATAAGTCTCTCTATGTCCCTGCGTGGGATAAATGCCGCAACGGTGCTCGACGAGGGCTGATATGTGGTTTTGCCTGGGTGAGTTGAAATTTACCCCACGCACATATGCTCAACAGCTTCCGGCCAGATTTGCGCGTCATACAGCATCCAGCGCCGTATCATCAAAGCAGCCACCAGAAACCCCTCCTCCATCTTCTCCGTGCGCTACATAACACGATTCGAAGAAACCGCAGGCGACCTATCTCACGAGACGTTCCTAGGGTTCAAGTTGCCCTTCAGTATATCCACATGTGCACCTCATTATCTGGTCATCACATTTTAACACTGATCATATGCTTATCCTCCCAGACGTCACGATACTCTTGGTAGGATCGCAAGTTACCAGCATCATCAGCTTTTTTGTCGCTCGCAATATTCGCATTGTCCGCAAACGCGTCTGGGATCAAACAGTCGCCTCGCGCGGCAAGGGTCCCTGATTTCTGGCAGCCATATGTTGAAGAATGGGATTCCCCTCCTGTTGTCAATGAACGCTGGGGTCGTCTGGACAGGATGTTAAAGATGTGGTTTTGGAAGGCGATTATACAGAAAGGTGACCGTGTGTTCTATGGTATTCAGAGAGCTATTCCCTGAGGCGTTACATTCTTCAGTTATCTTACTTCCGCTTTCATTGTATCCATTTGTCGGCACGTTCATTGCTGCGGCTTTCAAAAGCTTGAGGATCGCTCAGGACTTGCACAAGCCGGTAAGCCTTCATTTTTATCTTCTCCTCGTCAATACTGACTCCCGTGGCAAGTATTTCGCCACAAAGAAGATGACAGGCCCATCAGGAAGCTATATTTATTGAGGAGCGTAAATGGGACTACCGAAGTATGCACAACATTTCATTGATTGCTTGCGTATTTACTCACATCACGATCAGCGTTCGGTTTCGTCGCGGCGCTACTCGAGGGTCTACCAATCATCGGTCTTGTTTTCACAGTGTCAAATCGCATCGGAGCTGCTATGTGGGCTCATGGTATGTTTGTTCACCTGCTTTTCACCCTCATACGTTCCCATGTTTTCTTCAGATTTGGAAAAGCGTCAGCACTACGTTGCAGCGCAACGTCCCACGTCGGCTATAGGTAGTAGCACAGGTTTTGAAGCTGTCCAGTCGTAGATTTTGCTAGCTGGTGACAGTGTCATGTATTAGAGGCAGACATGGACTTGCACCAATCTTCTTCCAATGTATTTTATTGCATTCAAAACAAAGGCATTATGATTCTACAAGCACGATATAGCTTGATTTTTCGCCATTTGTTGACGACAACGAATGTCATCATGACATATTCAAAATCTGAAAAGGCGATTATAGTTGCTCCCTGAACAGATGGATGTGAAAGAGAGCGGAAGTAGAGTCTATGACTCAGTTCTGATGCTATATGTAGGTGCGTGTTATTGTCAAAGAACAAATGACAACTGCTCAGTGGTATCTGGTCTTCAAATAAATACATACAATTACAATATTTCTAGGGACCTGATATCCATCATGTCCTTGACAGAAGCTATATCTTTGACCTCTGCAATAATATAACAGTCCGAAGCGATCCTTTTGTATTCTCCGCTAAACTGCTGCGCTAGCAAAAGTGCGTTGAAAGGCTGTCCGAGGCGAACGATCAATCGCAATGCTCGTGAGATTGGTTCTGAATCAACCGGCTCCTGGCCTCCGTCAGAACTACCAGATGACGCATCGAATGGAGACGCATCGAATGGAGACCCGCGCGAGGACCAATATTCATCCTCGCTTTGTGTATCATCTCCAAAATCAGGAGGTTCTACAAATTCAGCGGGTTCAAGGAGATTCCGATTCCAGGGAAGGACAAGGAAGACTGTCTGACGATTAGGCCGTACCGGGGTGAACTGAACAAGCTTCTCTTCCGTGATGATCAGCAGCTCATGAAGCCCATCTGCCTTGATCCCATATGTGATATTAGTGGCACGTTTAATATTGGGATCGCGCCTCCTTCTGATTTCTGTGACACGGAATACCATGCAAGGCAGATAAAGCCTGCAGTGCGCGAAACGAGGAGCTCCCATGTTGTCAAGCAGAGTATAGAGTTTTGAAGCCAATTCCGCAGCCACGATATTTTGCAACGAGGAAACTGTTGTCTGAATCTCGTCTTCAGACAAAGATGGCGCGGTGAATGGCGGAGCTGCGTATGAGGTAATATCGGCTGGAAGACAGCTATTGAACTCGGAGGATTGTCCGACCCAGTCGAGGGCAGTAGTGTCACCCGACCGAGCCACGATCTCCTGCAGGAGCCGTCCGAGCGCATTCTGCTTCTTCTCACCGTAAATTACAGGTAGGTGGACACCGAAAATGCCAAATAATGAGTATGCGACGTCTTCCTGCAATGTAGTGATGCGTGACGACGCCCATTGAAGTCTCTCCCTGACGTCGCTCATCCCTGGACGGAAGACAGCGAGGGCCTGTCGATCTATGCCAGTCGCGACATGCAATTCCTCCATGATCGTAGCGGAGTTCTTGTGGTTGGGAGAATGATCGTCGAGATATAAAGTCCAGTCCTTCTGGTAAAAGAGAATGATTTTGGAAGCGAGGAATTCTTGAAAGGTCCATCCTCGTCTGTTCCATTCACTCCTCGCCAGTGCGCCAGGCTTGGATGAAGGCGGAACATCTGACAGATAGACAATCGTAAGCGTTGAATAGCGATACCATACGAACATAGAGTTGAGTGATTCTTGCAACTCGACGTTGTTGCTTTTGTCGATACAGCATGTATCGCTCCATGCCCAGCGATACCCTGCATCGCGAGCAATTTCGCAGAATGTCCGCAACTTTACGATACCGCCGAGCGAATCCAACTTGTACACAATTTTGTCCTGGATGTCCCGCAGCACCGGTTCCTTCCCTTCCCATCTATGGGATAGCATGACGCAACGAAAGTACGTCGCCACCGCTTCTGTGATACGCTCCATACGGAGGGGATGCTTTGTGCTCAATAACAAAAGCTCCTTGTACTCTGGGCTCGTTTGGAACGTGCTTATCTGTGCTTCTCGATCACATAAGAACCCGGTGACGGTGTTAATTAAACGAAGCGGGGCGGTGTCGAGTTGAACGTCAATGGCCCTTCGAATGATACCCTCCGAAGCGGAGGGACTGATAAACTCCTCGCGCAACCCTTAGGGAAGAGTTTAGCATCTTGATGTATGTATTACGTAGGGCTTACTTCGTATTTGGATGTCGGGAGCCTTGTCCAATATGGACAGCATGATTTGGAAGGCCTCAATTGCTTCATCATAGCGCTGTACGCCATGAAGCGCTGCGCGCTTCACCTGGTATCCAACATGAGACGAAGGGTCGAGCTCGATGACCTATGAATCACCAAAGTGAGCATTGGCTATGAAATAGTGAGTGGATGTCATCATACCTTTTCTGCGTCAAGAAGTACATCCTCCCATAGCAAATTATCCGACTGAACCTTACTACGATTTGCAAAGATGGTGTCGCTCGCAAGAATTGTATCGCTTGCACATATGGTGTAACTTGAAGAAATTAGTGCAATTGCCACAGAGTATAAGCCGATAGCTCTGTCGTGGTCGTTTGCAGCGAGGGCGGTATCTGCATTGGCAATATAGAACATGCTGCATTCTTGTTTGAAAGCTGATTAGAATGCGTGTGAGAATTACAACCTGTGCGACATTACGGACTCCAGACTTGCCATTGGACCAGTCAAGGCAGCTTGCCTGTGTGTTTTCGTCACTTCTATCCATCATGTCTCGGTACGAGTCCATGGCTTCTTCAAGCCTACCTGCCTTACGGAGTGCATCGCACCGTTTCTGGTGTGCATTTTTCCACAACGACTTCAGGTCCCATCCGAACAGCTGCGCAAAGCACGGAATCGATATGAACAATATGTCCGGATGAATGATACCAACGTACCACCACCAAATCCTCGTATATGGAATGAATAGCTGATTTAGATGTGAAAGCGTCAGAGTTGACAGCGGCGGTGAAGTGGTCAGCAGCTTTGTTGTAATGCGCATCATCCATAGCATTGATACCGAGTTGAACACACAGATATGCCTGATGTGCCAAGTTCAAGAAGATCAATGCTGATACACGAAGTGGTGTCAATTAAGGACATGATACTCACTTCCACGATGCGACACACAACAGTATCATTGTTCGGACAAGCGTCAGCTAGTTCTTGCACACGTGTCATTGCTTCTTCATGTTGACCTGCATTGAAAATAGCGATGGCCTGCAACCCGTGAGGAAGCGCGGAGTATGAAAGAAAAACGAACGTACTTTAATCAAAAGAAGGAAACGGACAATTTTTGGATCTTCGTTTGCGAACATGAACGCGAGGTCAAATGCTTTCATTGCGTCCCAAACTAGCTCCTTTCCACAGAGGGCAATGCCCTTGGAGATATAGCCTGCCAATGAGGGCTCAACGCTGATGGACTGTGTCACGGCAATATTTAGAATCATAAAGAGTCCATGATGAAACAGTATATTTCACCTTGATTGCATCCCGAAGCGCGCAGTCCCAATGACACCTGCGTGCCATAACAAATGAGCGATTGGCATACGAGGTGAAGTTGTTGGTAGCAATGTCAATTTCTTGTGTGAATAGCTCTTCGGCGGCAGATAAGTCCCCCGCGATGCATGCATCGCGGGCGGTCGTATTGATGGTAAGGATCTGCGGGATGAAGCATGGTCAATTTGCGTTATAACTGTCAAGGGTGCGGACATACTTTTGAATCAGAGACTTGAGCCTTGACATCAAAAAGATGCTAGATGAGACGGCGAAGGGGCGAGAAATAAGCGCACAAATACCTTCAATGCCGGTTTCGTGAGAAATTCCTCTGGTAAAGCATCTCTAGGGACTGCCCACTCTGAGATTACATTGTCATCGCCTCCGCTGAGGATATGCTTGCCGTCCACTGAGAAAGTGACGCATTGTGTTAAGGATGAGCGTCGGAACATGGCAATCGTTCTTCGATCCGAGAGCTGCCAGAGGCGGACATAGTTGTCAGTAGATGCGGAAGCGACGAGTTTGCCAGTAGGATGAACAGTAATGGCGTTGATAGCGTTAGTATGGCCCGTCCAGGCATCTCCGACCTGCTGCCAGGTCGATGCATCCCACTCCCGTATGCTAGGATCTTGATAATTGCCTCCTGAGAGAAGACGTGTGCTATCGGGTGTCCATGCGAGTGATACATTTATTACAGCGTGACCCTTGAACTTCACGATGCACTCCCTTGTACTTGGGTCATGAATTTCGATATTGCTGTCTGTCGCAATTGCGAGAAGTTCGCCGGACGGAGAATACCGAATGCAGCGGACCCAATCACTGCACTCGATTGGATTTCCTTGTTGCTGCCATGATTCCGTGCTCCATAACTTCGTCGTCCTGTCCTGTGAACCACTGGTAGCTAGTGCCGTACCACCAGGAGAAAAGTCCAACGCTTCAATCCAATTGGAGTGGGCTTCCATGACTTGGGTGAAATATTCTCCAGTTGCTCCATGCCAGGCAATAAGGTCTCCGTTGTTATCACCGCTTGCCATCAACTTCCCATCTCGTGATATTGCTAATCCCCACACCCCGCCGCGATGCCCCACCATTTTCTTCAACACAACACCTGTCTTCAGGTCCCACACGCGAAGCGTGTTGTCCAACGAGCCGGTGACCATACGGCGTCTATCGGGGAAAACTGCGACCGAGGTTATGACGCTCTCATGGTCCTTAAATTGTCGTTCGGGTGTGGTGCTTGGAATGAGCTGCAAGTCCATTTTCTTGGAGGTCGATGGTACAGCCGGGGTAGAACTAATGTGGGTGTGAGTATCAACCTCAAACTGTCTCGTGATTGCTACATATTATTTATATTGTTATAGACGCCCAGGTTGTTCGCCTCTACTAAGGCTGCAGCGATAATATCCTGGTTTTCGTACATATCTTCTTTGATGGTATAAGTCTGTGTACCTCTGCAAATGAGTCTAACTTGTGTCTCCGCAGCTTCTAGAATGTATCTTCTCACATCTGATTGTGATAGTGCAGTCGTCGCTTACTGGCTTTCGAATCTGCTGATGCCGTAACTAACTAGTACTTACGACCTGTCCAATATCATCAATGTTGCGAAGCTCATCTATCCTGGATAACTTCACAATCACCTCCAATCGTCTCCTCTAACGCGGCAATTCGGCTGAACTTTCGGATCTGGACTCTCCTAGATATGTGGTTAAACTTTGCTCATGAACACATTCAAGTTGTCCCTCGGAATGTAGGATAAGTTCTCGAAAGTCGTCATGGCTCCGCAATACTGACAGCGATTATTCACAGGCGCGGTCATGGCGAACCTTCTCATGTTTGTTGAATCCGTCATTCGATGGGCAGATCATGAGCCTCATATAGGCCAAATTGTTGGAACTCTAGTGGGTAGAAAGGTTCTCCATCAGAGCTTCCTTTTATCCACAACGCAAGCTTGATGCAGCCATACTATCTATGACGTGTATTCTTGGATTTTTCCGAATAGCGGCATCCTCTGTAATCAATAGACGTCACTGACGGCATGGGGGAGCTCGGGCGCGTCGCAACGACTTTTTTTATTTTAATAAAAAAAAATCATTTTATTGTCCTTCGGGATCGGAGACCCTATGTAGGACATAGCCCTATTCGCGGGGGGCTTACTCCCGCTTGAACTATCGTATGTATGTATGGGCGCTAATGTGTTATCAATAGAAAACGAGTACTCCGCCAGCGTAGTGTCGGGCAAAGGCCGACGCTGAGTTCGTACAAAGGGAATGATGTGGTGTGAGGTGCGTCTAAACGAGGTCCCTCCTTTCCTACATTGGTGTCTCGGCCGGCGAGACGTCTTCCCTCCAGTCTCGGAGTTGATTAAGTTTGGTTTGGTATTATTTTGATGGTAGGGAGATTAATTGACGTTGTTACTGTAGGATAGTGAATCGATTGATGTTCTCAGCTGTACGAAGTCGCAACGACTTATATATGTAAGTCCCAGATGCTCGGACACCCATTTAAAAGGTTCTTGATATTTCGGACCCGCAGAATCTAGATGGACACACTAGAAATTGAAGGGTCCGGGGATGCATATTTTGCTTGACTGCATGGTAGCAACAACTCTCCCGAAGGAGGGCGGGACGTGATGTCAGGCCCCGTTGCTCATTAAACCTGATCTGCGAATTTGGAGAGCTGCGTTGATCGTTGTTGAAGCTCGAAGTTTCTGGTGAGCAAGCGGATGCATATCTGCTGGTTATATGTATTGACATGTGTCGCAGCGTTGCCGATGCAGCTAGTGCGCCAAATGGCGTCTTTGCCTCCCCCTCTAAGTCAAGGGCTGCACTGAACCATACTTCGATGTAGCGACATGGGATTCCTACAGGACTTTGAGCTTGATTTCATTGTGAACATTCCTAGTGATGCGTGACTATGCCAATGTAGGATTTACATCTGCAGTTCTCCGATAATGACAGCATCTGCATAACTCCCAACTTCCAATCTATCCGGCCCACCTTCCCTTTTTGTTGGCAGTTGCACAAGGCCATTCGCTCCGCTCAGGCTTGCAACCCGACTCGACCTCTGGCCACCTGTACTCGTTGCTAGTAAACCTTCCTCCCCAGCTTTCACGATCACACGATGGAATTCAACACGAGGGTCCAATCGCATGGCATCTCCCAGCTACCGTATCGTGAAGAAAAAATTTCTTGAAGGTATGAGTCACACGTACCTTCACACGTACGCGGGGTAGGTGGCATCTTTCACCAGACCATCCGCCAAGCTTCCGCAACGCTGGTATGACAAAGACGTAGAATGTGACCAGGGCAGAGGCGGGGTTACCGGGGAGAGCAAATATGAATTTCCTCTCATGTTCTCCTTGCGCTGTAGGGATACTTCCAAACGTAGTTGGCTTTCCAGGTTTCATCGACACCCGTCCAAAATGGATTGTGCCCCCGAACTGACGTTCGATTACAGGTTTGAGAAGGTCGCTTGCTCCCATGGATGTCCCGCCTGTCGTGAGTAAAAGGTCGGCACTTTCAAGACCTTGTTTTATTGCTTTCACATGCGCGTCGATGCTAGAGCCGCCTCAGATGATGAGTGTTGAAGAAATCAGCCCTCTTACTCGTCGGAAACAATCCCAAGGTCAATAACATTATATCCCATTCCTTGGAGAGCTGCCTGTAGTGAGGGCCGGTTAGTATCCCAAATGCCTCCCCAACCATCAGAGGGAAGTGGGTTAGGAGATTGGAGGTCTAGAAGCTCATTTCCCGTGCTCAGAATAGCGACAACGGGCTTGCGATGCACTTTGACCTGATACCAGTTCATCACCGCACTAACACATGCCTATTCGTCGACATACCTCTTTTCGCCCGACAAACGTGAGGGTCCCGACTTCGCCTCCGAGACTTGTCAGGACCTCGCCTCTCTGAAGCACAAGGTCACCCTTGTGTACGTCAGAGCCTGGTTCTCGGATATTGTCGTTTGGCGGGACCTGTGCGAGAGTTTTCACCTCTTTTTCTTCTGCATCCTGTCCATTCGCATCCTTTGCGGTGGATAATAGCTCAGTGTCTTCAACCATGATCACCGTATCAGTTCCTGCTGGGAGGGGCCCTCCCGTGTTAATTCGAAAAATGGATCCCTCGGGAAGAATATCGGTCAAGGCGTGAGTTCTAGACGTCAAAACCTTGTACGTTCCAGGAGGGTCAGACGCTAACGGCCTCATCAGCATGGTACGTTATATGCATAGATACGAAAGCTAACAGCGAAGCGCATAGCCATCTACGCTGGTAGTTTTTGATGAAGGAACATTTTGCGGAGCATAGACATCTTCGCCGAGGATGTTACCAGCCAGCGCAGGTGTCACCTGTTAATACTCAGCACGTACTCGATGTACCTAGCCTTTACTGACAGGAAGAGATACCACACCCAGTGGTTGAATTTCATTCATGATGATATTCAGAGCGTCCTCGAGGGATATTTGCGAATATGGTGAAACGCGATGACGAGCATAAACTGTCGACGATCGCATAATGCTTTGATGTGGACTAAGTATTGGATGACGACTTACCAGGCAAAGAAGGATCATGAGATAAAATTGACCGAGGCTGAGGCTCGCGGTGATCATGATGGTGGTGGTGGTGGTGCGGGGCTCCACCATGTCCCGAATTCCCCATAGCAGTATGCACCTGCTTGCCAGTTCCTCCTCTGATGAGATCGATGGCATGTTCAATGAACCCATGTGCAAACAAAGCCTCCATGTTTTCTTTGACTGCCTTCACACTGCCAGGAAGTGTGATGACAAGAGTGTTTCCTACTGTGCCTGCGACAGGTCGAGATAGTGCTGCCAGCGGAGTGCGCTTTAACGACTCGGCCAGCAGTAGATGAACGATTCCTGCTGCCTCGCGCTCCAATAAAGGGGCAATCGCCTGAAAAGGAGGAAGTTAGTGCCTGCGAAAGCAGTATGAATGGTATCTACTTCAGGTGTCCGATCGCGCACGCCGAATCCCGTTCCCCCCGTGGAGATGATCCAGTCAACAGGAGTTTCGACGTCGTAGCACCAGTCTTTTACTGTCTCCCTTATTCGTTGCTCATCATCTGGAAGAATCGCCGAGCGTGTGCAACCGTGCCCTCGTTGCCGAACGATCTCCTGGATCGTTGGACCCGATCTGTCTGCAGCTGCGTCCACCGACGCCGTGTCGCTGACTGATACAGTTTTGGGCTCAGTTTGGCCCTCAGCAATATGAGGTCAAAAACACCCTAACCTGTGATAACGCCAACCTTAATTGCGCTCATGAATGTTCAAGGAGGATGTTGAGCGCTTCCGCGCTGACCATTGGCATTACTCACGGAATCAGGAACTTCAACTTTATCTTATCTGAGTCACACGGCCTCTATATAGATAACAGGTACAGCGCCTCCCTACGTTTTCGTCTTTTCTCATTCGTTCGAAGATTCCTTTGGTCTTCTATTCAACCACGAGGCCAAGGGTTCCAATGGTAGCAACGCCACTTCAAGTTGGAGCTTCTCCATGTGCTCCATATATCTCGGGTTCTATGTGCGACATCACGTGTAGTTTCGATGATGGAGGCACTTAAGCGGGCCGAGGAACAAGATCTGCAGGAACGAGACGGTGTAGGTAACCAATAGCGTAAACACACGTCATTGGGGCTCCGCGATAATCGACGCCACAGACTTCAAAACTTGGTAAAGTTCTGCCTGCGTCGGATGAAAGTTGAAACCTTGCAGCGGTGTGGTCTAGTACGTACAAGGTAATGGAACTAGACCAAAAGACGGACGAATGGTGGAAGATGGCGAAAAGTAGTGATAGAGGAATACAAATACGATGATCACACTTATCACACTTGGTCGTCACTGAGGTAGTTGATCACGCGTGTTACTAGTAAGCCGACATATATTGTACCTCTGATTGGATCGTTACATCCGAACAAAATAGCAACCAATCAAGTGCTTGTCATTTGTTCGCAGTGGCTGGCTCAAACTTAGATTCAAACTTTCGCGAGCGGAACTTTACAAATGTAAGTACTCATCCATCGAACAATACATCTGCGATCGCAGGAAAGGGAGAATAGAGAAACTATGATGAACTTCAATGCAAGCCAAAACACCCGTACCATGTACAACAAACAGTATTGGTACAAGTAGGTTATCAAGGTGCAAAGTAAATGAAGCACGACAATTATTGAAAGAATAATGTAAATCACCAACTTGAAGCGGTCTTATGCCAGGCTTCTCCACATTCCAGCCGCTGGAAGTTTACTTCGGGCTTCAAGTATCTTGAACGCCCGCTGTCTGCCCCGTGCTTCATCAAGAGGGTCCATTTGAGAAGGTTCGTCATCACTCTCGTCATCCTCATCACCCTCATCATGCGAGACAAAATCCAGCGTTCCGGGGTCCATGGAACGGTCACGATCACGAGCGGCATACGAAGCTTTGCGCAAAGCAGAAGTAGAATGCCTGCCAACCATATTCGGGAAAGGTGGCACCATCGCACTAGCACGGTCAGGAAGGGATGTCTTTGGCTGATATGACGCCAATGATAGAGGTTCTCGCTTGCGTGATAATGGCCCAATACTGATGGGCAACGACCCCGGGATTCCTGGAGGATGATAACGTGTACCTACATGAATCTTGAACATGGCCACTTGATTAAAGGGAAGAAAAACCGACCCGAAGTTATATCGTCACTGTCATCGGTGTCACTAACAGTGACGCTCACTTCAACCTCCTCCGGTATGAACGCCCCGGCCGAGCCGTTCTTGCCACCTTGTCTACTGACAAACAACTGCCACGCTTTGCTATTGGGCTTCCAAGCGCCTCTGTGACTCGGGGTATCAGCGGCAACCAACTTCAAAATTTCTTGCTCTTGGGGATCAGAAGTCTCAGCTTCAATAGTGTGTCGGATACGTTCAGTGTGCAACTGCTCAGAGGTTGGGGCTTGTGTTCTTAATGTCGAGTCCTGTTTAGTTATCTGGGCTTGAAGAGAAGCATAGGCGGGTAAGGAGGTCGGCCTCAATGACGATAGAGATGTTGGTAAACCAACATGGTTCGTGCTGTTGCGGAGGCGTGTACGGCGACGGGGAATGTATAGAGTCTCTTTGAATGGAAGGACAGGAGCTGCATCTGAGGAATCCCGATCACTGCTTTCACCATCCAGATCAAATATCATGTCTAAAATGAAAGCGCCGTCAGAAAATCGCGTAAAAATCATCCAGTTAGGTACCTTGCATATCACGTCCTTGACTGCTTCCATTTTTCTCCGGATTTGGCCCGTCGACTATCAGCGCGTCTGGTTTAATGTCAAATGTCACCTTGCGCTTCCCCCTCGACTCATTGCCATTCCTGCCATGATCTGGCTTCTGCAATCGGCCCTCTTTAACTCCCTTCAGCTTGTTCTCTTCGTCGCCGGGTGCCCTAGCAGAAGTGGAAGCGTTACTCGGTTGCGTAGTCGCTTTCCAAGTTTCTGTAGCGGTCGTTCCGGTTGCTGGGAGTCGCTGACGTCCGCGCATAATTTCCATCTCAGCTTCCATATCTATGAAATATCGGAAGCTCGCAGCCGTGTCCCGAGCCTCGTCCATGCTGCGTTTAAATGGCTGAGTCAGACTCTCACCTGTCGTCACTGGCAGTAGTTCTCTAGATGAAGTAGAGGACGACAGTGACCGACTGCCAGCGGAGCCAACAGATGACGGATGGGATGAATAAGGCGGTGGCGACCGTGAAATATCGCTTGCCTGTCCAGAATGAGTATTCCGTTCCTGAAGGGCACGAGGATGGTGAAATGCCGAAGTCGCAAGAGAAGCAGAGAGCGAAGATACTCTTGGTATCGATGGCGCGGGGGAAACCATTCTACCGGGGCTGACGACAGGCACGAAATCCCGTACGGAAACCACCGGTGAACCAACAGCTGGTCCTCCTGCATTGTTGATATCGGGCTTTCTTGTAGGATCCCTCCGCTTAGCGACATCGGAAGCGCCCCAATCCTTCTCCGTCTGACCTAAGCTCTCGAGAAATCTTTTCCAAAGACTCTCCACGGCTCTTTTCAAATCCTCCTCAGCCTTCTCAATTTCAGCGACTTTATCCCGTATGAGAGCAGTGAACTGTTCCTCAGCGGACGATCTTAGACCCTGTGACTTGGATGTGGCTATGGACGACAAGTGAGCAAAAACGGGATGTGAAGGTATAAAGGGTGCGGGTGGAAACAAGGGACGCAAATTTGACAATATGGGCTCAGAAATTACTCGAGGGCGCGACACGTCAGTGGAGGCGATGTAACAGGGCTGCGCGCAGGGCTTAGAGGCACCTGACGGCACAGCAACATTGAAAACTGGGGAATATGTCGTTGACGACAGGAGCCTGAAGACGGCATCAGGATCCTAAAGAAAGTTTCTAGTCAGCAAACCCTGCATGTAATTATGGTTGACATCACGTCATAGACGTCATGGCATATCCCCGGAAACTGCACAAAGCAAAGGGCTGAGGGAATTGTGCTAGAGACTAGAGACCTAGCCTCCCTCACTAACAACGAGAGGAAAATGAAATGACTCACCAGGCACTCAGTATGTACCTCAATCCAGCCGCAACTACTCATCAGTATGTCTTGCTCAACCCAATCATAAGTTGGAAGTAATGGTCCCTCTTGGCCCTCCACATCCAATGGGACCAACTGCTGTACACGATATGCGAGGGTCTGACACAATAAACAAGTCAATGTCGTATACCGAATGCATCGATTTGTATCGCCCAGAGAGGGACCCATTTTACGTGTTCTCATCGTCACTTGAGGATGAGCCTATCATATAAATCAGAATTCACGACAAAAAATGTGTTTTAGGATAAAAGGTGTAACCTACAACGTTGAGACCGTCTTGACCAACATACATCAGTGTATAGTCAGGATCTGTTGCACTGTCCTTGAGAAAATCTGGAGGCGTGCTCTGCAGTGGCGGTTGCCTGGATTCTATTCGAATATTGAGACATTTACAAGCCCTGGTTGTACCATCCTGGCGGGCATTCGCCATGGTTGATGATGACCTGGCAAGACGAAAGACAAGGAGATTACAACAATAGCGTTGGCGAGAGAGTCAGAGATGTGGATATGAATCCAGTGTCATAGTCATCCCAATCAAGAAATATTTTCCACGGTCCGATGAGTGCGGTGAAATTCGCGTGTTTCTGCCTAATTTTATACAATATCGCCGCAAAAGTCAAAAATGTTCCAGCGACGGCGAAAACCAAAGGTTCAGAGTTCCCCCGCGCATCAGATCAATTGGGGATATTACAGGATATCTCTCAATCAACAGGCACTCCAGATAATATAGTCAACCTGAATTAGCAAGCAACGTCAAAGCACTGTCAATGGACGGTCTAGAGTGAGTCAATCGCATTTACGCGGGCCCCACAGGAGTTAGCACGCAGAAGAACAAGAACATTCCATTAGACTAAGCATTCCGAGACGCTGGGTTGATCAGGCGAGGTCCTTGGAGGTCTACTTGTCCTTCTTTGTCTCACTGCTGCTATCAACTTTGACGACATCCTCTGCCATTACCTGACCATACTCGTTCACTCGTTTAGGATCGATGCGGTAGATCCAGCGCTAAACAAACATGAGGCTTGAGTCTAGATTATATATGGAGAAATAGCTCATAGACCCACCTGATACAAGAAAATTAAAAACACAACATCATCCCGGAAGCACGCCAGCCGGTGTAGCATAGGCATCTTAATGCAGAACCTGTATTCCCGCGAAAGGTCTTGTGAGCCTGGAATTGTGCACTGATTTATCGTAAATTCTTACGCAAAAAGGTCGTCGACAACTGTCGACAACGTCTTATATATCATTGCCTTCATGGGCATATGCGCCACACTCTGAAGGAATATCGCAAGTCAGGACAGGACATAATCCCCGTATGGGCAAGCGACAAACCTTGAGTTTGTAGTTGATAATGAGTTGAGGTATCAATTGTGCCTGTCATAATTCATGTCAGGTAGCCGAGTAGCAGCATCCAATGCGGACTTACAAAGCCAAACATATACACAAATGAAGTCAGCGTCGAGATCACGAAGCTGTACCATCCTTTATGGGTCTCGTAAATCAGCGAGTAGATCGTATAAGCGGCGAGTAATGGAATAGTAAAGTATGACACAATGCGGAATGCAAGCTTGTCATACCTGACCAAATACTTATGTCAATATTCATTGTCCTGGATCTGCAGTGACTGCATTGACTCACTCTTGTGTCTTCTTCTCATCGTCACTGAGGACATGCTTATCTAATGGCCGTGTATTAGCGCACGAAAACACGTGCAGGAAACTGTACCTTTGATACTAAGCATATAGGGCAATTGAGAGCCAGACGGAGCAGCGATGATGCTGATATCCACAGCCTTTGTGATCTGCGAATAGAATCAGGCCAACTCGATTTTGTGGTAATGTTCCTCATGCACCTTCCAGGCCTCGATAACGACACCCATTCCAGACCCCATAAGGATCATCCAGCTCGTGTTTTCGTTGTTGTCAATAAGGTACAAAAGCACCACGGTCTGGACGAACACATTCGTTATTATCTAGAAAACAATCCGATACGCCGGTCAATTTGAGACTGGGGCGTCTCCCGAAAAGGCAACATACTGTTCTATTGAAGGAGAATGAGGAGTCACTATGACAGCCAACGACGCCTGCACCACGTAATATCTCACCTGACAGAGACGCCTACCAGCTCCTTTCGCTGCCGCCAGTGCGAAACATCTGATTTGAAGGCAAGCATCTCGAATCTTCAGGCGCCACAGGATCAATAACGTATCCGATGATCGCCGAGATGCACTCACACAACATGCAACATGCTAACCAGTCCAGTCAGACCCAGGAACCATGGATTAGTCTCGGTAAGCATTCGTTTGACCTCGTCAAGTTCCGCTCCTGCGCCACCACCTTGTTGTTTGAGGGCTTCGTCGAAGCCATGACTCATTGATGCAAATATCTGGAATTTGAAGTATGACATGGGTTGGAAAATTACTTCAAGCGGCAGCGTCGGGGTGGTTGTATTAATTTCGATTAGATGCGAGCGAAGTAACCAGAAATCATTGGGGAAGATTATAGGCTTGTAGAATCCTTTAGTGCCAGTGTCATCCCGCGCGCCTGGAACCAGGTGCACATCTAAATCATAGTGAATTATGTGTCCTAAACCCTCTTAGACAGACATACGCTCAACGAGGACCGGGGGCAGTTTGTTGACTTCTATGGCCGTCTCGTCGGAAACGAGAGCCAATGTGAGGTTCTGTTTATGGGTTTATCTAGGAAGAAGATTCATGCAAATTAAGATCTACCTTGTGCCAATGCGACACTATGACATCGTCTTGCGGCTCCTAGAGGATCCTACTCGTCGAAAGTGGTAGCAAGAAAAAGGATACAGTGACAAACCTTTTCCACCTCTTCATTGTCATCCGGATTGGAAAGCAAATTTTTCTCTTTGCGTGCTTTCACTCTGGGCATGAAACGCGTCAAAACTGAAATAAAACACGAGTCAATCTTGGACTGAAAGCCGGCAGGTTCTAGACTCACGTTTCCGAACATGATGTACTGAATGAGGATCAAAAGAGGGATTTGAAGGGTCCGGACTTGCGCCATCCTTGACAAGGAAAATATCCGCCCATAAAGATCCGTTCTTTTGCACAGTCTGCACAAGTTTCCATATAGATATTGGAGGGATAACATTAAACAGCTCACCAGGGGAAGGTTGATATCATACGTGGCAACCCTTGTCTCCTTCCAGTCTCCGAAAACGATGTTCTCCCAGACGAAATTGGGAAGACCGGCGTCCTGGTCTTCCCGCCATGCTGACGTCCATTGACGAGAAAACACATCGCCATTCGGCGAGGTCGAGAAATATACGTGCATGGATAAAGGTTGTCCGATTTTCCACGCAGGATATGCTTGTACGGGGGGTAAAAGGAATGGGTTGACCTCACCTGGCTGAGCGGCTTCATTACTAGGTATTGCTACAGAAGGGGCAGTTGAAGGCTTTGCCGGTGATATGAGTTTCATAGCTAAACATTCTCCGATGAGTCTTTGAATTCCCGAGCAAATAATTGGTGACGCACCAAGCTGAGAGAATGCCCATATTAAAAATACTTGCTGCAGATCGGGTTAGCTGCGGTATTGCACAGATCTCAGGTAAATGTGCGCTGACCTGAACCACTGAAAACAATTTCCGGACTGGACTTTCATCCTGCTCGGCAGGAGGGCCAGCTTGAGCATGAGCTGGCGTAGACATGGCTCTGTATTAGCTGTGACAAACCAAGGAACACCGTTACACGCGCAACATCCAAAGTCAGCTTCATCATCACGTGATTGGGCACATTTCTATAGACCCAGCATCTTCAAGGGGTCAAAGTATACGGTCGACATGTTACTCCCAAATGGCGATTTGTGTTGCCAAAGAAAGAAGTCTTGTTCGCCGAGCCTGCACAGTGCATTTCGGCGGACAGTCGTGCCATAACCAAATTTTCGAGATACGAAGTTCTTCCCGGTTTATCTCGAGGGGAATCAGGGATACTAATGAAAATATTGTAAACCATTCATGGGAGCAACAGTAGTGTAGGGTAATTACAGGGCAAGTATGTACCTATAGGATCGATCAGTGACAAGAAAGAAGTCGTAGTTGGGCACTCTTCAAAACATTTGTGAGGGAAGGCGATGAGTAATCTATGCGCCATACGTTCCATTAAACTTGAACTCTCCACTATCGCTCCAGCGCATGTTTACGTGCTGACCTTCTCCCAGTAAGAACAAGTCATGCTTAAAAAGAGAATAATTAATGAGGCAAACCTGGCAGATGCGTCGAGGCGACCAATGCGTTTTTCAAAGTCATCAATGGGCATCTTGTGCATTTTCCACGTTGGTGGACCGCCAAGGCCTAGCACAGTACCAAAGACAACGGGATCAGCGCAAACGCCATCGTAGGACCACTTGGCAGTGCCAGCCTTGCACGATGGTTTCCACTGTAATTCACGTTTATGACAGGTTGACAGATGAGAATGATCGAGGAAACCTACGGTCATCTGTTTCTTGATACCACTGTTGGCAGCCTTTCTGATCTTCTCGACAGCCGCGGCAACCTGATCCGCACTCATAACTTTGGGCGCGGAACCAGCCTTTCTTTGCTGAACACTCTCTGCTCAAGCTCTTTCGCGTACTGGGCTAACTCGACCAGGGACTGACGGATATCATCGTCGTCATCTGGGATTGGATATGTGTCAGGGTGAGCAAGAATGGTTTTGACGAGTGCTTTCGCAGAGGAGTGAGAAGTGCGGGATTTGAAGATGACGCTTCCTCGGCATCTGATTTACGTTTTTATGCTGGCATTTCGTGGGAGGCGTTCACAGTTGTGGATGAGAAATTGTGAACTGTATGACGCGACGCGTTTATACCCGGCGTGACTCAGCGCGTCGTCACGTAACGCTTCAAAGCTTCAAGGATGTGTACACTGTACCATTCTCATTTGCACGGGGAGACCATACTTTTCCAGACGCATTGCAAGAGGCCCCTTCGGTTTATTTAGATCCTTCATTCACCTTCAACTTCCGCACAAACGCGGGCTGATTTCGGGAACTCTTTGGGCTCATGCTCAAACTATACCACTCGAATATTCTTTTCTGTACATAGCTCGGATAAGTAAGTATGCTAACAATCCATCTGGTTCCTCCCCTTTGTTCGCAAAGCCAACCAACACATAGATACAGAATTTGCATGATCACATATCATGGCAAGTGACACTGGTGCTGATGTCCGTTTGCAGCATTCGTGCACAATGAAAATCGCACAAGCCGTGACATGGCTCGGTTGCAACTTGTAACACGCCGGGACCAGGCACTGAAATGGCTTAACCCAAATGATGATCAAATGATCCAGATCTCCTCCGCCTTGGCACCGAATATATCAACTGATCGGGTATCAGGCCATTCCGTCGAGGATGCTCCATTGCTCACATGTCTGAATCAATAATGAATCAGTGATCACGGGAGCGCTCTCGTACATCATGCATCACTCCTGAGCTGTACAGGGTCTGCCGCGGCACGGACGTGAGACCATATCTCTTCTAATGAGTACAAAAATATCTGGTACTAATACTGTGCTTTGCAGTATCTTCATAGCATGATGGAATACATCTGAGCCATTTAGGCCGGCTTTTATCCAGTCTTCATGGTGTAAGCCCTCCGGTGTCGTCGAATACATCACCATGTCTCACTGATGATCGAACAAAGGAAAGCCTGTCTACCCTACCTTTGAAGACAGGAAGAAGGCCCAAGTCAGAGCTCCAGGATTCGAAAAGCTCCAAAGGTTTTGCAGTTTTTTGTGAGAAGACCAGTAATTATGGCATGGTTTTTGTACGGTAAGATATCTATCGCATGGATAAAGGCATCATTAATACTGAACTGGACGAGTGGATTCGCTCCATGTTTCGGTGGTATTGCATTTCAGCCCATCTGGACTACCCACCTGGTCCAAAGACACAGCGGATGATGAATGGACGCCAAGGGACTGGATGCTACATGATCTCCTTGCACCTGCCAAGATCAGATTCTTCAACAAGCACTGGTTACCCCTGACAGATCATAAAAGCGATGAAGCTGCACAGAGTCCAACATATTGAAGATTTTGATGAGAGCCGCCGACATTCCTGCGCAAGATAAGAAGGGTCAGAGATATAGCATATTCCCTGATGGGTAATTTTGGCGTCAACCTGCAGACTGCGCATTCCGCAGGTCCGTCGAAGCTTATCATGCAGGCGGATGACCTCTCTGTCCTCAACTGGGCGGGCAAAGCTGCAAGGCATCACAGTTCGCATGCTATTCCTAGATCGCCATAGAGTTTCGTAGGCCATCGAGATGTGCGGTTGGTAAAGAGCTTCTCGAGATTACTGACGAACCTCAGTTTGCGAGTGTATCACTCCTCAATATCCAGCGGTCCGTTCCGTATGCTGTGGGTGGCATACTCGAGTGCCCGCTGTGTCCAACCATCCAAATTGATGTCAATACAATTTTTTTCCAATAGATTTTGAGCTGGTATGCTCTTTGAAATCTCAACTATTCAGTGCCACGGATCGAGGCCAAGTTGGCTGGCTTTACCCTATTCTGCAAACGCTCGTACTCCACAGACGCCTGGGTACACAGGTCAACTGATTTGGTTGGGCTTGAGGCTGCTTCTACCCCTGACATGAATTTCACCAGTGGCAGAAACATCGCTATTCCGAACGTGTCGGCACAGCACGATGGGGTGGACGACAGTGCGTTATTAATGCTGAATCGTGCTGAATGCATATGTAGAAGAAATTTATCTATAATTATTACGCCCTGCCAATGACTGACGCATACTCCTAAATTCAGGTTTCCAACAAAGCCGCGTAGGGCAGAGGGAAGCACTACTAGTACATGCACGACCTGAAGCCTAGTGAAACCCTATGCAACCGACTGTCTTCCTTGTCATGCATGGCCTGGCTAGGGGGAAATTTTTAATGTGACTTGGGGTGAAGGTACGAGGATGAAATTATTGTGGAAAGATGCACGATCATGGTAGAATGCATAACGAGGAAGCGACTGTCATCCTATGTGGCCTGCCGAAAGGAGACTAGGTATAACCTGTCTTCTGTAGGCTATGTCTGTCATCGATAATTTTGCCTTCATGCTTGCAGTTTTTCATGTAACTCTTTTTAACAAGACGCTCTGCCTTCGATCGACGGGTGCACTGAAGACTGCTCGACACTGCTTTCAAGACCGCCTTTGCGTCAAGAGGGGTCAGCAAATACAGGAAGCATTACATAAATGTATTTCGCCATTCGCTCCGGCGACTAGACAAATTACTGGATGATAAGTGACAGATAAGATAAGAATTAAATTCACGCCAGTAAGAGAAGAAGGCGGAGACACTGTGAGTAACCTAGAAGCTCGACATAGGGCATGATCGCGCAGTAGCCTGATGAGGGGATTCCTTCGAGATATCGGTCTCGTCGTGTATAATCGCGGCAAGTCTCCCCAAATCAAACCATAAAGAAGACAGTCGTTCCTTCTTGATTATGACCGCGGGCTACCACATTCGCTCAAATCCGTTAAGCGCGGAGAAATACGTTGCGCCAGTGTGGGATAGATTATGCGCGGGTAAATTGATAATGGCATGACCAGACAACGTTTCCAATGCATAGAACATAGCGTGACCTGTAACGGCGATAAGATTATTCGTGTGAAAGGACAAGAACGTTGAACATAGGCCAATGGGAGCCGAAACCTGGATAGCCTGTCAGTGTCATCACCGCCTGCGTCGTAGTAACGTTCATGATGGAGCTTGGTGACGGCACGTCTGAAGAGGAGCGAATTCTATAATTGGCGGCTGGCAGTGTTCGCGAGGCTATGTGGAGCGCTTAGTCGATAAGAGTTCAAGGACGTCTTAATTCAAGTACCTGCAGGCCATCAACAATAAAAACATATGAGTACAACATTAAAAAGATGGCCGAACAACGAGGCCGACAATGACAAGGAATTGACACAAACGAGGTTCTAGAATTCACAATAGCAACAATCAAAGACACAGATCTTGGTGAGTGTGGCGTGGGAATATCTTCTAAAATTGGATATACCCTAGACCCTGCCCTATACCCGAACCCTCTGCCCAGCTCTCAATTTAATTTTGCGGTTTATTTCCACAACGCTCCTCTTTTCTAAACAACCACCATCCTCAACTCCTCGTACGTCCTCCTCATCTTCCTCAACGTCAAGCTTGCCTTGCTCATTGTCTTACTCTTTCTCTAGCTCTATACTCATTCTCAACTCATACAATAGTGAGCATTTGACGCGTTTAAGACGCGTCAATCACGTTGCTAACTGTTCCTCAGATGCCTGAAACGCGTGAGGACTCTGTCTACCTCGCTAAGCTCGCTGAGCAGGCTGAGCGTTACGAAGGTAATTAACCAACATGCCTGGCTTGTACAGTCGCTTACAATCATTTAGAAATGGTCGAGAACATGAAGCGAGTGGCGTCGTCTGACCAGGAATTAACTGTCGAAGAGCGCAACCTTCTGTCCGTAGCATACAAGAACGTTATCGGTGCACGCCGTGCATCGTGGCGCATTGTCTCTTCGATTGAGCAGAAGGAGGAGTCCAAGGGTAATGAGGCTCAAGTAGCCATGATTAAGGGTTACAGGGAGAAGATTGAAGGCGAGCTCGCCAAAATCTGCGAGGACATCCTCGACGTCCTTGACAAACACCTAATCCCCTCCGCTGCTTCTGGCGAGTCGAAGGTATTCTACCACAAGATGTACGTCTCCCAATGACATGCGTAATCATTCACTGACGTCATACTCCAACAGGATGGGTGATTACCACCGTTACCTCGCAGAGTTTGCTACCGGCGACAAGCGCAAGGACAGCGCAGACAAGTCCCTGGGTGCCTACAAGGATGCATCGGAAGTTGCTGTCACAGAACTACCGCCCACACATCCTATCCGCCTTGGTCTTGCCCTCAACTTCTCTGTCTTCTACTACGAAATCTTGAACAGCCCCGACCGTGCCTGCCACCTTGCCAAGCAAGCATTTGACGATGCAATTGCTGAGCTTGACACGCTCTCGGAAGAGAGCTACAAGGACTCGACCCTCATCATGCAGCTACTACGGGACAACCTTACCCTCTGGACTTCAGACATGCAGGATTCAGGTACGTCGTCTTCCTACCAACCTAATATGCGTTTCTTAGCTGGCTTACAGAGAAACCAGATACGAAAGACGAGGCTGAGGCTGCAGGCGAAGACTAGAGGTTTACCTTTGTCTTTTCCCTCCGATCTTTATATCAGGTTACCCGCTGCTATCTCGCACTGATGCGATGTCTGATAGTTTGGGTCCTTGACACTTCATTTGCATTTCCTCACCTCTCGCATCGTCTCATTTTCGTATGTTCCTTTATTATCCGTAGCCATACTTGCGGTCTTGCCATGTCACGTAGCCTGTAGGGGCAAACAAAGATATTATGAAACTCCTCAATATCGTGTGATAATTTTACTCGGCTCCATGTCTCGGACGATGATAGCATGCTATGATACTCTCGTCAGTCTTGGTTTGTTGCAAGGACAGCGAGCTGCGAGGGTGCCAACTCGCTATCCAAATATTCGAATAATCTGCATCTGTGTTACCTCATGTCCTGAGCTTGTCTGCATTCGTCCGTACCAACACCATGTCACGCAGGCATGAAGCTAGGAGGCTCATCAATCTATTGAGAGTGTTTCTGAAGGCATTGGCTCGATATGTTGCTTTCCCGTTACGACTCATACATCGTCTGTTTCATACCCTTTTGCAACTATATCGTAGGCGCCAGTTCCTACCCACTCAAAGGGACGGACACCTAGAGCGAGTTGCTGGCTCAATCCTGCCTCCCATCCTTCCTGTGAGCAACCATACTCAACTACAGGTGCCACCGCTATCAGGGACCGCGGCCAATTCATCGGTCTCATTATTGTCTCCTGCAACATCAGCTAATCATGGCCAGCAACTGCGTCCTGCAGCTCCAATCCTCCCCCAGTGTCATCCAGTGTTTAGGGCAACCACGCCCTCCCAGGTGATGCGATACAATAAAAACCCTCAAATGTGGGCTTCTCATCTTTCGAATAAATTCATGGACTAAATAGGGTCGCAGCAAGCGTGAAGTCAAACTTGTGAATATTCCTGCTGGAAAGAGAGACTATTCAGAGTGAGTCCGATCATTTTGTTGGAGCAAACAGTGCTTGATGACGGAGCGTAGTTTAGAAGACAGCGGTGACTGGTGTGCCCGTGTACACCCCGAAGGAGCCCTATACTTTCATGACTCCGTTCGCGTATATCATTCATTACAACGTACCCTCCGTCGCTTATTGCAAGTAACAGGGTATTTACACTGACTCAAACATGCGGAATGAAACACGCCGATCTAGCATGGCCTCGTGTATCGACGAGTTGCTCGCTCTGATGGCTTCACGTTGTGGATTGCAGCTGCATAGTGGTGGCATCGAGCTCGTGGTGGAGTTGACAAGGAATCCGAATCATCATAGGGTGTGCAGGTACTATTTCGTCGATCATCCCAACCGTCTACTTTTCTGGCTTGATGAGATGCCCACGGCAAGGATCTTTGATGGAGTTCTGGGAGTCGAGAAGTGGAGCCACATCAGTGCGTCCTCTTACAGGAGTAAATATCACTGTGTTCTTGATTCTTTACATCTTCAGAGTATGCTATCCAACATCAGTACTGGCAAGTCTGTCATTGTGTGTATTCATTGTCTGGTCGTGACATTCTTCTAACAGAGTGATGGAACAGGACTTGCAGTATTAGTGTAAGATTAATCAGATTTCAGGCAACACTGCGAACTGTATCCCAGTGACAAGCTGCCAGGCCGTCAGTTACTCAAGGAACTCAAGGAAGTCGTTATGCATGCTAGCGCTGGTAATATTTCCTTCTCAGTCCACCGTGTGTCGCTGAAATGAGTTTATAGAGATTATTACAACGGACTTATCGCTGTCGCCCTTCGACGCTGATGAATTATCGAAAATTCTAGATTTGATCGATCGACTTGAAAGTAAGCGACAGGTTTATCTATGGCGGCAGAGCGATCACTGATTCTTGACACTAGATGACGTCCAGGGTGCCCATTATACATGTGTCATAGGTACGCGTCGTATTTGAATCCTGTTTTCATTTAGAGGATGATTATTTCTCAGTGAGGTTCATGCGCTATTTCTGTAAGTTCCGCGCTGCAGAATACATCGCTTCTAACCTCCCAACTAGCGCGAGCTCAGTTTTTCAATTTTTGCGGACTGCCCGAAGCCCGTTTAAACGCGGACCAGTCTCTTTTCGTCAAGGAGAAAAAGTCAAAGTTTTTAGTGGCTTTGTCATGGGCCGTTAACGTCGCACTGTTCGATGCCCCGCGGTCACACATGGAAGAACTCCGACGAGTGTGGGTCGACCGGAGCATCAACTCTCCGCGCTGGAAGAACTTTAACAGCAAGCTGAGCAGTGAGTGGTCGGGCATCACAATGTATGTGCGTACTGTGAATCCTATCACTTGACACCTATTTTGCTGAATCATATCAGTCAACTGTAATGGTAGCAGTGGATGTCAGTTTCCTAGCTGTGCCTTCCGTAAATCCCCAGAATACGGGTTCGGTCACGGTTATCAGCACGTACATTTCCTTGTTTTGCATCGTCGGATCGTTGGTCGTGTCCTTGTTTCTCACTAGACAGAATCGGATGTATGGGCAGGAATCTGCCGACGCAGCGGTGAGGAAAGAACGGTGCACCGGTGATTAAATATTGCTGAAACAAAATCATCGCAGGTCGTATTCCTCACGCGCGTAACAGGATCTATATTCGGCACTAAATCGCTCGCGACTGTGCACGGTCTTCCGTATGCTATGCTGCTGTGGGGGTGAGTATTTTTGTTGTTGTTGAGCCTCCGTTACTCACGTAATTCCTGTCCTTCTGTAGCATGGTGTATTTCATAATTGCGTTCTCGTACCAGGTCTTCACGTCCACGCCCATCATCACTCTCGCGACCACCGGGAGTGCATGTGGCATTGTGGCGCTTTTCACCCTGTGGCTCGTAAGCGCGGCGAGGGAATTCCATATTTTGCCGTGGTTGCAGGCGCATTTCAAAGAGAAATGTCGGATGCTTAATCGGATACGATTTGGGCCACAGCCTTGATAGTGACTCGGTCGAGTTACATTCCGAACAATCGTTCGGTGTATTATTAATATGCATATCAGACATCCCGAAATGCATTACTGCTACTTATGTTGTTAGACCTTATAATTGCACCTACATTTACACGATGATAGCGGTATTGATGATCCTGCCTGTGTTTATTCGACACTGTTGCTCGCGTCTACGATATTCCATGCCAAAATGGCCAAGGAACTTGGATAAGTATGTGCATATTGGCACAAACGATGCATGTCTCATTCATTCAACCCCGGAGACATTTTGACAACTATCGGAGTCGTATTTCGCCTGAAATGACATTCCCAAGAATGCGTACAGTACGTTAGCCAAAACTGGAGCAGAGGTAGAAAGAATCGAACATTAAATAAATCAGGGCGTCGTTCAGGAAGCACAACTCTGATGGTCGTCGAATGTGCCACGAACCGCCAAAGTCAACACATCAAGGGAGGGCTGGTAAAATTGGTCAAGATGGTAGTTATTCCATATCAGAGGATAGCCTGAGACTCTGGCATGTCGTTGAAGATGAGCAAGAATATTTCTTGTAGGAGATCTACTGAAAGTTGATGATGGATGGGAGTTCTGGATAGCTCAGGTTGACGGAGATGAGGTTGACGAGGGAAACAAGTGAATGAACGAAGGATAATATGAATGCATCGATCCCGTGCTTGAGCAGTTCCTGTCCTAGGGTAAGGGTAGCAGTGGGAAGTTGCGCTCATGACAGCGCCAGGGCCGCGTTCATAGGTTCAGTTGGGAGCGCCGGGAGGTCGTGGTCAGCAGCAGCAGGGATAGGGTTTGAGTGCACAGCACACGCGTATGGTCGAGGGCGAGTGGCATCAAGGCGATGGCAGACTCGGAGAAAGTGTGGGTGTAGTGTTCGAAAAGGTGGCTGTCATCTGCATGGTCGGCGATGAGGAAGAAAGAGAAAAAGACGCAAGCTGCAAGAATATAATTAATATATTTCGCAATTTTAACGTAGCCGCCAACGTCCTTAAGTGGGGGTCTCCCTGCCTAGGCTCCTTCCTACCGCTGTGGAGGGAGAGAGGCGGTCTACTGAGTAGTACCGAGTGCTACTGAGTGACTCCCTGAGAGCCGTGTCATTTTTAGAACCCATGCGTGCCAAATTATACTTACACAGCCACAACATCACTATGTAGATCCTAAACCTTGTACAGTTCGTTCTAACCTCGACACCTGGCCGAACCCCTAATACAACCCTTTTCATATCTTCTTTCTGTACGTATCAGTCAAACCTTTTCTGCAGGGAGAAAATGCATCATCTGCCGCCAAGCAACGCCAGCACCTCTTTGGCCGTTTCCACGGAGTCCACGTCTACCGCGAAAGAGAAGGGCGACACTTCTTCGATAATTCTGCTGCCGCATTCTAGATTCAGTGCCATTGGAGTTGGCGGTAGTAACACTCGGATCATCACGGAAACGGGAGCTGCTGGACGACTCCAGTATTGACAGCAAGTATAGCCGGAATAAATGGGAGGGTACGACGAAAGGCACAGAGCGGCATAGTTTGTTCGGAGGCACTTTCGCCACATCCTTCGGGAAGTCCAGGCAGCCTCCGCCAAGGATCAGCTCGTACGCACCGAGCTGCTTAATTACTCACTTTGAAACAGGTCATTGATTAACAACGAAAGTCCAATGGATAAATGTTCGAGTCTCAATCTTTCCCAGTTGTACAGCGGTAGTAAATCCTCGAGCCGCCCATTAACATTAGACAGATCGCTTTCCAGCACTCTTTGCAATCCCTCGCGCAGCGATTCTCTTGATGAGAAGAGGAAGTCAAGGGAGAAGGGGAAGACGTTCGAGAAGCTGAAAGGCAAGGATGCGGATAGTCAAACACTGAAAGAGAAGTCCCCGACGGTACTGAAAAACCACATTGCAGTGGTCCCAAGAGCCAGTCTCGAGGTCCTATCACGTTCAAGCCAGGAAAGAATATCATTGACCGGATCGGCACCCCTGATCACCGAGGATGGATGCGCAAGAAAGGCGACCATGAAAATGCCTGGAAGGTGCGGTACTTCGTTATCAAGGGCCCACATTTGTACATCCTGCGGAGTGACAACAAGACGGTGGATATCACAGCCTACTTAATCATGAAGACATACACTGATGCAAGTTGTTCAGGAAGTGAAAATCAAGAGTTACATCAATATTGTCGGATACAAGGTTATTGTGGAGAGCGTCGATCCAGGACGTTATGGCTTCAGGATAGTGCGACAAGACGCATTTCTTCAGCTCTGATGAGCAAATCGTGGTACGCGAGTGGATGAAAGTGGTCATGAAGGTCACCATTGGCAGAGACTATTCGAGTAAGTCCGAGCCATCACCTTGGTCGCTTATCTGACATTCTGTTAAATAGAGCCTGTTATTTTGTCAACATCCCCACTATCCCTTTAACAGCCGCCTATGCAATGAACCCTCCCCGACCGTCGTCTCCTACCGCTCGCGATGCAGCGCGAAAGGCTTTGCGTCGCGAGAATCCAAATCAACTATCTTCTCGTGATGCTCACGTTCTGATGGGTTTACCATCGCTGAATGCCAGCGACGCACAGGATAGCGAACGGGCCCGCCTTGATTCGTTCTTTACTCAGCAGCCCATTTCAAGCCAGCCTGAGGGACGAGTCCAGATGATCATCTGTGGCGAACCAAGCTCCTCCCCGCCCGATTAGAGAGGTATGCCCTTCGCGAACTATCGCAGTTTTTCTACTGCCTTCTCTGCGGTGAGACATAATCTTACGAACCTTATACAGCTGAATCCTTCTAACGTGGGTCTGATTGAATGGGCTAATTCACACTTACCAGCTGCGTTACAAAATTATGATCTCACTGGCCATCTTTTCACCGGTCTTGCTCTTCTTCGTCTCTCGGAATCAGTTTTAAGGAAATCACCCTCACCCCCCGTGCCGGACTCGGCATTCCCATCTGGCCCCGACGACGACAAGGACTATTTCGCCTGTTTGAGTTCCTCCTCGACAATGACGAAAAAATGGGCAGCGTAAGCATCAACGGCATCCGATGAGGGACACGCGATACAATATTACAGCTTCTCAAAGTACTCAGGGCATGGGAAGACAAGAAGATGGTCATATTGAGATCTGTTGGCGCGGGGAGAATTTAGGCTGGTCCCTTCATGGCCCTCGATATAAACACTTGAAAGAAGAGATGAACTCATTTGGGCTGCTTATCACTCGAGATCGCAGACTCGATCTTCAATCATTCATTTGCGCTATAGATATCGTGATGACCCTCGTATGCATTTGGGTTATGGATATCTGGCGAATATCACATCCTGCGGATAACTACATTATGTATATGGAATGGATGAACTTTTCAAGGATCGTGGCATGTGTAAGGAATCAACGTGACAACTCATTCATGCAGGTCAGAGTTTGGATGACTCAGATGGAACCATGTTGATGTATGCAGCTGATGCGATTAGTCGGTGTCGCGTTACATTCCATACCTGTTGAAGTCACATGAGCAGATGGCGCAACGAGAGCTTGTCAGAATCTCACTTCACAACGACCAGAGCGTGCCCGGCTACCAATGGCAAGTGTCGTGCTCACGATATGTAGTTTGTCGCCCCTGGCACAATGGTTCAGCAGGAATTAATCGATGTGCCATTTGAACGTACGGCACCGCTGGTGAGTGAAACACAATATTCAAAGACTGTTGTACACCGAATACGCCATAAGCGCCTGTCGAAGCTCTAAGGACGTAAATGGGCGTTGGCGAGCAGCTGCGCATTCATATTAGCTCCAGACAAAACATGAGTAGAAGAAACATGCAGTTCAATTATCATGGCCAAACAACCACCGTGCATGGTTCCACCTTCAAGTTCATTGGCCATGTCTAAGCCGGGCGCCACATGATACGTCAATGAGCAGAGCGTCTACCAGGAATCTAGGGCACCTTTATCGACGATCACCTCAAAGACGGTCCGTCCTTCGAGTTTTTCCGGCTCCTCTGTCTTTGACAATACAGATGCCTCTGCTAGTCGCATCCGGGACACGAATTCGGCTGCGAAACCTCTGAAGGGCTTGCCAGTCGAACGCAAGACGTCACGGGGGTTCAGCCGCACCATAGAGTTCAGCAATGTAAGTTTTGTCTCCGGAGAAGCATTCCCTTTCACTTGGGAAGTGTCGATATTGTTTTCTGGCTTCATCTGGATGAAAGAACCAAGTTACAAGCAGGGGTGTGTGAACTTGCCTGCCGAAAATCAACTTGGGGGCCGAGTAGCAATCACGATTGCATAAAAATGACCATCACATGGCAAGGACTCGGGACAAGTTAACATTCATTATCGTCCTTATCTTGCACGACTTCCACCAGAGTTCCAGAAGGTATGAAACTCGTGAAGTACGTACCAGGGTACCACAATGCTAAAAGCTCAATGTACGAAAGACTGGTTACTTGTGTTTTAATGACATACCTCAGTTTTTCGGTTCCCTCTCTTGCTGGTTGCGCCATACTACGGGCTCCTAAAGCATAGCATTGACTCTAATTGAAGACTGACTTCTTTAATTGTTTAATCCGTGCACAATTGTAAAGTGGACGTCGGCGATAGCACCAGCCAGCGTCATCGAGGAGTGGTAAAACACAGCGCATAGATATGATCTTGGAAGACAGTATATTCGGAGACAGACGACAGGGTCAAACATTAAGTTCTCTGGGATTATCAAAGCCTCACGAGATGGTATGTCAGATTGCCATACATTCAAGACTGTCTGGGTTACGTTCTCGCCAAGCCAAACTCGGATACCTGCGGGTACCTCCTCGTACCCATACCCGTGCAGGGGAGCCAATCACAGGTAGCCGTACCCGACCCACGATTCAAATATTCACCCGCGAGTGGTGCCTGGGTAAGCCCTACCTGTCATGGGTGACCCTAGATTGGACTTGAATATTGCCAAACATGGGGCGCCAGCTTGGGCAGAGAATAGGTGGGCGGAGGCACGATAAGGGAGAGACGTGTTTAGGAAAAATAAAGCCTCCAGCTGGCTGCTTTTACGGTCATGCTTGTGGTGGATCTGTTGACACACAATTATTTGTATGTTCGAAATCCGAGTGCATCTACTTACAGTGCTTTGCACGTGTTTGCATGTATTTAGTGGGTATAGGCATATGATGTACCCTCGGTGTTCTAGTGATAGCTTCTGCTTACCAGACAGATTATCTTCCCATCCCCGCATTATCTTCTCCTACATTAGCACAATGCACCATGCCACCTAGAGGCCCTACAACACCCATTCATGACAATGTCTTAGGTTCAGCCCCCTGTACCAGCGAGATCGCTGATAATCTCATTAATCCTGCCCTCTATGATGGATATTTTATTTGTATACATTATTACTACTGACTTTCTGTTATTTTTTAGCCCCCCCCCCCCCTTCTATCCCGAACGTCTTCGCGCCCTCTCCTCCACTTGCCACAGAAAATCCAACACCTAGCGGGAAGTCCATGTCCATCATCACACTCGCAACCACTGGGAGTGCATGCGGCATCGTAATGCTTTTCCTACTATGGTCTTAACTGCGGCGAGATATTTCCATCTTTTAAAGGAGTTGGTGTGGTGGCTCAAATTTTGGATTAGACGCCGTTTCACACCTTGATAGTGATTCGGCTCAGTTACCTTTCGGCCTGTGTTTCGCTGTACCAAGTAGTCAAATTTGATCAAAGCATTGCAGAATGATGTCTACCGATCGGACAGTATATTGACTAACTCATGAAGGAGAATATATCGCATGAGGTCTGCTGTGGGAGGCCAGAACTAGTGTACGTGGTACTGGTAAGTCCAGTATGTTGTGATATTACAATACAAAAGAAGTCTGCGGTTGACCCTACATTAGTTACTGTGCATCATGCTGTCTATTTGGTTGTACTGCAAATAAATTCTTAGATAAACCAGTTCAAGAATCAACGAGATCTGGACAGCGAATAAAATTCATTCCTGATCACGTCGTCAGCTCTCTCCGTCGATGGACGGTCCCCCGGATCAGTTGACCAACATTGCTCGATGAACTGCCAATGCTTTTCAAGGAGCACAGGATAACGAGATCGGGAAGGCTTTTGCGACTTATGCATAGCCAAGATGATAGCGGCATCATTCAGGAGATAATAATAGGGAATCTTGTTCGTGAGAACCTAAAAGCGGAGCTTGTGATATCACCCAGAGGTCGAAATCACCCCAGACACACCTGCAGCATGATACCGCCGAAAGAAAAGATGTCACTCTGCTCGCTTGGCCGTGCTGGAGATCCATCCTCCCGCTCCAGTACAAGTAACTCGGGAGCCATCCATCGCACATTTCCTTTGAGATTCGAAGTCCAGGAAGCCTGAGAGGCGCTTATAACCTCCGAATACATCAAAGAAAGACCAAAGTCAGCGATGCAAGCAGTACCATCGCCATTGATGAGCACATTAGGCTGGAGGGAGGTCTCATCTTAATCAAATTGAAACTATCGAGAAGGGTCGAGCTCACCCCATTGAAGTCACCATGGATGACATTGTTGGCATGAACTGCAAGTAGTTACAACCCCGGGTCCAGCATCAAACCAACTAAACACTTACGATATTGCAGACCAGCTATGATATCTCTGAGCTAAGTTTGCCATCAGTCGGTAATCTACATGGAATACAAGGACTTGCCATTTGGAATCGTCTAACAAGAGTAAGAGCTGCACCCTCACGCTCCAGATAGGCTGTCAAGTTACCATTCTCCGCCCAAGGACTCACTATCGCTATAAATGGGCCAAAGCTAGCTGTATAACCATAAACGGGCAGAACATTTGCATGCTTGAGTTTGGCACATATTCTGAGTTCGCGCTTTATCCTCTATGAAGTGCAACCTCTGGGGTGAGTCATAGATACAAGCTTTCATCGAGCTACAGCCACTCACGTTGTTCTTTTTTTTCTTTGCTTCACCAGCTTGATCGGTAGTATACACCTGCAATGTTTTCACTGCGACCTGCACAATTATCAATTTGAGGCAGATGGTCAGACAAAAAGCATCAAACACACCTTGATCGGTCTTCGATCGTTGAGATAGGTACATTTCCAAATCTCCCCGAACCCGCCATGAGCAGCAGGATAGTCATCGTCCTTGGTGACATATCCCGTGAGGTTTTGAAGCATGGCTTCAGGGGGGAAATTACCAGATTCGTGGTTATGAAAAGAGAGAACTGCGCCAGTGTTGGACAAGGAGGGAAGAAGTTCCTGTGTGTGGGAGGGTAACTTGGGTGACCATGAGGCCATTGTAGAAGGTCTCGGCGGTAGTGGGGGAAGAGGTATGGTGGACAGTATTGGTGCCCTGAGGACATCTGGAGTGGATCCTCCGTAGGTCCATAGACTGTTTATAGAGATTGGCCTTGCCCCACCGCGTAGCGCATGGACGGTGGATGTACAGGGATGACTGTACACTAGTACTCTAGGTGATTGTTGTGCGAGTCAGATGCTAGCAAGGATGTCGGGTGGAGTGTTGCATAGGTAGATGTTGTTGTCATGCAACGTTGTGTATGCTAGTCGGCGCGAGTCGGGTGTGAGGATAACGTTGAGGGGATACGGAACATCAAATGAGGCGAGGAGCTGACGGGACTCAAAGCCCAGAGCTGGATGGTGTGGTCATCAGAAGCACTAGCAAGGAGGGCGCAATCAAGTGAGAGTGTTAGACTATTGATGACACGGGTGTGGCCTCGGAAGGGGGTTCCGACAGTCATGAGCGTCGATGGCTCAAACTCATAAATCGTTTTCGGGTGGTCATCCGTGAAGCTGAAAGCAGTTACGATGGTCTTGTCTTTCGTAGTCCAGAACACTGGCGCGGATGTCATGCCCACACCACCATTTTTCCCCACTCTAACATCTAATTTCTGTGTTTCGACATCCCACACTTCAAGGTGTTTCCCCCGCCACGATTTAACTGCGAGCTTCTTCGAGTTTTGCGAAAATCGAATGGCGCCCGCCATCTCATCACTCTTGAATGGACCAGCCACGAGTTCGCCAGTTTTCAAGCTCCATATCCGCGCTGAGGAATCTTTTGACCCGCTCGCCAGCAGCGTGCTATCTGCTGAGATATCGATGCACCGTGATTGGCCTTCAAGTGTTCTCACGATCCCCGTCTCAACCTCACAGACTTTAAACTCCACGTTCATGTAATTTCCACCACCTGCGGCGACCCACCGACCATCCTTTGATACCTCCACCACATGCACGCTCTGCCCCCAAACATTCCGAGCTTCTTCAATTTCCGTACCCGCTTCTAGGTCCCATAGACGAGTGGTCTTATCATATGATCCGCTGATCATTCCCTTGCCGTCCGGGAAGTAGGACATGGATGGAATAGCGTCCTTATGACCCTTCAAGGTCAACACGGGTGTCAAAACATAATTTTTTGCTGCTGCGGCGGGCTGTATTGATATGGAAGCCATGGTCGGTCTCTGCCAGAGATATTAGCAGGAACTGGTAAGGTTTCGGTTGTGATTTGGGTTCAAGGACCGTCAGTGAGGTCTCTTCGTGTGCTATAGTCTGACGTCGATAAAGATTTTGAAGGATGCCCACCTATTGGTAGCTGGCACGCTTTGCCTGCTGATGCCGATTGTCAGCTCGTCAGCATCGAAAGTTCAGACATATTACCTAGAGGCTAGCAACTAACTTTGGGAAAGAGTGAACGATTCACCTAAATGAATATATGTGCGTCTGGCAACTTCATCTTGTATGTACTTCATAACATGCCTATTCAGCATGGCATCTGGGCATTGCACAGCATTTCGAACCTTGTATCTACTGCCTTGCTTTTCGTTAGCGCTTAACTATGATTGGACTATCTCGGACAAAGAAAGCCATGCTGCAGTGCGCCCTATACCCTTGAAATCAGCATTGATAAGATCGTTGTGGGATCTCTGAGCAACCCTTGTGTTGAGTGCATTCCTGCCAGAGGCACGAGGGTGTGGATCCATGTGGGGTTTCGGGTGCAGCTATCCATTGTCTCCAAGTCTGACTTGCTCATGTTCGACACGTCTCTTGATCCACACTACGACTTTAGAGTTCGCCATATTTGTAACTCTTGCAGTTGTAGTTTTTTGTCATGCTACCCGCCATCCCTCTCTTACGCGTTGTTTAGTGTGTACACCCTGAAGGAGCATCATTTCCACCGCGTATGGTATTCGTTATAATGTACCCTCGGTGTTCCATATATCGCTAGTAATAAGGGTATTAATTTATGCCAACTCGTACATGCTGGAGGAACGTTGGAGTGGAATGAACTTGTGTGGGTGAGTGACTTGTTCTTTTAGATTGCAGCTGAGCAGCGGCAATACCGAGCTCGTTCAGACTCAAGGAGGGTTGGGTCATCTCCACCAGGTAGCCAAATATACAACTGATAGATAGGGGGGGTACAAATGCATTGAGTATGCATAATACCGCCGAATGAAAAGATGTCGCTCTGCTCACTCGGCCGTCCTGGAGATCCATCCTCCATATCTGCTCCAAGTAGCTCAGGAGCCATCCATCGTACATTGCCCTTGAGGGTGGAAGTCCAGGAAGCCCGAGAGGCGCTTATGACCTCCGAATACATCAAGGAAAGACCGAAGTCAGCAACACACGCAGTGCCATCACCATTGACGAGCACATTAGGCTGGAACTCACGTCTCAATCAAATTGGAACTATCGAGAAGTCGAACTTACCCCATTTAAGTCACCATGAATTACTCTGTTGGCATGGACTGCGAGGAATAATTATGACTCCAGGTCCAGCACTGAGAGTAAGTACCACGTACGATATCGCAGACCAGCTATGATATCCCTGAGCTGAGATTTCCATCAGTTTTTAGTCCACATGAAATACAAGGGAGGAATTACGATCTGGAATCTTCCAACGAGAGTAAGAGCCGCGCCTCCAAGCCCCAGATACTCCGACAGGTTACCATTCTCCGCCCAAGGACTGACTATCGCTAGGAATGGGCCGAAGCCATACGTATAACCATAAACGGGTAAAATATTTGGATGCTTGAGACTGGCGCATATTCTGAGTTCACGCTTTATTCTTTACAAAATGGCAACCCGTGAGTAAAAGATGCAGTCTTTTATCAAGGAACTCACTTTGATTTTTTTCGTCTTCGCTGCACCAAGTTGATCGGCAGCATAAACTTGCAATGCTTTCACCGCGACCTGCCCAATTATGAATTTTAGCTGATGGACAAACAACACCGCAAACGAACCTTGACCGATCCGCGATCAATGTGATAAGTACATTTCCAGACTTCCCCGAACCCGCCACGAGCGACAGGATACTCTCCGTCCTTTGTGATATATATTGAGAGGTCTTGGAATATTGTTTCAGAGAGATCACTAGGGTCATCATTACGAATGGGGAGGACTGGGACGGTGTTGGAAGTCGAGGGAAGGAGCTCGCAGGGGTTGGGGGGTAAATGCCGCGGTCCTATTGTAGGAGAGGGTATCTGCGGCGGAGGGAGAAGGGTAGGCCACTGCCACATGTCAGTAATGGCGGACCCTGCACGACAACGGGCGAAACTGACAGGGGAAGCTGGTAGAGAATAGGAAGGGAGGCTCCATTGCGCATTCTGTGGGGCCTCACTAGTGGATTGATTTGTGGTGAAAGAGAACGCGTCACACTGCAAAAACGGGATTAATTGGGTGGTATAAATGAATAAATGAAAGGGATGAGTACATCAGCGAAAGGTAGGTTTCTAAGAGCACTGACCTGCAAGAAAACGTTAGCGCATGAACAACATTAGTATTCGGGGTGGGCTGCGCACTCTAACTTGTGGTACAGGCTGAATGTTAGCGAGGGTTTCAGGGAGAATGTTGCATAAGTAGATGTTGTTGTTGCGCCGAGTGGTGTAAACTAGTTGGCACGAGTCGGGTGAGAGGATGAGGCAGTGAGGATACATAACATTGAATGAGGCGAGGAGTTGACGGGACTCGAATGCCCAAAGCTTAATGGTGTTGTCATCAGAAGCACTAGCGAGGAGAGCACAATCAAGTGAAAGTGCTAGACCGGTGATGATGAGTGTGTCCTGCAAAGGGAGCTCTAACAGTCTCCAGCGTAGACGCGTCGAATTCATAGATCGTGTTTGGGGAGCTAGAGTATTGGAAGCTGAAGGCGGTTACGATGGTTTTGTCTTTGGGAGTCCAAAACACTGGTGTGCATGAAAAGTGAGCGCCACCAAATGTCCCCACTTTGACATCCAGTTTTTGTGTTTGGACATCCCACACTTCAAGGTACTTTCCCCACCGCGATTTGACTGCAAGCTTCTTGGAGTCTTTCGAAAATCGGACTGCGCCAACCAAATAAATACTCTGGAATGGGCCAGCCACGAGTTTGCCAGTTTCCAGGCTCCATATTCGCGCTGTTTTATCTTCTGCCCCGCTCGCCAGTAGCGTGCTGTCCCTGGAGATATCGATGCAGTTGATCTTCCGCGAGTGACCTTCAAATGTTCTCACAATGGTCCCCGTCTCACAGACTTTGAGCTCCTCGGATCCGTCACCTCCACTTGCCGCAGTGACAACATATCGACCATCTCTTGATATCCCCACAGCATGTACATCCTGGTCATAAACATCCCGCGCTTCTTCAATTTCTTTTCCCGCTTCTAGGTCCCATTGACGAGTGGTCTTATCGCTCGACCCGCTGATCATTCGCTTCCCGTCTGGAAAGTAGGATATAGATGACATATAGTCTTTGTGACCCTCCAAGGTCAACACGGGTATCAGAGCCAACTTCTTTGCTGCCGCAGTGGGCTGTCGCGATCTGGAAATCATGTCCTGTTTCTCTGCCAGAGGTTGACAAGTACGTGTAAGGCTGTTGTTTGGAAGGATTCGAAAGACCGTTGGTGAGGCTTTCTCGTATCCTGTGGCCTGTCGTTAATAGTAATTTCGAAGGATACCCAACTACTGGCAGCTGATACACTTCGCCTGCTCGTAACTTCGGGGAAGGGCGAGGGAATTCACCCGATTGAATGTGTGCGTCTGGCAAACCCTTGCTAACACAACCCTTCACACCTGTACGGCATTACACAGCTTTGACTTTTAACGTTACCGCTGCAACCCCGCTGTCTCCATTTAATCATATCCATGGCCATTTCCGTTGCTGGAGTCCATCAACTGATCCCACCCAGCCTGACCTGCAGAGTGGCCAATGAGCACAAGTTAAGTGGCAATCGTGTGCGTCTTCTCGTTATGAGCTCAGAGCCTTAGCTCAACGCTCAACCATAATTGGACTATCCCGGACAAATGCCAGAGTCATGCTGCAGTTGATCGTGTAGTACGTGTCAGATAATCCGGTTCTTTTCCACATACCCCTTGACAGAGTCTCACCAGTAACACAGAGTCCTTTACAAAAATTTACCAGTTCTTATTAGCTGGGGGATATTACAGTAGTTTGAATCGATGAGCATTTTGATGTTATTATGGGTCCTGCCATTGACTATGATACCACATATCTGACTACGCCTGTTGTGCTCTGTGAGTTTCTTTCGTGTCCTCAACTTCTCTGCTCACAACATCATGTCACGCAACAATGATCGAAGGCTCATGAAAAGCTTGCGAGTGTTTCTGAAAGCAAGTTCAGATATCTTGTCTTTCTGCTACGACTCATTCATAATCTGTTTCACGTCCTTCTGTGATCATATCTACGTACTGATATCGGAGTTCCGATCCATTCACGCAGGCGGACATCTTTCGCCACTACCAAGGTCTGCGTCTTGTTCATCCATCCCACCATTGCCGGTCCATGCCCCTCCATCGTCCTCTACTTGTGTCCTGCAGCCACCTCCTGTAGCTCTAGTCAACTCCCAGAGCCGGAGCTCTGCTGAGTTCCAGCTATACATATCCTCTGAGGTGATCCGATATGATAAATCAATCCACTTCAACAAGAGGTCTTGTATTTGGCCTGAAATCTAGCGTTGTGGTGATCACAGCAAGCTCGACATCAACAAGTACAAGGTTTTGATGGTTTATGTTTCTAGAGTATGCTGTCAAGCGTCAATACTAGCAAGTCGGCATTGTGTGTATTCGTTTGCTGTTTTGAATCTTTTGATAAATTGATGGCACAGGATGGGCAATATCAACGCAAAACTCATACGATTCCAGGCAGCAATGCGATATGTACAGTGTACAGCGGCAAGGTCCTCAATTACTTAAGGAGCGCAAGGAATTTCATGTGCATGCTAGTGAGAATCCGTGCTGAATGCATCCACAGGCCGCTGAAAGGAAGGTGCACAGGCTATTACCGCAGACGTGTCGCTCTCGCCTTTCGATGATGATGAATATTCCAAAATTCTCGACTTGGTTGGCAGATTTCAAGGCAAGCAGAATATTCCTTCATCACGGCAGAAGCATTAGTGATTCTCGAAACTAAACAATCAGAGAACAGGGGCGGCGCCCCCCATCTCGTTTCCTCCAGGGTTTGATTTTTTCCAGTCAGGTTTTGGTATTTCAGTGGGTTGTTATTCCGCGATGCAACGTCTCCAAGCTTATTCCTTCAATACTTACAGATTCCAAAGTGCCGATCAGTCCGTTTACGTCCAGGAGTACAGGCATAAGCTGATCAGCTCTTTTACGAGCATTCAACGCCACATTGTTTGGGACCCCATAGTAACATGTACATGAGCGAGCTCCGACGACGATGGGTCGACTGTGATATCGACTCTGGGTGCTGGGAGAAGTTTCAATGGTTGAGCATCGTGATGCCTGTCATGATTCTCACTGTTCGATTTCGACCTTGGCTCAATCCTGTCAGCCAAACTCTGCTAGCCTTTTATGTATAGCGGTACCTTCCGTCAATGTGATAGGAGTCACATCCAGTCCCGGTGATATGTTTCCATATTTCGCATTGGTTAGCGTCCTTGTTTTATTTGAACAGACCAAATCGTCTTTATGAGCAGAGATCTGAATAGTACATCGGATCATGGCATCGGTGATCCAAAACTAAAGTTTTGCAGATAACTTCGCAGGACATGCGGCACGCACCCAGACACAAACCGGGGATCTGCGCAGACTTGTACCCAGACCGGTAATTTCAGAGAGGTCCTCGACTGTCCATGCCCTTCCGTGTGCTATGCTGTTGTGAGGGTGACTGTACATTGAGGGTCCTTCTTGGCTTATTGAAACCCGGTTCTCCCGCAACATGGTGTATTCCATACTTGCATTCTTTTGCCAGGTCTTCACATCCACGTCTACTATCACACTTGCAACCACTGGGAGTGCTCGATCGAGCAGATGCGGCGTTGTGGCGTTGGTTTATACTATACGCAGCAAGGGACTTCCATGCTTTGACATGGTTAACATGCTGTCGCGGTTCACGGTTCGGTGCTTGCAGAGTAAAATGTCGGATACGGCCGACTCGACTCAGTCAACTTCTGATCGGTACTGGTAAATACTGGTAGGTAGTAGTAGCAGTAGCACACATAGGCTACAGCCTAAATTTCAGTTATGGTGTTGTGTACATCAATAGGGTAGTCCTGCCTAGTTCATTATACCCGGTCTTGCCATGAGGTCTGCAGTCGAATCACTGAATGACTATTTCATGAAGCAAACCGACAACTTGAAGGTTGTGATTAAGTTTAATTAAATAGAGTTACTGCCAGATGCCTCGGGTGTTTTATTTTGTGTGCCTCGTGTCCTCAACTTGTCTGCTAACAACACTATGTCGCGCAACCATGACGGCGGGCTCATACACCGCGTGCGAGCGTTTCTGAAGGTGTTGTTCAGAATTCTCGCTTTCCCGCTGCGACTTGTACATCATCTATGTCACACCCTTCTGCGGCTATACTACGATTCATGTAGCATCGCATCCAGGCGCCGATTCCAGTGCATTCATACAGACGGACACCCAGAGCGAGTTGCTGGCTCCAGCCAGCTTACAATGCTTCCTCCTCCGAGCAACCATCAGCTGCAGGTCTCATCATTGCCAGGGCCTGCTTCCTGTTCATCCGGCTCACTGTTGCCGACCCACGCCCCTCCGTCATCCTCTAATTGTGTGCTGCAATCATCTTCTGCAGCTCCAGCCAACTCACAGAACCAGAGCTCCCCCGAGTTTGAGCCATTCGTGCCCTCCGATGTGATACGGTACGACAAAGTCCCGTCAATGTGAGTTATTGTATCCCAACTTTCGACTGCAATCCAGTATTGATTTGATCACAGAAACCCCGACACCAACAAATACGAGTTTATTGATCCTCTAGAGAGAAATTTCTTAGAGTGAGTGCTGCCTTCTTTTTGATCGAAATAAGTACAAATGGGGCGCAGTGCACATCAGCAAGTAGGTGGAAACTGGCGTGCCTGTATACACCCAGAAGGAGCGCTCTATTTTCATGACCCTACGCGCGTATGTCATTTATTACCGAAATATGAAGAAGACTTGGACTCTTACTGCTAGTAACAGGGTGTTTATACGGACTCGAACTTGCAGAGCGAAGGTCGCCGATGCAAAATGGACTCATATGTGAATGAGGTACTCGCTCTTATGCCCCCTGGGTTAAAGCTGGATTGTGACAAGATCGAGCTTGTGGTGCAGTTGGTATGGAACCGGGGGACTGGAGTGGGAATTTGCAGATACTATTTGATTGACCACAACAAGCATCTACTTTTCTGGCTCCATAAGCTACCTACAGTAAAACTCTATTGTGGAGTTCAGGGCGTCGAAAAGCTGAGCCATATCAGTGCGCCCTCTACAGTGGATAATCGTCGTGTTTTGATGACTCGTGTTTCCAGAGTATGCTGTTGAACATCAGTACTGGCAAGTCTGTCATTGTGTGTATTGTGCTTTTGTTTGTGAAATCCTCTCACGAAGTGACGGAATAGAAAACGCAAGATTAATGTAGGGTTAATCAGGTCCTTCCTAGGCAACACTGCGAGATGTATCCCAATGAAAATCTACCATGCCCTCAGTTGCTCAAGGAACTCAAAGAAGTTGTTGTACATGCTAGCGCTGGTGAGAATTTCTCTTTGACTCCATGTACGAGTCGCTGAAAGGAGTGTGCAGAGACCATAACGACAGACGTGTCGCTCTCGCCCTTTGACGGTGATGAATTATCAAAAATTCTGGACTTGATCGACCAACTTGGAGGCAAGCGAAAGGTTTCTTTAGTGGCATTGCTGATTCTCCAAATTAGAGAATGTCGGTGGCGCTTATTCTATCTGTGTCATTGGTAAGTATCATCATGTCCATATTGCCCCAGGAGGTGACTGTCTAGTAGCCAGGTTTATGCGGTATTTCAGTAAGTCGCGCGTTCCGCAATACATTCCCTCTAAGCTTCCTACCAGCCCGAGCTAAATTCTTCAACTTCTGTGGGCTCCCTTCTGCCCGTCTGGATGCGGACCAGACCGTTTACAAAAAGAAGAACCAGAACAAGCTAATCTTAGTTCTTTCATGGGCCTTCAATGCTGCAATGTTCGGGGCTCCGCAGTCACATATGGAAGAACTCCGACGAGTATGGGTCGACCGCAGTATCAATTCTCCGCGCTGGAAGCATTTTAACAGCAAGCTGAGTAGTGAATGGTCAAGCATCACAATATATGTGCGTGCCACGATTCTCGCTGTTCGGCTCTTTTTTTACTTAATCATGCCAGTCGACTGTGATGGTCGCCGTGGACGTCAGCTTTCTGGCCGTGCCTTCCGTCAGTCCCCAGGATTCAGGTTCGGTCACAATTATTAGCACGTATCTTTCCATTTTTTGCATCGTTGGATCGTTGGTCGTGTCCTTGTTTCTCACTAGACAGAGTCGGATGTATGGGCAGGAATCTGCCGACACAGCGGTGAGCAAAGAATGGCGCATCGATTGTCGCATATTCTTACAACAAAATGCTGCAGGTTCAATTCCTCAAGAAGATGACAGGGTCCGCATTCGGCACCAAAGCTGTAGCAACCGTACATAGTCTTCCGTATGCTATGCTGTTGTGGGGGTGAGTGCTTTGCTATTGTATTCTTCTTGGCTCACGGAAGTCACGTTATTCTGCAGCATGCTGTATTTCATGCTTGCGTTCTCTTACCAAGTCTTCACGTCTACGCCCACCTTGACGCTCGCGACCAGTGGGAGCGCATGCGGCCTTGTGGCGCTGTTTACGCTGTGGCTCATATACGCGGCGAGGGATTTCCATGTGTCGACACGATTGCTTGTGTGGCTCCGAGCTTCCATTTGCAAAGCAAGAAGTGAAACCCGGACACAGCCAGATACAGCCTGATACAGCTCAGTTAATTTCCAATTCGTGATTTGGTGTACTATTTATATGATGTGGAATTATATATAGATCCCGGCGTACAGGATGCTACGTGTCCAGTGTACGATGTTACGCGTTAGGTTTGAATCAGTGAGAAAATCATATATTCAGGCAGGCTCGGGCTCACAGGTCAGGACATTACAGTGCCAGTCAGCTCTGGCCTAGAATCAACAGCCGCCCAACATCATAGATCTCCCGTTCGATATCAAAGTTTGACGGCTATCGGAGTCTTATTGTGGAAAATGTTCATTTGAATACGTACCATTTCAGTCGACGTGAGACTTGCAAGCTTCAGCATCGTGAGGCAGGCACACTATCCAGGATGCATAGCCTTATGTAGCCAAGGCTGCCAACTGGTATTTAATTTCGCACAATCTCCAGGTCTCAACTAATCCATATAGTCGCACGTGTCCACCCGATGCCATTACATACTTCGACATCGTTGTATTTGTGTCGAAGAACAATGAGCTTCATAAATCAGCCGCTAGCGGCTTTAAAGATTTAGGGGGAAATCTCTTTATGTGCATAATAAACGCGCGGAATTTGGGAAGGCGCAGCTGACATGCAAAAGCGTGTACTCGGAGGTGTTAAGGAGACCCAGACAGGCGGTTACGCAGTAGAATGTAACCTTGCCAGCGAGAGTGGGGTGCTTTCGAAAATACTACCGTCGGCGGGCCCACGATATTACGTTGCTCAAACGCGCCCGAATAGTACCTTGGCCATTTCGTTCTCGAGGAAGTTTGCCCAGTAAATGTGCTACGAGCCTGGACACGGCGCGGGCAATCTCGTGGGTAGTCCGTTCGAGAGTTTTGATGATTATTGGACGTAGTTTGATTCTCGCAACTAGAAGAGGAGAGCACTGGTGTGGTAAGCTATTAATATCACAACTATCTTGAGAATCAGATGAGTATCGGGTTGTCACGGGACACATGTCAGAGATACGGTCATACTACACAGTATTCCAGCGTTCTGAAGGATGGAAAAGAATCGTGACCGTTTGAGAATGATAAAAGAAAAATGTTCGTCCCTCTGAAAAACACACGAGCCACGTCCAAAGGGAATGCAGTATGGCTCGCCACTATTTGAAGCACAATCAGAAAATAGAGTAAGCTCGGGAGCTTGATAGAAAAAGTATTGGTGACTCCATCGCCTTGATCAGCGGAAGGGACGTGACGTGGAAGTTTGAAGACTGCTCAGCAGGAGCAATCTCCTAAATATGATATTCTGAAATTCAAGAATTCACATGAACCGTCCAAGTTTGGGATAGTACCACGCATTTCTCGAACAATCACGATTGTTCAAAGTTTCTTTGTCCTTCTTTGGGTGCTAAAAATAATACTCAGAAACAAAGGGCACCGATTTGGTCCACAGCTGCTGCCTCGGCGCTCAGCCGCTACACAGGCCGCGGCGCAGGCGTGGAAGTGCTTTTTTATTTGCTCTCTGTGCCGAAAGCCGACCGACTGTGAAAGGTACCAGAGAAAAGGTGCTATGGCTGCCAGCTGGAGCATGTAAGTTCGAACGTGGTACAGGCAAGACTTGACATACAGATGAATCTCGATATTAATGGCGACAGAATGGCACATGGGCAGCGCGTGTGCTGGAGCACATAATATGCCTAGCCTGAAGCTTCATGGAGAAGCTATGTACATAACAGCGTGTAACGGATGCCTCGCATAAGTAATATTGTTGGAGGCAGATCCGATCTCCTCGAGATTGGTGTGGTAATATATCGTTCTACTGCCTGATGTCTGGCTCGCTGAATTTTGAATACGGCCACATCGCAGGGGGCATATTAAACATCAATGCATGGGTTTAATCAAGTGTTCCTTTGGTAAAGCGCACCGCTCTCGATCTTTCGCCCCCTCAGCTCCATCTGGCCACAGGTGGCCATGTTGCTGGATTTGGTAGTCTTCGGAAGACTTCCGTATCGGTGGCAAGTTCATCTGGATCAACAGTGAATGATCTAAGCGTATCTTTGGCGCCTGTGTGCAAAATAGACAAGCTTCATGCATAATATGTTAGATTATAATGCACGTAGGATAGGTTGTTCGCTATGCAGAGTGTAGTGTATACCGGGAGTGTGGAATTGAAATAAGAGGAACAGCTAAAAGTATTTCCGCAAAGGAGGCTTTCCACCAAACTCCGCGAATATGTTGTCATATTCCCACGCCGAAGCAACAAGGTAACACGATAACTCAGTGCACAATTTCAATGCCCGCTCCCACACATTGGAATTCAGGACCTTCGGAAGTCTGTAGCTTTTACTCTTCCTCCTCCTCGACGATAGCAATTATTATCTCTCATCTGCTGTTTTATGCAGACTATTTCTCCTCCGAATTCTTCGCGGGGATCGCCTTCACGTCGCGGTCGCTCTCCGCGAACGCCTGCACAAAGCAGCGCCCCACGCTCCTCAGACGCCTTACCGACCGAATTTTCGAATAAACAGCCTGCTACATTCACTTCTTGTCTGTCAATTCCGGTAGAAGGTGCAGTCCCTATAGACACACAGGAGGAAATTCTTTCTCCTTCACAGCCCAGAGTATCACAGCAGAGCGCATCCAGTAGCACCAAACGCGCCCCACGTAAATCCAAGACACATGCTCTGGCTGCCCTGCAGAACCACGTGACATCACTGGATAATGATGATGTGACACAGCAGGAATCTACCGACAATTTTTCTGGAGATGGCACTCCCATCTCTGTCTCACCCACGTTAGACTTATCTACAGTCAAAACATCGAGCCCCCGAACGCAGCCCATGCGCTCCAAACCCCGTCCGTTTGGATTAGAAGACTGCCTAGTTTTTTACCCGACGTCAGATGAGTTCAAAGACCCTATGGCTTACATCCGCTCCATCTCAGAAAAGGCGAAAAATTATGGCATCTGCAAAATCATCCCTCCTGTTGGTTGGAAGATGCCCTGTGTTACAGATAGCGAGGTTTGTATATTTTTTCTCCGTGACATAGTGATGTTCGTTACGACGATGGCTCTAATAAATTATGTATCAGACATTTCGTTTCAAGACTCGGCTGCAACGCCTTAACTCTATCGAGGCCTCATCTCGTGCAAAGGTCAATTTTTTGGAGCAGCTCTACCGTTTTCATAAACAACAAGGCAATCCTCGTGTGTCTGTGCCCACCATCAACCACAAGCCCCTAGACCTGTGGTTACTCCGCAAAGAGGTCCAGAAACTCGGTGGCTACGAGGCAGTGCGTGATCCTCCATTATAGCGTAGCTAGTGCCTGAATAGTCTCATAGGTGACTAAAAACAAGAAATGGGGGGACCTCGGGGCGCTCCTCGGTTACCGTGGCATCCCTGGACTATCTACGCAGATTAAGAACTCTTATACAAGAGTTATCTTGCCTTATGAGCATTTCTGCGACTGTGTTCGGAATTCACCAACCCTGTCCACATCTCCGGCTGCAGCGCGCGATCCGCAACTGAAGACTCATATGAACATCCAGACTGCCACACATCCTTTGACATTTCCTCGCGAGCGTGGTTCTCCACCATCCAGCCCGCTTACTTCTACATCTAGCCCATTATCAGAACCCCCTGATGACGGTGATTATAAGGAACGTAGCGGGCCTCGACCCGAGAGCACCGCTGTGAAACGTGGAGCAAGAGTATCATCTCAAGAAATGACTCGTAAGCTAGTCAATGCACCCGGTTAGTCAATATCTAACCATGAATACCGCCCAGCCACGAGGAAGTCTCTGGATGTTCTCAGTCGGTTATCTCCGGTGTCAGCTTCACCTCAGCCCGACGACGAGTACAAGCGCACCTTAGAAGTACGTATCATTGCACCCATCCCTTTTGATGAACTCACTCTTGTTCAGCTTTCTTGTGAAATTTGCCAGAAGAAGAATCAGGACGAAAAAATGCTGCTATGTGATGGGTGTGATTGTGGTATGTTTACTTTATACTTAAAATATGCGCGCGTTTAATTTTGTTGCCACAGGATTTCACATCTTTTGTCTCGACCCCCCTTTGGCCACTATTCCGAAAGGGCAGTGGTTTTGCCACATCTGTCTTTTTGGCACCGGTGGCGATTTCGGCTTTGATGAGGGCGAGGAACACAGTCTCTCGAGTTTCCAGGCGCGCGATCTTGAGTTCCGCAGAAGATGGTGGACCTCTCATCCTCCACCGTCTCCATCGGCCGCGGATCTCGATGACCCTACGGTGAATTACGTCGGAAGCACGCTGATATCTGAGTATGATGTGGAGAATGAATTTTGGCGCCTTGTACAATCACCGAATGAAACTGTGGAAATTGAGTATGGTGCTGATGTACATTCGACTACGCATGGCAGGTGAGAGGATTTTTTGGATTTTTTCACCGTTCAAATGAGTGCTGACAATTTTTTTTGCCTCCTCCAGTGCCATGCCCACCCTGGAGACCCATCCACTGGAGCCGGCCTCGAAGGACCCGTGGAATCTGAACAATATGCCTATTCTCCCAGATTCCCTTCTCAGATACATCAAGTCTGATATTTCTGGTATGACTGTCCCTTGGACATACGTTGGCATGGTCTTTTCGACATTTTGTTGGCACAACGAGGTGCGTCCGTCTTGATACGTTTCAGTTATAAGTACTGATCGCTGATCTATCTACGCTACGACAGGATCATTATACCTATAGCATCAACTTCAGTACGTAGTGTCCTATTGCAACAGGCTACTTTTTCTGATCGCTCCCCCTAGTGCATTGGGGTGAAACAAAGACCTGGTATGGTATCCCAGGAGAAGACGCAGAAAAGTTCGAGGCCGCCATCAAGAGTGAGGCGCCTGACCTATTTGAGGCGCAGTCCGATCTCCTATTCCAACTCGTAACGTTGATGAATCCGAAACGTCTCACTGATGCCGGAGTCCGCGTGTATGCTTGCAACCAACGGGCAGGCGAATTTGTCATCACGTTCCCGAAAGCATACCATGCAGGCTTCAACCACGGGGTGCGTTTGGCACGTTTTCGATCGATCACATCTTGATACTGAGTCCCATGACAGTTCAATTTCAATGAGGCTGTCAATTTTGCGCTCCCAGACTGGTTGCCGTTCGGTCGTGATTGTGTTCAACGTTACCGTGAACACAAGAAGCTGCCGGTCTTTTCCCATGATGAGCTTCTCGTAACGATTACGCAACAATCTCAATCTATTAAAACTGCGTTATGGTAAGCATTGAAATTGAAATATTAATCAATTATTCTATGGAACTTACCGTATTTTCTGAAGGCTGGAATTGAGTCTCAAGGAAATGACTGAGCGGGAGCTTGCAGCTCGCCAGCTGGCTCGTGACCGTGGCGTTTGCGAGCGTCTTGAGGAAGAGGACCGCCCTGAAGATCAGTACCAATGCACAATCTGCAAAGCCTTCTGCTACCTCTCGCAGATCACCTGTCATTGCAAGAGCGAGATTGTCTGCGCTGATCACATGGATCAACTATGCGACCATTCACCAGAAGGATTGACACTCAGACAACGGTTTTCTGACGCCGACCTCCGCGAGATTCTTGGGAAAGTCGTTGAACGCGCAGCCGTCCCTGGGAAATGGCGGACGAAATTCAACAAAGTGCTTGTGGAAAGTGACCTTCCATCGTTACGCTCTCTTCGCGCGCTCCTTGCTGAAGGCGAGCGAATCAATTATCACCTCCCTGAACTCACCGCCCTCCGTAAATGCGTCAACCGTGGCAACGAGTGGTTGGAGGCTGCCAATGCGTTCATTAGCCGCAAGCAAGGCCGTAAACTCACCCGCCGTTCACGTGGGCGCCCGTCTTTGCACGAAGCCAACAACACTGCGTTTGATGACCGTGATGCTGGAGATAGACCTGACCGTGGACTCAACGACCTTTATGCTCTCCTGATGGAGGTACAAAATCTTGGGTTTGAAGCCCCGGAGATCGGAAACCTCCGTACGTTAGCTGAACAAGCAGAAGATGTTCAATGCAAAGCCTCAGCGTTACTCAATTCCGCCAATTCAGTGGCCAGTCGGGACGCTTTCATATCTGACTGCGAGCGCCTGCTCCTTGGCGCATCATCCATCAACGTCAATCTTGATGAAATACTTGAAGTTGAGAAGCTTGTGTCTCGGGAGCAACTCATTAGAGAGCTGGAGGAGAAGGCGGAGGATTCGTCAGCTACACTGGAAGACATTCGTGGGCTCTTGACCCGCGCTCGCGCTTGCAGTGTTCCTCTCGAGACCCAGTTTATCCAAACCCTAGAGTCTCGTCAACGAGCTGGGGATGACTGGGAAGAGCGGGCGAGGCAGATATTGGATCAGCCACACAAGACCATCGAAGAACTGGACGAATTCTTTGAGATAGACTCTACCATTCCTATCGATGTCACGATCTACGACCGGTTGATGTCCGCGCGCAGCAAAGCGAAGGATTTCGAGAAACAGGCGAAGGCCTGGATCTCCCCTGATGGTCAAGGACTCAAGCCCAGGATTTCGGAAGTCATGCGTTTCGTTGCCCGTGCTGAAAAAGACTTCAGCATTTCTGCTATCAGAGATCTGAAGCAGACTGCCGAGTTTGCTTTGGATCTCGAGAATCGATGTGAATCGATCCTTCAACATCGTTACCAGCACCGAGAAGACACGGACGTCTTTGCGATGATGCGGAAGTGGAGATCCTACGCCCGAGAGCATCTCACCATGTTCTCACTACCCATTTTTGAAAAGCTGGATGATCAGCTCACTCGCCATCAAGAATGGTTGGAAGATCTGCCGTGGTACTGTCCGCAGCACGAATGCGCTCATGGCCGGGATATCCTGAATGATGTTGAGGAGTCAACGAGACAGGAGGATGACAAACCCCCCATTGACGAGTACTTTACCTGCATCTGCACTACTCCCGTTCGCCCCCCTCCACCTGGGACTCACTCCGATGCAGTTCAGTGTGACCATTGCTTCGCAAGGTTTCATGGCGTTTGCGCAGCTAACGGTGGTTCATGCCCTTTCTGCGATCATCATCACTGGAATGGTGCCATTCACAAGGAACGGAGTTGGCACTTCTGTTTCCTGCCGACCATCCTCCTTAAAGCGCCTCCAATAACCAAAAATTATTCGGAAGCCTGGAAGCAGCTGGAGATCATTGTCCGTCGGATAGATCGTTTGTGCGAAGTCATCGGCCAGTTCTTGACGTATGCCTCACAACCCGGCAACAAACGGGCCGAATATATTCCTCAAGTGCGTCACTACATGCGCAAATTGTACAAGATCCAGTTTGCTGTGTCTCCAAGTCGCGAAGTTTCATACGGTCTCGACCTCGCTGGTCTGCATCGCATCCTTGCTGGTCAACCGCCAGCTGTTCGGGTCAAGAAGAGGCGAAGACCAAAGTTCACTTTTGGCCAGGATGTCGACAAGGATTGGCGAGATGGTACGCGCTGCATATGCCGCGGTCGCACGCCATACCTCATCGATTATCCAACCGTTGAATGTGAAGCCTGCAGAAGACGTTACCACTCTGGCTGCGTCTTCTTCCCTATAGAGGCCAACGCCAGCGGCACCAATCGATTTATGTGCCCGCTGTGCTGTTTGCGTAGGAGCCGACCATACATCTATTCAGAAGTCCGCGTCAAGCACGTTGGTCAGTAAAATTCATTGAACGTATTACCCACACTAACAGATGAGCAGATAACCAAGATCCAGACACGTATGTCAATACGAGCGTCATGCTAGACACCTTCAGCAAAGAAGTTGTTTATATGAAGATGTTACCCCCATACACGCAAACATTATTCGTGGAACTCATACGATTTTCGCCCGGTCAGCCTGATCTCAATAACGGCAATGCACCAGCTTCCCGGAGCGTTCCAGCCCATACAATGTCTCACATTGCTGAACCTGGCCCTTCTACGCACCACCGACATTCGCATATTCATAGCGCCCCCATGCCACTTCCCACACCACCAACACCTGTTTATGAGCTTGTAAGGCAGCCGTCAGCGAACGGACATCACGTCCCACCTCCCCCACCTTGGCAATCCCGCCCACAGTCACCGCACTTGAACAAGAAGCGCAAGTATGCGGATGACACTCCACAAGACAACCCAGAGCCTAGATCACCCAAGCAACGGCGCCTTCCTCAAACCCCTGTCCTCCCGCCTGCCAACGCAGCAGCTCGTACGATACAGCAGGCGCTTTCGCCTTCGCTGGCCATGATTGTATCACCAGTTGACACCGAGCCTTCTCCTCGGCGACCACCTTCGATCCCTCCCCCTTATGCTAGACCACCTTCCTCCCCGTCTCTTAACACAATGAATGGAGAATGCTCTTCTGTGAAGTCAGTAAAGTTGTTGGTTGGAAATCACAAGTAGTGTATTCGTTGACGCGTTTTGGTTTGATTCTATTGTACTTGTTATTTGTTGATCGTAGTTGCAATTATCCTCACTACCCTGACATGCTTTCTATGGAGTGTTGATGTACGTGAGTATTAGATAAATGAATGAGAAAAGAAGCGACATTGTGAATGGGAAATTGAGGACGATCCTGGAGTTCTCCCGCGAACTCGATGGAAGTCTGGGCGTAAATCACGATGACGAGATCGGGAATAAAAAGATCACAAATGATGATAGCGAACCAGAAAGGTAAAAGCTTAGAAACAGACAGAATTAAAACATAACGATTAACCCCAAATGCATTTATCGTTTAACCATGAGTTTATATGTGGTGTACCCGCCAATGATGCCGAAGGCTGCAAGCGCGGAAAGGATCCCAGCAAACCAGTGGTAGGTGGTCTGAAAAAAAAAACAGAATAAATAGTAGCGGTGCGCAAATGGTAGCCCACGTACAGTATCATCTTGGCCTGGAACGTGTACATTCATACCCCACATACCTGGATGAGTCATGAGGACACAAATCATTGACGGCGAAGAGAAGGCACTGACCCGTTACCAAGTTCATGGGAATGAGAACCGTACCCAATGCCGTCAACTTTGAGAGGACATCGTTGATCTGGTTGTTAGCATCTGTCATCTCGATGGAAATCTGCGCCAAGTAGTTGGAGTGCGACCGGGACAGGATTTTTTCGTAATGATTTAAATTTTGCGTCATGGTTATCAAGTGGTCCTAACAATTCATTGGAATCAATTAGTAAATTCAGCGTCGGCAGCAACTAACCTGAATATCGGAAAGATATAGACCCTTCATAAAGAATGAGTCGTGGCACGGATGACCAATACCGAATAACTCACGATGTCTGACGTTGGTGCTACCCTCCAGTTTTCGTTGCATCTCTTTGCGAGCCCCTTAACTACATCCGCCTTATTACCCATCAAGCGCAATAGTCCCATGACCTTCTTGCGACATGTTCCTATTCTTCTCAACATGTCACTTTGCTCTGCCTCCTTCAAAATAAGGACGAGCTCGTCAATAGAGTCGACTTCGTATTCAATGGACTGGATTAGAGGTCCGAAGGCATCGGTGATGTCATCGATCAACGCATACGAGATCCAGTCTGATGTGACGTTAATGTAATCTTTGAGTTGCTTTATTCTTCGGCGGACATTTTGCGGATGTGGGGTGGGGCGGAAGTGAAACTAGAAGGATTATAAATAAAAGATTATAGGAAAACAAATGGATCACTTACAGATAAAGTTCCCTCTCTAAATACAATGATATACATGTTCAGGGGTTCCAGGTGCATGGGGCTGTAAGGATCCTGATCAAAGCTGCGGAAACAAACAAGGTAGTAGTTCCGGAACAATTCAATCTTTTCACGAGCTTCCTCCATTTGGATGTCTTCAACAGTCAAAGGGTGGATAGAGAAGACCTAAGGCAATGCTTAAGTTCAGAGAACCAACTGTTTGCATAGGCAGTACCTTGCTTAGAACCTTCATCTCTTCATCTGTCGGGCTTAGGACATCTAGCCACCATGTATTCCCCTCGAGCTCGCCGCTATCCCTGAGGCTATTTGGTGGGCCTGGATTACCAGCACCGCCCTTCTCCGGACGACCATTGTAGCTGGGGGTTGCAAAATCTAGCAAGCGCTTGTTCGTGCCCTGGACAGAAGCTGCCCCTTGGTGTGGAGGCACGGGAACGGGGGCAGATCCACCCTTCGCGTCTCGCGGGCCGTCGGGAGGAGCCAGGCCAGTAAACAAATCTTCAAAGGACTGCCCCTCCGCAGGGAGTTCGCTGAGACTTCGTGCGTGAATAGTTGCAGACAACGCATTGGAGTAAAACGAGAATCGGTATGGTCTGTCATGACCGGGTGTCATGATTCCACCCATCCCTGCAGCGTTGTACTGGTTTGTTGACACATTATCTGGGGATGGAATGGCGCTTAAATGCCCATGTCCCATGAGCCGGCTTGAAAAAGTGAAGTTTGGGTCTCCGCCGTGGTTCTCAAATAAGGCCATCTTTCCCCGAGTATTCCGGCTATGCCTAGGGACTGGACTACTCTGGCTGAGCTTGCGCTGTCGAATATTACCGTGATAAGAGGAATCAAATGCAGCGTCAAATGGAGGAATTCCTCCAGGCGGAGATACGACCGATTCTGGACCCCCGTTCTGGGCAAAGTTTGGGTGACGCAGCCGAAATGCTGGCCCATGGGTATCCGTAGGTGATGATATGCCTAGCTCAGTCTTCTCTTGAGCTGCAAAGGCCTCCAGGTGAGTAAAGGTGAAAGCGGAGCGGGATGCATTCGCTTGATACACGGGAAGGCCCGGCATAGAAGCGAGAGCTTCATCGCGAATCGGTCGATACTCACTTCCCATAGTCGTAAGAAGTGCTGGGTCGTGGGTTTGGTCAAGGTGCTGCATCCGCAAGTCGATAGGAGTTCGGGATCGTTGCGAGTGCAGCCCGTCAGAACCGCAGTTCACACCATTATGATCGAGGTGACTAATTCTGTCTCCACGAGCAATATCAATGTCGTGTTCCTCGATAGCTGAGAAGTGGGAGAATGGGGGCACTGCTTCAGGGTGAGGAGCCGATTCGTATTGTAATGATGTTGGTGGTGTCGTTGTAGTCTCTCTCCGGGCCCTGGACAAATGCAGAGCCATGTCGACATCCAACGTTCTCTGCCTCTCCCTCACTTCTAGGTCATCCAGGTCATAAGAGCAGATAAGCGTCGGAGATATATGCGGTCGGGACCCAGATTCTACCACGTCAGTTTGACATGATAAGCTTTCTCTATTGTCCCTTCGTCGAACAGGAGAAGCGCCCCTGATTGAAGTAGGTGAGGTCGAGAGCACGGGCGCATCATGGAAAGTCGGGGAAGTCATGGGGTCAACCTACGAGTCTGGTCAGCGAACCACGCAAATTTGTAGAACTCTAATTAAAACGCTGAGAACCGCACCAAAGTTGAAGAAAGGTTTAGTCAGATAGCTCACTGAACTAATAACCTGTCTGGAGTTGCTTAACACATTAGCCTTGCAAGAACAAACTAATTTCCACTCCTACGAAGTAGCTGAATCAGCTAATCAGCACAAGCTTACTTAAGCACTTAATAGGACCGCCAAATTTTCAGTTCCGTCCAGCAGTTACCGGTGCGGAAACTGCCGAGTAGGGTCCCTCGGTGAGTGGGTCTTAGGGTCCGGATGTGCTAAAGGCCACCAGATCTGGGATCTAAAGCTTCCCATCCCACTGTAAACTAACCTCCCGGTGGGTCATATTTACCCTGAGCAGCTGGCCAGTCATCGAACACGTTTGCAGTCATGCTTCGGAACTTTACTCCCACTAGGTATATAGGCTCACTGGTAGTATCATTTCTAAACAGGACGAGATGGTCGGCGCGGTTGGGGTAGCTAATATCATAGCCGAGTCCTGACGAGAACTTGAAACCGCTGCCACCCAGCGTCCCTCTTACTCTAGTTAACAAACCCCTATCCTAGGAGACGGGTGACTGCAGCAGGTGCTAAGGACGTGGTCTGCCTCGCGACGCTCTGCTGGACGCTTCTGACTTGGGCTTCGATTCCAAGCACTTAGCAGACTGGTTCGCTATGGCTGGCTGATGCCGGGCTATACGTCCACGTGGGATTCGTGCCGTTCTCCGCGAGATTTCGGCGTTTTACTGCCTCAGGCTTCGCTAAAATTTGACGAACCCAACTCCGTTCGGCTTTGCAGTCCTACTAGTAGTGACGGTTGGCAGCCACAATTTCACAGCAACCGCTCTGGCAACGTGCTCGTGTCACTGCCGCTTATCTTGGTAGTTATTCCTACTCATTTTAACTACTACACACACTTCTTGTAGTAAACTTCATGAACACATCTTTTCGCCATGTAAATCTCGGAGTCACTGTTCCACACGAAGTTGAGTGACGCTATTTGGCAAGAGCCTCTGATTCAAACATTGCCAAATAGACCCCTGCCTTGCCGAGTACCTGTTCTTCCTAAAATCATATCAGGTCTTTAACAGAGAATAACCAACACATGCGTGCCCGCGGAGAGGACGAGGCCCTCCTGACCTCGGTCCGTGTAACTTCGGAAGTTAAGGGGATATGGTAGGAAAAGCCCCGTACCAATGGGGGATCCACCATCTATGAGATATCAATAAGGATGAATTCCAGCAATCGCTAAAGCCCGCCATGTCGTCGACATCGTAACTGATATATCAAGGGTTTCAGGGCAGGAAGACTGAAGTAATCAATTAGGTATCATGAAATTCACTGTCATTCCTGGTTGTCTTCATCTACGTTGCTCCACGAGACAAGCTTGCTCAGAATGGACGCTACCAGGGAAAAATTCAGACGGTTGCCCAATTGATAGGATTGGTAACTGTTGATTCTCGTGTTGATCCGAGACCTAATGAAAATCAAATCGCCCAAGACAAAGCTTATAGCGTAAATAAACAAAGAATAAAAAGAAACCCCTGGCGGGACTCGAACCCGCAACCTCCAGATGCGCTTCACTAGTAGAAGTCTGACGTCATAACCATTAGACAACAAGGGCTTGCGTGGCAAGCGTCAAAGGACATCCATGAACCTGAGCTTACATTCAATGAATCGATGAGGACAAGGGGCTTGTGACAAGCATCAAAAAACGTCCATGATCCTCGCAGCTAGCCGGAGTCGCGCGTTCCCAAAAAAAGACCAGAGTCTTGCACTGGTATAAATAACGGATGGTAATAGAATCACTTGAAGTGTGTTACCAATGGTTCTGAAGAATCCACGAAAAATAATTCAGAATGACCTTGACTGCTTTAAGAAACGGAGCAAAAGGGCCGAAAAGGTATGTGTTGTTAAACACCCTACTTGGAAAATTTGTATTGCTCGGGGCATTTGAACTAGTGAGTCATGACAGCAATAGCATAGCAGCACATCGACGGGAAGTATGCCAAATGGAAGAATGGACATTAAATTCAATTACTTACACCTATGAGAATAACTTGCATTTGCGAAACTGTCACTTCCGCAATTCTTCGGCCACGTAAACACGGACTCGTGACGGCAAAGAGCTCGAGTGTTCAAACTCCCACATAAACAGTACAGAGCTATGTAGTGAGTGCCACGTAACATAGTGCTACGTAGTGCGTGGGGTCAATCAAATTACCTCGTCATCAAAAGTAAGTTCCCCGGATTCCTGCATGATGGTAAAAAAATTCAGATCACAACCCCCGAGTGTCGTGCCAAACCCGGCATCCAGTTTACCTCGTGCTCATAATGATACCATGCTGGTGGGTATAAATTGGATCAGTAAGTATCCCTTTCTCTAACCCACATTCCTCAAACGCTTAGCGTGCTCTACACTTTTGTCCCCCTACAGGCATACGTTCACCATGGAAAGCCGGTCCGTTTATAACGTATGATCTCTTCGTTGTTTGTTTCTATTGTGAAGGTTGAACAGGAAATCATCAGGTGTCTCGTCGTAAAGTGTACACCCCATCATACGTATATGATGGCGCCTCGCAGCTATCATCCGTCTCATCCGATACTTTCGGAACTTCAGACGAATACGCTGGATGCTGGTCGTGGTGGAATGGTCTTTGGCATTGTTTGAGGTGCTGGTGACAGTCTGGTCAGTAACCCGCGATAATATTGTTTGCACTGAGCTGATTATACCATACTCTTCTGCAACTCTTCTAGGTGAAGATATACCCTCTCACATTTAAGTTATAGCGGCTTGCATCCAGCAGGGATCTGGGTGGCATAGACGGCCAACACACTACCATATGGAGCATTCGCAATCGTTCCCGTAGCCACACCTTGAAAGAAGGAAACGGCGTTCCTTCATTTTCAAGAGTCGTTCTGCACCAATAGCAGAGTGAAGACCTATATATAAAATCAACCAGTAGTAAAGCACGTACCACCATTTTGTACGTTAATACCGATTAGGATCCTTCTGCTCGCCCAACGGAGTTGCAAACCCATCATGGATTGGCTGCCATCTGACTGCTTCCGTTGCGCCAGCTAAATAAAAGCACCGCCAGTGTGGATAGTTGCTCAGTACGGTTGTTTGTTCGGCAGCCAAATGTCTATATAAGTAAGTCATTGATTAAGAATGCATGCTGCAAAGGGGTGTTGAGCATACGTTCTGAGGAAATTCCCAGAGTCTAGTCGTGCCCCGAATTCTGCCGAAAAGGTTAGGATATGAAAACAAATTCATGAGCTACAAATACAATGCAGATGGTTCTACCACTTATCACTAGTGCATTAGAGTCCATCTCTTGCAAGTACCTGCTATTTCTACTTTTGTCCTCAAACCCCTCCAACGAGTCCTTGCCCCTATCTGCTGAGATTCCATAACAGGTAATTCTGTCAGCACCTTCGCAATGAAGTTCGCGTCCGTTAGAGGGGTCAGATCATTGCGACTGGGAAGTCGCTGCAGTCGACGGTTATCAAGAGATAAGTTTACATAAGAGGAAGCATTACACGCACCCTCTTAACGCCATCATATGGTGCTTCCCAACCGCTCAATTGACGTACGACTAACGAAGGACTTGAGGTAAAAGAATGATATATCCTCGTGTCATGTGTGCGGAAGAGCACATTATCCACACGAAGCGTGAATCGCGACAAAATGAATATACATGTGGGCATGACGCGCTTTAATCCAGGCTAGTCAGACAGCGGAAAATCATAGGGTAGCAGCACGAACTATTCGCACGAGAAGGTTGGATGATCCATTATCGTGTAGTTCATCCTCAAAAAGTGGGATTTCCGCGTAGAATAATATTGGATCTGGTCGCGTGAGCTCAGAGAGCGGAATAGAATGTAATGGGTTATCCTCATTGGCATCCATCCATTGTATTGAAGGACTGGGCGATTCGATGTCTGGTGCGGAATCAGAGTGATGGCCGGGATAAGTCATGGTGTAAGTCCAGTCATAATGCTTGGCTGAGACTGTAACAGGTAACGGAAGGTTCGTTCCAGGGTCTGTGCTGGTGAGTACGCTCAGAATCACATTGATACATATGCAACATGAATTCCTCACCGGCTCTTAAGCCAGGCATCTGCGTAGCCAACCTTGACTCCACCATCGCCCTCCCCGAGCTCACCCTTTTTCACACACTTGAGGGCATTATGAGTGTCAAACATCATCTTCCACCCGGATGGCTGATGCTCGAGAGATAGATAGTTACTTCCAAACGTCATCTCGGGTAACGGGAATCCTAGCGAAGCTTGCAACGCGTCGCACTCTGACGCGCTAGATATCGGGTTGGTGGACGCGATGATCACCCAATCATTGATTTCGATTGTACGTGAGTTGGGAGTCTCTGATAGCTTGTGTTGTGGTACTGAGACTGCTGAGGACATGACTTCAGCAAGAAAGTAGTCCTTTGATGTAATCTCCTGGTAAGTAACCGTTGTGGCCGTCGTCGTCGAAGGTGATCAAGATTCAACTTGAAGTTATTGATCGGAGTTTCAAAAGTATAAGCATAGGTACTCTCAAGTACTCGAACTCGCCAAGAAGTACAACGAAGATCATGGAGGGATCTCGCCCAGCGACACCAGAAGCACCTCCAGAAAACCTATGGTCGTCAATATTGGACTCAGTTTCCTCTTCACGGTCAATCCCTTCCAAGCAAGTTCTGCTTCTAGGTCCTTCTTCGTCTGGCAAGTCCGTGCTTGCCTCAGCATTGCTACAGAAACCGGTTTCTGAAGAGAGCAAAGACGAGACACGGTCAGATTTCGCTCTTGGATATGATTGGGCCGATATAAGAGATGACGGCGACGAGGGTGTGCTTCCCAATTTTTATGTATATGAAGCATGCTAATGCCGCGGCAAGACACTTTGGCGCGTCTATCGGTGTACACAGTACCTTCAGATGCAATAGCTTACACTTCTTTGATACCACACTTTCTTCCTCCTCGGGTATCGTTGCCTCACACCCTTGTAATGGTTGTTTTGGATTGGACGCGCCCTTGGACATTTGTAGATAATCTTCAGACGTGGCTCAAGTGGGTAGAGATGTGGGCGAAGGGTGATGGATCCCGGGATCTCGACATCGTTCGCGAAGAGAATCACGAAAGACGTATGCTCATTTGATTGAGACAATCCGATAGCTGACATTATTATCCTACAGTGCAACATCATTTACAGCATTATACTGAACCCTCCGTCGATGCAGTCCCTGCCACCTCTAATATTTCCTCAAATACAGTCCTACCGCTCGGCCCTGGCACGCTGACTCATAATTCTGCTGGTGTGCCAATTATTGTTGTCTGCACCAAATCAGACCTAATAGACGAGGGAAATGATCTCGTGGGTGCCAGCAGTTCCGGCATGGGTGGCATGGTAAAAGGTAAAGGTGGTGAGTGGGAGGAACGCACAGATGGCGTGATGCAGGTTCTCCGAACGATTTGTTTAAAATGTAAGTTTTTCTGTAAATTATCGTGATTACCTCATTACATTGCTCTAGATGGAGCATCGTTATTTTATACTACGCAGCAACCTAGCACGTTACAGGTGCTGAGGCAATATGTCCTACACCTCTTATTTATCCCCCTGGCACCGTCCCCCATGGCATCGGGATCCGAGGCTCCGGCTCCCCTGCGCAATCCATTCGTCTTTCATTATAAGCCAAATACATTAGACCGCGATCGCATCGTCGTTCCTGCTGGTTGGGATAGTTGGGGCAAGATTAGCGTCCTTCGAGAAGGGTTTGAGGCGAAGGTTTGGGGCGAAGCTTGGGAAGCAGACCTTGATGCCGACGTGGTGGAGTCCGAGGATCATTCAGGTGCAAGAAAAATGTATAAGATGCTAGTACCTGATCAAGGCGCAAAGGTGAAATATGTTATTCTGGTAATCTGGCACAATGACCTCATTTTTTTCATGCAGCCACCCCCTTTACCTCCGTTTAATGACCCCATGGCAGAGCAGGCATTCCTCGCGAAGCATTATGACGAAAACGCCAAAAAGCCAGACCGGGATCCCCGTGGCGCTTTCCGAAATCCCACGGATACGGCTGCAGCCGGTATTGTTGGGCCATTGGGGAGCAGCAGTTTCAATCTTCCAACCGTTGAGCGTGCCCTCAGCGAGATGGAGGCTGGAATGGGAATGGCCAGCTCACTCAATGCCAGCACGACCGCCGATGGAGCGCGCAGATCGCAAAGAGCTGCAACGGGAGCAAACGTGACCACCCACGTCGGACGACCACCAAGCTCACCGACCATCGGAACTTCGCCTAGTTCTACTGGAGGACAAACTCAACATGAAGTTTTGCAAAACTTCTTCCAAAGTTTGCTCAGTTCACGGGATCGCGGTGGCGCCAGCGCAACAGCTAAGAGCATGAGCCCAAAAACAAATGGCAATACTAGTGGCACAGACGATACGAGCTGATTGCATTTCTTCTGGTGTACTTTAGACTTGTATCATACAATTTTGGGGAGGCAGTGGACACATTATTGTTGTGTGTTTTCGGAGAACAAACAAATGACCAAACAAAAGCGACCGTCACCTTAAGACCTAACCTCATCAGCAGGGCAGCCGAAATTTGCCACAGCAAAGTTCGGCCCTAACTAGTTTCGTCTCGCTAACTTGTCAGCCTCGTTGTAACCGCGTTTCCCCTAACACCACAATATGGGCAGATGGTGCGTTCATTTAATCAGTTCAAGTCTATCTAATCACGCATGTACCGGCGTGTAGGACAGCCGAATATTATGACGAAGTGTTCAGTGCAAAAATGAGGAGCTTGGTGTATGGGTGTCCTCTTTCTACATAACTTCTCGCTAAGGAGACCTCTACCTTGCTACAGCTCCGGAGCAATCAAGCGCCATAGGCTTGAGAAAACTGAACCCACGATAAGCTATGAGCATTTTGTAGAGGACTTGGACGGTGGTGACTCGTTTACCACTTCGTTGATTGAGATTCTGGTCAAGGTGTGCTTTCTTACGCACACCCTTTGGTGACTTCTCACCTTAGCTACAGGAAGTAGCAGACCGACACCATCGCCAGAATGCCACTGACCGTGGTCTTATTGGAGATCGCACCGCTAGAGCGCTGAAGAGGTTATCTAATCCAACCACTACCTACAGGGAACGTACTTGGCGAGACAGGTGGTCGAAGAGCAGTGGACCTTTCAGACTACTTGTCGCGACCTCCGGATGAACTCGAGATGGACGAAGAGGCCGATGAGCTTGAGTCACTAGAGCAGTATGGCCTCGTGCCACTCGAGGGCACACGCACGAACACTGAGTTGTATGAGGCATACCGGCATCGTCCACAGCCGAATGCTTCAACAACAGCCTACCACGCGTTCTCTCCTGCTTTTTACAGCGTACCTGCACCGCCTCCGGCTCCTGCGCCAGACTCCCCCAGTGATAGGGTACTTCCTCCTCTACTTGATTCACCCCCTGCTCCACGGCTCGGTGGCTTGACACTTCCATCAGCGAGTGGCCTGCTCCATACCTCACTGAGTCGACAGCCCTCCATTCGCCGTCCTGTCAGAAGCAGGACAGCAGATTTCAGTGACTTCAGCGCACGGCGTCGAAATTCTTCACGACATCTAGCTGATGAAGAGGGCCCATCGAGATTCGATTCGTCTAGCGCATTCCCTGGTCCACATGTCAGTGCACCCAGGGAGGATTCCGACCCCCTTCATCTGGACCGCCGGGCCAAGCCAGGCGGTTTTTCCCTTTCCGCTCACGACGCTTCGAAGTCATTCCCACACCTCGACCTGTCCCCAGCACGGGTGAAGACTGGCTCTTCCCACCAGCCCCGTGGTCATCATCCCCATCAGACCGCACTGCGTCCTTGGCACCCGATAGCCAAGTTGGTGAAGAGCGCTCCCAGGCGCCTCGGCTCCGGCGAGGCGGCCTTAGAGCACCAGAATCTATGCTCTCACGACACATTTCGCCGGCCACCAATGCGGAGCTGGCACTGAGGGTATCAGAGGATATGGCTGCTATTGAGAGCGCGGAAGCCGAACGTCCAGAGCAGACACGATCTGTATCGGAAGAGATATTACAATCTATTGGTGGACCATAGACTCGCAAGAGATGTTATCTATTCCTGTCGGCAGGATATTTGTATTATTTTTACTTTTACACCTACACCTTGCATATGTTCGTAGCACATGCTAGCAAAACAGAACCCCCTTTAGACGGATCATACTGAATTCGTTGAATCACAAACCTGCCACGTCTAAAGCGTGCCCGGATCTTACTTAGATCTGCATGCATCGCATTCGAACACTAGTCATGTGAATCGGGATTGTAGCCAAACAAGATCCATTCCGAACATCCATGATCAAGAGACGCAACAGACCACAGCCACGGGTACGAGAAGCATCGCCAGACACAGAGCAACCTTCAGAGCTAGAGGAAGACGAGGATGAAGACAAATCACTCCCGTACGTTATAACCCAAGAGCCAGTCCAATTCAGAGAATTAAAACACAAATAGCATCTCGGAGCTCATCGAGCTCAGGAAGCTCAGGAAGTCCAGACAAGGAATTGATGTTTCAAAGCTATCAAAAGGCGATGTCAAGAAGAGGAAGCGCAAAACTGCAGAGGATGGACAAGAGGCCGAGGGCGGTCTGAGAGCTGGTGCGAGAGTGGATGAGTGCGTAAACATGATACTCTGGTGTTCGTAGTTCCGCTCACTCTGAACACAGCGAAGAAGCCAGTACAGATGCGAAAGCAAGGCGAGCCGTCCGAACGAGCAACTTCACGCAGCAGACCAACGTTTTGGATGTTGACAAACACATGTGAGTGCGGTCTCTCTCTCTCAACTTCTATTCGGGGGTTCTGACGTGGATGTAGGATGGCATACATTGAAGAGAATCTAAAGATTCGCAGCCGCCCCTCAGACCCATCCGAGTCTAAGCCTGGGACAAGCGCTCAAGATGAATTTTCTCTTTCCGAGCGGTGGAAAGGAGAGAAGAAAGCTGCAGATGAAGGCAATGTTACCAACAGCATGGCCATGCTAACCGCCATTCCCGAAGTTGATCTCGGCATGGAGTAGGGTTTCTTCCATTCTAATCCATCTGCTTTGGCTGACTTATGAGATAGCGCACGATTGAAAAATATTGAAGAAACTGAGAAGGCGAAACGACAAGTTGCTGAGGTCCGCAAAGAACGCAAGCGACCTAATGATGAGGAGCATCTCGTTGCAACTCGATGTTCGTTGTCTCTAGCTTGTTGTTGTAAAATCACTATTGACAGACTACTCAGTCTATCGGCCGCATCTCAAGCAGAAGTCAGACGCAGAAATCATGCGAGATGCCAAACTCGAAGCAATGGGTTTACCACCTCAAGAAGACAGAAGACCTCGCGGTGAACGTCCGCAAATGGCGACCGACGAAGTGGTATGGAGACTTTGATCTATTTGTCATAATGATTTACTCATGTCTCTCAGGTGATGGAGCGCTTCAAGAAAAGAATGCGCAGGTGAACTACTATTTCTTTCCTGCGAATGATCTCTTGCTTTGTTTTCAGCGTCACCTGGTCGCCTCGAATTGCTCGGTCTCTGGAGTACCTCTTGCTCATTGTTAGGACTCGCGGACAAATATACACCTTAGATCCTGTCTATTCCTCTACATGGCCAAGACCAAATCCTTCAACTTTTCGAAGTTGGGTGTACCGTATCCAGTGACTGCAGTGATTATCAGCGTACATACATGTAATTTTGCAGCATCCATGAACTCACCAGGATCCCATCCAACCGTGGCCTGCGTACAGTCATCACATCAGTCGCCGAGGGTCGTAGAACGTGGATACGACATACATTGAAGCCCTCAGTCTGACATCCTGGGTTGGAACCCCGGTGACATCATTCAACGCTGTGTAGCCCGTGGAATACAAGAAAGGGTTCAAGAAACCAAGAGGAGACTTTCCGGCAGAAAGACGTGCATCGTTCAGCATCGAAACGAACGCAGTGAACGTAGGCGCAGCGCAGGATGTACCAGCAACTAGTGTTTCCTGGCCTTGGTAAATTATCAAGAAGTTTACTGCTTGTGATGACACGTCGGGGTATGCCTAGGGAAATATTTTTCACAAAACTTCCGCAAGTTGAGGGGTCAACTTACGCGTCCCGTGCTGGAGATGAGGAGTCAATTGAAATGAATATATACGTTTGCCAGCTCGTGATGACTTACGAGTTATAGAGACCTTTGTAGGTGCCGGGAGCGAGCGTTGCCAAATATGCTAAGACAGCATCATCCTGGTACGAAGGACGACAGAACTAGTGTGAACATGATCAGTCAGGAGGTGTTACGGAAGGCAGAAACCACAAACATAGTTACTAAATCCACCACCGGAAAAGTTTGCTGCAGTCTCGGGAATGTTGATAGTTCCACCGACAGCAGTTACACTTTAAGTAGCAATTGATGATTTTGGCTCAGTGCTCATTCAGACGACTTACTACGGGCACGAAGGAGGGAACATAGGCAAGAACATCGGGGTCTTAAGACCATCATTAGAATAACACTGGTGCTCGAGAGGTTTGTCTGGATAGGCAACACCGTCACCCACACCCCCATCGCCAGACGAGAATATCACTGAGACACCACGAACACCGAGTGCTGCCATGCCATTGCAAACACGAGTTGCGTAAGACCGCGGGACGGATTGCTCGTCGTCACTATAACTTGTGGAGATCGATTGAGGGATTGTATCCTGCGAAAGGACATATTCAAGCCACTGAATATCTTAATTGTCAAAATTGAATTGCAACCGCAACCGCTCGAACGCACGTATGAATATGGCTCGTTTTCATCACTCTCCTCCAACAAATCAGGGTCAAAAGGAGGCTCGCCGCCGGTGGAGTAGAACGTTCCGGGTGTGGGCCAAGTGAGCCCAAAGCCAAACTGAGTGTCAAGGTTGGCCTCTTCGCCTGCTGCTTCATAGGTCTGGTTGTTCTCACCACCTGCGAAACACAACAATAAGGCATCGCCGACAGTAACTCAATCTCGACATACCATTAACGGACACGAAGGTGTAGTTTGAGCCATAAGCAGATGGGTTCTGAAGCTGGTAGAATTGCTGAAGGTCCATGTTATTGGCAGATTGGTTAAGATAAGCAGTGATACCAAGAACATTGCCGTTCGTGGCAGACGTGTTATAATCCACCGCGTTATATAACTGTCTCAAGCACGAAATGGTGATCGTGGTGTTGCACCTCGCATCAACCTGGTTGCCTGCAGGCCCTGTGATCGTCGAGCCAGATGGGCTCGAATCCGCAGGTTGCACATGATTAGTCCAGTGCAGCGTGCTCTTGAACACCTTGAAACGAGCAAACATGGTAGTGGGCTGAATGAGATCGACGTGGTCGTGCAAGATCTCAGGGAGACTGTAGCTCATGGTTCGGATGACGCTCTCTCCAGTCTGAGCGTGCTTGTAAACATGATATTCCTAGACATTCATTTAGCAATTAATGCAGATCTTCGCAAATGCCATCCACTTGCTCACAGTAGTCAGCATCTCTTCTGCGAGACCGACAGGGACACGGATAGTAACCCAATCGTTTGCAGATGAACGGATAACATCTTCTTCTGCCAGACCGTGTAAGGCCAGCCATTCGCTGACAATGCCCAGAGTCTCAGGGTGGGGAGCCATGAGTGCTTCGGTCTCCTGCTTCGACAGGTGCGCGCCATAACGTGCGTGGCTTGGGTCACTTACTTCCCAGAGGTGTTGCTCAAGTGCCGGGAACTTGGGCTGAGGCAGAGCAATCTTGAGCTCAAGCATGTGATGCTTTGGTGCAGGAGCATGCTTGTACCACCCACTAGGTGGACCATGGATACTCTCTTTCACCTTTTGCTGGAAACCCTTGAAAGGTATTGCACTAGCCAGGACAGCTGCGAAGGGGAGACTAAGCAGAGCGAGTCTCGTCGTCAGCATGGCAACAGTAGGAAAAGGTTTCAACGCTCACGAGCCAGTCGAAGCTTGCGTCGTTAATTTATATCCGAGAACAATAAGGCGATCACGTCAAGCAATCTGTTTACACATTAAATCGGCTCTACACGCACTTAAAACTGCTTATTACGTTAGTGGACTTCGTTGACGCAAGTGTTCTAGTACTTACCGTAGTTGACTACTTCATGACACAGAAGTGACCAAAGCTAAATGCATCAGGCGTCAAGATCGCTGTAGCGATATGGACCATACGGCGGGTATGAGCACCTACACTGATAAATCCATCATGGTCTAGTATGTGAATATAGAAAATGCAGATAAGGTGCACATAATTATTAAAGTCCTCCATTCATCAGGAATTCCGTATGTGTAATACGGACCGTAATGGGAGAGTCACATCGCAAATTCGATTACCGGCAATTCTGGATGTATTCCTTTCTTCTGATATGGACCCCTGATGGCCGCGCCGCTCGTGGTAGCTGCAGTCTGGACCAAAGCCACCTCATGGCACGTCCTTGTGATTCGAATTTCGCAACATTAATGCCACTGCAGTAAGCCTCAGTCTGAATATTGTTTAAGTCTGCTCACAGAAACTTGGCAGACTCACGATCTGTCCCCTCCAACACGCCTATACCCATCTGCAATGCAATGCAAAAAAGTGAAATCGTGATGGGACAAGGCGTAATGCCAACCGTCTGATATCAAGACTGAAAGGCGGTATTAATGATAGTTCGTCGCTGCATCTGTCGACCTCGGCAGCGAAATGATGAATCAACCAAGGTGCCAGTGGCATAATAAGTGGTACTGATCGAACTTGCCGAATGAAAGACCTGTCAGCGTGACAGACAGCGTTGCCACATAAACAAATACGAAGAACTGGAACAATGCAAGGCACTGTGAGTTGCGGGTCTCTATATTTCAAACTGCAAGTGCTGTCAGAAAGTGAGAACGTCCGGGAAATGAACAGTTTTATGGCAAGTATGTCTGAGTCTGGGGGCCGACATGGACGCTTCCCGACGGAGTCCCGCCCTATCAATTATATGCGCTCGCCACCCTCATACTTACCATCCAATTTACCCGTGCTTGAAGTCCGGCGTGTAGTACAGGAGCCTCAGGACAAATTGAGGGCATTTTCGTGGCGGCCAAAATTTCCCTTGGGAAGCCCCATGTTTAGTAAGGGAGTGACAACGATATTGTGATCAACAGGATACATTCCCCAGTAGTTCTAGGTTCGAGGCTGACGGTGTCGACTGACAGTTGATGAATAAAACTCCGACTAAAGCTAGCCGAGTGGCTTGCGCCAAGTCTTGGGAGTGTGCCAGCAGCTTGACTCTGTTTATTACTACAGAATAAAGACAGTCGTTCCTTTTCAATTAGTAGGGACCAAGACATTCCCCACAGCCTGCAGGTACTCGTGCAAGTGTGTTGGTCTAGGGCCAAGTTGCCCCTTGACCGACACTAGACTGTTTACAACTCTGGCCCAGTGACTTTCACTCGGGTGGCTTGCTTCCCAGAGGTGTCACTCGAGCTACGCGAACTTGGGTCAATTGAGGAAGAGCGATATTGTGTTTGAACACTGACATGTGGTGTTTGGATGCGGGAGCATACTTGTATTACCGCGGAATGGACCATGGAAGGTCTTTTATCTTTTTGTGGTAACCCCTGAAGGGTGGATGGAGATAAAGCTGATTAATGAACATCATCGTGATTAATATTGTCAGGGAGAGACTTCAACGCTCACCGACTAGAACTTAATAAAATTGCGAATGTGACCTGCTTCGGTTTGATTCAGCTCTGTAGACGGACAGCAGACCTCGCCGTTACTGAATTTACGCCACAAGCTATTACTAGTAGATCTTTTCCATGATAATCACGTCTGTTCGATAACTCGAGCAACCAAATTAAGCTTTGAATTTTGTATCTGGCGCCAGGCTTCAAGATCAATGGATGTATCACCCGTGATGTAGTGAGAGATGGGGTGCACTGCTACTACTAGTGCACCCCCTAGCAGTTTCATAGAACCGTAATATTGGTCTTCGGCCGATGAGAATGCGGCTACATAGCGACGGTCTAGTGGATTCTCCTGATGTTGTATAGTAGACAGTGGCATGGTGGACATTGTAAGGCAGATCACGCCAGCGGGCGCGTTCAGCTGAGCCTGCTGTAAGTACCAAATAGGAGCCTGCGTCAATAATGCTAGAGTATCTCAGGTTGTTGGTACGTTTAGCACATGGGGCGATACTGACTTGAGTAGATCGCAGTGCTGGAACGCGCGGACATATCGGAATGTGGGATCAGACACTCTGATGGGCCTCGTCAATTCTATACTTAGGAATACCTCAAGAAGCGGATGCGGAGGTGAAAAATTAAAACAATATCGCTTTGCTAGTGCGAATGACCTTAAAGGCCTGAAGGAATATATGCGATGTATCGTAGATCCTGTCTACCAAAATGGATTTCGCGCGTATATGTTTAAGGCATGGCCAAGACCAAGGCCTTCAATTTCTCGAAGTTAGGTGTGCCGTATCCAGTGACTACAGGTATGATCAGCATGTAGACATCTCATAACTTCGTTTGCCTTCATGAACTCACCAGGATCCCATCCAACAGTGGCCTGCATACAGGTATCACATTAGTAATGTAACTCGAAGGCGTGCAAACATGACCCACATTGAAGCCTGGAGTCCCACATCCAGGGTTGCTCCCATCGGTGATATCGTTTAATGCATTATAGCCAGTGGAATATAAAAATGGATTCAAAAAGCCAAGAGGAGCCTTTTGAGCATTGATGCGTGCGTCGTTCAGCATGGACACAAATGCGGCAAAGGCGGGCGAAGCACAGGATGTACCACCGATCGGACTCGCCTGGCCTCTATAAATGATAGAGAAGTTTTCCGATTGTGCTGCCACGTCAGGAAATGCCTACGAATACGGTTACCGTAAGATTTTTGCAAGTTGAAGAGTTAACGTACACGTCCGGTGCTGGAGATGGAGAGTCAATTGTGCATAGTGCGTTCGCCACTTTGTGGCGACTTACCAGTTATAGAGACCTTCGTAGGTGCCGGGGGCAAGCATTGCTAAGTACGCAGAGACAGCAGACTCCTGGTACGCAGGACGAGCAAACTTATACAATCGTAATGTATGGGTCAGAAGGTTGTATGTAGGGCAGAGGTTGCTCACATAGTTGCTGAATCCGCCACTAGAGAAGGGCGCTGCAGTCTCTGGGATGTTGGTAGTACCACCAACGGCAGTCACGCTTTGGTCCAAATTGGCCGCTATTCTGCCCGATTAGAGAGATCACTTACTATGGGCAGGAAGCGGGGAACATCGGCAGGAATTTTGTAACGTTGCGCCCATCATTGGATTTACATTTCTGACCACTGGCAGGGTTGCCATTACCAACACCAACACCACCATCACCAGAGGAGAACAACAAAGAGACCCCACGAGCACCGAGAGACGCCATGCCAGCGCAAACGCGGACCGCGTAGGTGTACGGGACAGTTTGCTCATCATCACCGTAACTGGTAGAGATTGTCTGGGGTATATCATCCTGTGAAAGTAAGTAGTCAAGCCACTGAAGATCGTAGTCATTAATGCATAAAACTGCAATCGTGATGGCCTGAACGCACGTGTGTGTATGGTTCATTTGTATTATTCGGCGACGCCAGGGAGGGGATGAAAGGGGGCTCGCCACCAGTCGTGTAGAACGTTCCGGGAGTGGGCCATACGAGTCCAAAACCAAACTGAGTGTCAAGGTTGGCTTCTCCACCTGCTGCCGCATAACTCTGATTGTTCTTTCCGCCTAAGAAGCAAATGAACAACATAACTTTCCACGAAGCCCGGACTGCAACCTACCATGAATGGAAACCAAAGTGTAATTTGAACCGTAGGCAGAAGGATTTTGGGCCTGGTAGAATTGCTGAAGGTCCTTATTGTTGGCATACTGGGCAAGATAACCGGTGATACCCAGTTTGTTGCAGTTCGTGGCAGTTGTTGTATAGTCCTCTGCATTATACAACTGCCTCAAGCAAGAAAGGGTGATCGTGGAGTTGCAGCTCGCATCGACGGGATTGCCTGCAGGCCCTGTGATTGTTTCGCCCGGCGGGTATGAGACCGCAGATTGCGCCTGGTTGGCCCAGTGCAGTGTACTCTTAAACGCCTTGAAACGAGCGAACATAGTCGTAGGCTGAATAAGATCAGCATGACGGTGCAAGATGTCAGGGAGACTGTAGCTCGTAGTCCGGACGATGCTCTCTCCGGTCTCAGCATGCTCGTAAACATGGTAAGTCTAGACATCGACTAGTCAATGAACCGTAATCTCCGAAGGTATCATTCCCTTGCTCACAGTATCCAGCATCTCTTCTGCGAGACCGACCGGGACACGAATAGTAACCCAATCGCGTGCAGATGAACGGACAACATCTTCTTCTGCCAGACCGTGTAAGGCCAACCATTCGCTGACAATGTCCAGAGTCTCAGGGTGGGGAGCCATGAGTGCTTCGGTCTCCTGCTTCGACAAGTACGCCCCGTAACGTGCGTGGCTTGGATCACTTACTTCCCAAAGGTGCTGCTCAAGTTCCGGGAACTTGGGCTGGGGAAGAGCAATCTTGAGCTCAAGCATGTGGTGCTTTGGTGCAGGAGCATGCTTGTACCACCCGTGGGGCGGACCGTGGATGCTCTCTTTCACCTTTTGCTTGCAGCCCTTGAAGGGTACAGTGCTAGCGAGAGCAGCCGCGAAGGGGAGCACAAGCAGAGTGACGAACTTCATCGTCGGTGCACAACACGAAGGCTGATACTCACGAGAAATTCTCGATTTCATTCATCTTTGTAGAACCTTACATATGAAGAAATCGGCCTTGACCAAGACAACGGAGTACGTATTGGATACGTGGCCGGTCGCCCTCCAGCGTCCACCGTCGCTGAGCTGGCAAACGAAGCTTCGTTTACGTGTCGACGAACCTGAAACACCATGCTTGGCCCACACAAGCCCGATCATCCGACACAGCAACATGCGCGTCACCGCCGTAATAGCGTGGGCACTCAGGCTTAGGCTAATCTCGGAGAACTACACCATTGCAATTTGCAACAGTGCAACTTCAAGTTGAATGCCATATGCATATGTAGTAGAACATGTTGGGATGGACCGACCCTTGATTAAAAGTTATGATCCTCTACCAGCACACAAAAGACAGGATTCCGGAATTTCCTATATCCATGGCTACAACAAAAGTTCTTGGGCCGCGCTCTTCGCGTGTGGAGCAGTCATAAACCACCTGTATCACTTGGCATGATTGACATCATGATCGTATGGGTACTGTGTGTGCTGATCGTGACTCCCAGGACTGTATAGTATGAAGTCCTCCGGGCAATAAAGGCGGCTCGTTGCCCCAAGTGTTGTTGCCAGAGTTGTTGGTTTGAATGAACCAAGTTAAATTTATATGACATGAATGAAACATACGCGAGAAACATAGCTTACGGAATGTCTAGACCTCGAACTACTCTCGTAATATCCACCAGGGTGAGAGCCAACGTGATCAAAATTGAGGTGACTGGAAGTACGATCTAATGTAGACTACGCGGCATCAACCTGAATGATGCCATTCGTCTAAGTGACTTGCTGCACGACCTCACTCACAACTGAACTGTTACCACACTTTTGTGCACTAGTAACAACTTCCACTGCACACTCGCTAGGCCCGCCTTCCGAGCCCATGCAACAACACACATTCCAGTGCCTCTCCCAAAAAGAAGACCGCTACGATTAACTAGCTATTCGAAGATTATTTGAGACAATTATAAATGACAGGATATCAAGAGGACATACCATCAATCGCCCACTTCTCTACTTCACTCGATTCAATCTGCAGGGTCGATGCGACCTCTGAATACGCCAGGTCATGCTCAAACGTGCGCAAAACCCAGTGACGCGAACGACAGAAGACTCGAGTGTGTAATATCATTGAATCATAATGAACCGACCCACCATATTTTCGAAATAGTGGATGGCTTTCGAACCATGAATGGAATTCTGGTAGACCACTATTCAAAAACACCTGCAGAAGCGAGAAAAGCTCATGATCTTTTATTGCGATAACAGCATCCAACTTGAACAACGGATCCAAGTCAAACAAGGAGGGTAGGCGCAATGCTGAAGGCTATGGCATCGATAACTGCGGACTGACCTGAGGCGAAAAGGATGGTAAATTGGTAATGAAGAAACGTGGGAAAGCGTGTAATGATGAACAGTTTCCCCAGTGTATGAATCAAATGTCAACGTTTCAACCACAGCCTGCATCAGTCAAATGGAATGTGTTAAGACTGGCCAGACTTTAATACATCAGCAGTGGACATAAGGCCTAGGAACTGACTGTGCTCTTCGCCAGAGATATCCCATTCTTGCAGGCACTGCTCGACATCTTTTCTGGATACACGTAAGGTCTCGAGCTCTCCATTTGCAGCGGCGACCTGTCCGGTAGTAACGCGGTGCAAATAGGTGGGCTGATTTACGAGGAGTAATATTGAACAAATTTGATATGCTATTTAAGAACTGAATGAGCACAGTCTGCATAAAGGGGCTCGAAGCGTAGTACTTACACACGGTACCTCGCTGATGGATGCTCAGAAGGTAATGAAGCGAGAACACCCAAGATTGAGGGGGCGTGATGTTTAATTTCTGGTGAGTTGGTCGGCCATGGTGTCAGAAGGTGAGGTTGAAGTAACCCTTAATTTCTGCATGTCGAAATCAGATCTAATTTACTGCAGAGAATGGTGGGGATCCCCGGACGCACCTTGTTCTGATCCATCGCCTAAACTTTTTGTCTAATCCAGCACTAAGGTCAATCATGTGTTCCGTCTTCTTTCCTGATCCTTTTCAATGGGGTTAGCTGGGGTTAGCTCCTTCATCTGGCTCATAGCAATATATCAGAAAGGTTGCGAAGCAGTAGCACTTTCATCCTTTACTTCGTAATTTCTCATCACTTCGTTTCTGCGTTACATCGATCGCATACTTCGCGTCGTGAAATTGCATACGTTAAACGCATCGCAGCGCATAATCGAATTATCGCATGCATATTGCGACTCGGTGAGTCTTTGTTTGGGCAAAGTTTGCTACACACCAGACATCTCCCGTATAGGATGGTGTTCTCGGCTCCTGGCTGACCTGGCCGGTAAGGGTATCGAACGGGCTTTTCGAAATATGTGACCGATGTGGAAGGTATCACTTGTGGCGAGGGTGCTGCGAATGCATATATATCCCGCGCTGTACTAGTACGAGCATCCTGTGTGGATCAATTGATGCATTATTCGGTTGTCATGAGGTGACGGTGGTTATTGAATATTTGCAGTTTGAACGGTGATTACATAAATTGATTGCTTGTACCTTGAAGTGATGCAATTCCAGGAACCGAAAATTTTCGGACGAGTAGAACACAACCAAATTTATCAGAGTCTATATATATATACTACAGCGTAGGCTACGCTATGTACAATAGGGAGTTTTTGTTAAGAGATAATTTTTAACATTGTGAAAAAACCAACAGTCACCTCCCTGATACCTGGGGTTTTATGTAAAACTTGGACGCAAAGCCTATCTCTTATTTTAACCTTTTGGTCAGACTTCAAATTTTAGGGCTGTCAGTTTACACTTTGTTGTCAATTTGACAACAAGTATACTACACGCTATTCATCCATATACCATGCTAATCTCGGTCAATCCTTAGTGCTATTAATGCACACTGATATCTTGCTGTAGACCTGAATCTTTTCATCACGTTTTTGATCATATCAGCCCCTTGTCAACTGGTGATTGCAGCGAATTAACTCCTTGCTTTGAACTCAAGCTTGTACCTTTGGGGAAAATATCTATTACAAGTCTCAATGATGACGGCTTCAAATTATTGGTTGCCGGTCCGACGAATTTGGACTATAATGTCAGCACATGAATCGAGCTCGTTGTTGTGCTCCCTTCTTTCCAGCTTCTTTCCTCGTTGTTGTCTAGCAAGGTTTCTGCCGACGCAGGCGACACTTCCAGAGTGGGATTGAGCGGGGCTACTAAGTGGGAAGAATGAGATTGACAGCTGAGGATGATTAAGTAAGGTACCAGCTGCCGTTCCCAACCAGTGTACGCGGTTACTACACATCATTCTAGACCTAGAGTCACAGGACGACAACACACGCCAACTCTCATGGGCCTAACGGGTGCTATTTCATAGCCGTCTCATGATTGTCGGCGGCCTGATGAGCTGTCCAATCAAATCGGTATACACGGAGAGACCGCATGTGGATGATGCCGATTTTCTCAGTAGCGCATGCGGATTGAGGATCTCAGAGAGCGTGATCATTCGGGGAATCGACTAACGTCACAGTGCACATGAGAGCGCCAAAATTGTTATCGTATACGTATATAACAATGCGTCAATTCCTTGTGTGTCCAAGCCTTTCCCGTACTGACGATGAGACTCATCTCTCTATTCGGGCTCCCCTTCGTGGCTGCTCTCGCTAGCGCAGCAGTGCCCTTCAAGGACTGCCAGCACAAGGTGAAAGAGAGCATTCATGGTCCGCCCCGCGGATGGTCCAGGCATACTCCCGCGCCCAAGCATCATATGCTCGAGCTTAAGATCGCTTTGCCTCAGCCCAAGTTCCCGGAGCTCGAGCAGCACCTCTGGGAGGTGAGCGACCCCAGCCACCCACGCTATGGGGCGCACTTGTCAAAGGAAGAGACTGATGCTCTCACGGCCCCCCATTCCGAGACTTTGGACATTGTCAACGAATGGCTTGCTTCATACGGCCTGGCGGAAGAAAGTCTCATTCGTTCATCTGCGAACGATTGGGTGACCATTCGGGTTCCAGTCGGCCTTGCCGAAGAGATGCTAGATACCGTGAGCAAACCAATCTTGTCTCCGGAGATTACGTACGGTCCATTGACTGCTGGATGTCTAGACTTATCATGTTTACAAGCACTCTAAGACGGGAGAGAGCATTGTCCGGACCACAAGCTACAGTCTCCCGGAGATCTTGCATGACCATATCGATCTTATACAACCTACGACCATGTTCGCTCGTTTCAAGGCGTTCAGGAGCACGCTGCTCTGGGGTAACCAGGTGCAGCCTTCGGTCCTGAGCGAGTCTGGTAGAACGATCACAGGGCCTGCAGGCAATCAGGTTGATGCAAGTTGCAACAGCACGATCACGGTTTCATGCTTGAAGCAGTTGTATAATGCGGTAGCTTACAACACGTCTGCTACGAACGGCAACGAGCTGGGTCTCACTGGTTATCTGGGCCAGTATGCCAATAACATGGACCTCCAACAATTCTTCCAGCTTGAAAACCCGTCTGCTTACGGTTCAAACTACACTTTCGTTTCCGTTAACGGTATGCTGCATTCAAAGCTTGGTAGTTACGTTGCTGATTTGTTCCACAGGTGGATTAAATAATCAGACCTATGCGGCAGCAGGCGTTGAAGCTAATCTTGACACTCAGTTTGGCTTTGGACTCACATGGCCCACTCCTAGAACGTTCTACTCGACTGCTGGCGAGCCCCCTTTCGACCCTGATATGTTCTCGCCGACCGATACAAATGAGCCATACTCATACGTAAGCTTGGGCCACTGTGATCCAACTTTCAACGTGCTGATGTCTACGACCCCAGTGGCTCGATTATGTTCTTTCGCAACCTATGCTTCCTCAGACGATCTCTACCAGTTATGGTGACGATGAGCAAACTGTCCCATTCACCTATGCATCCCGTGTCTGTGCTGGCATGGCAGTTCTCGGTGCTCGTGGTGTTTCTGTTTTGTTCTCCTCTGGTGATTATGGTGTTGGTGATGGTGATCCCGACCCTGCCACACAGGAATGCTACTCCAATGACGGGCTCAATGTCACGAAATTCCTGCCTACTTTTCCCGCTGCCTGTCCATAGTGAGTGATCTCGGCAATCGAGGAGTGTACAGCAACTAAAGATCGGATAAAGCGTGACGGCTGTGGGCGCCACTGTCAATATCCCAGAGACTGCTATATACTTCTCTGGCGGTGGTTTTAGTGACTATGTGAGGAATTTGACAGTTATGGTTGACACCTGCTGAAATGCTAACACGCTCCCAGTTCGTTCGTCCAGCATACCAAGAAGTTGCCGTCTCAGAGTACCTAGCAAAACTCGCACCTGGTACCTATGAGGGTCTCTACACTTCGTAAGTGCAATGAACTACTCCGCATCGGTATACATTAATCGAGTCGCTTATGTGCAGTTACGGGCGTGTAAGTGACCTCTTCAGTATTATGGATCTGACTGCTAACATTCATTCAGGGGTTTCCCGATGTGTCAGCCCAGGGGATGAACTTCTCTATTGTCTACCAGGGCGAGACGGCACTCGTTGGCGGCACATCCTGTTCTTCACCCACATTCGCCTCATTCGTTTCCATGCTGAATGACGCACGCATTAATGTCGGCAAAACCCCTCTCGGCTTCCTCAACCCTTTCTTGTACTCCACTGGGTACGCTGGGCTGAATGATATCACCGTGGGCAACAACCCAGGATGTGGAACTCAGGCTTCAACGTATGTCATATCTACATACCCTCAAGTCGTGTCACTGATCTGATTTCCATGCGCAGGCCACGACTGGATGGGATCCTAGTGAGTGCATGCATTTGGCGAGTAGTTTCCTATTTCGGTATTGACAATACCTGCAGTTTCAGGCCTTGGGACACCCAATTTCGAAAAGTTGGAGGCACTGGTCTTGAGCATGGACTAGATATGGTAGAGAAGTGGACAATCTGGTGTGTACATCATGAATGGACATCAAGCATATACGGTTGTAACGGTACTATTACGAGAGGCCCTCGGCATAGATGAGACGCTGAAGTCAATAATGACTAAAGACAATTACAGGAAAGAGCACGCAGTGTTCTCCCCCGCAATAGACTGCAGCTTATAAGCAGAGTGACTGAGGATTGCTTCACAGTGTACACGTCAATAAGTTAAAGTAATCCTATCTAGGCCTTCATGACACGGGGACTGGGTTTAGTAGATGCCGGGTATGAGCCGGTACCTGACGACCTTTGCCCACCTCTGCCATTCGTCTCCGAACATTGACTTCACAACCTCATCTTCCTGATTGATCCTGCGCACGAGGCTCGTCACAGTAATCGTTCTCTCCAACAACCACGCCAGCAGAACCAGTTTCACTCCAGGGAGATCTAAGACTCCCTGATCGTCTAAGCCACGAGGTCGCAGATCCGTGCAAGACCACTACGCCGATATACTGCAGAATAGCTGCCGAGTAGGAGGGATGACGTACGATGGAGTATGGTCCATTCGTAACAAGCTGATGACCCTTGCGGGTGGTGAGCTCGAATGTGAAGAAACGGCCAAGGGTCTGGAAACATGACCAGCGGAGGTATCCTGCCGCGGTAACAAGTGCGGTACCGAGAACGAATGGACGAGTGATTGGCACGTCCTGGATTCTTGGAAGAAATGGACTGATTGTATTTTGTACCACGCTGGGAAGTGTGTTGGGGTCCGTGATACGAGTGACGATGAGAGCTGTTTCTGCCAAGGAAACACTCCAGTAAACTATCTGGGTGTAGTTCCATCAGAGGATCTTGGACAATCCGTGAACAGGTACCTTTGCGATCGGGAGCCCGTATTTAATGTGCTGGATGATGACCCACTCATTAAAGTTATCATGAACAACCTCGCTCTTCGGTGGGGCATGCGGAGGACTGAGGGCTACGTGCACAGCGACAGCAGACGAGAGGATGAGTGGGATCTTGAGGAGGGACATTTTCATAAAGAACGCTTGGCCTTCTCGGTTACCTTTATAGAATCCATCTCCGAGTACGGCAGGGCGGGTGAGTCACATAATATTCAAACAGTTACTTGTATGTGCTGTCACTGGTCAGCCTGATTGGATCTAGGTAGCACGGAGGTTCCTACCCTATCTGATTGGGGCGGATGTACTATATCCCACCAGGTGACAACTTTGATTCTTCCACGCAAGTCTGATTGGTCAATATGTTTGAGTGTTCTCGCGCGGACCGTACGAGTCTGACATGCACTTCGGGGGCTCTCGGCATGCCAAAGCAGAGATGTGGTCATTCTATAGGGCTCGGTCCGGGATTCTTGACGTATTGTCAAGGCTTGGACGCGAAGAGTGGCTCGATCTTCAGTATGAAGGCCAAATTTCTCCTGGGAACACGGATCCGGTGGTAACGTATGTATACTTGTCGACCGCATATGACCGACAAATGTAGCTGTCGGCATCTGATCCCCCTGAGATGTATATGGCTCAGACGTCTAAACTCATACCTTAGCCGACGTCCTTCCTGAGGAATCAATTAACATGACAGGTAGAAGAGAGGAATACGTGATCACAGTTGAAGACACCGAGCTAGTGTTCCACATCGAGGACAACGGTGGATTATGCGCGGAAGAAAATCAGATGGAAAATCTCGCACAGCTCCAGCCAGGCGACAATGTCTGACAACTTTATGCCTCAGAGAGAAGTCGGTTCCCTGGATGAAGAGGTAGTTACACAACCTGGATGTGCTGGTCAAAATGCATTGCAAGCCATTGTCGTTATTCCGAGCGCAGATAACGGGTGTCGAGATCTCTGATCTCCTGATCTACCTCCCTCCGAAGGTTTGGGAGGCATTCGCTAAAAGGCTGCATTGATGCGGGCAGCCCTCAAAGGAATTGGACAAATGTTGTTGACTTTGGACTCTTGCCGACGAGGAGTCACTTGATTCCTGTATACCAATCATCCGATGAGGGGTACGAGCATGGGTATGCATGTAAAAGCAATAAAACAAAGTCTTGATCGACCCGTTACTCATAACACGCGAAAAGTTCGTGGGGACGTGTAACCTTTCCGAAACTCCAGAATCGAACGTCAAACTCGGATGCACGAGATGTCGTACGGTGGCAGTGAAAGACAGAAAGATCACATCTGCAAGTATCCCTACAACACAAATAAGAGCATGGATTTAACTTTGAGTTGCACCTATGAGCAGAGCCCTTACGGCTTGAAATGTCCCATTGCTAAGAACCTCGAAATTGTCGAGCTTCATGGATTTGATAGGTGGGAACGCACCAAAGCTCGATGGCTTCCAAGTCACAGCCGCGCATTTTGATATTCACCGATTCTCATACGTGGACGATAGGTTACACGCACAAGTTCGATTTGCTGCGACTTATTTGGAAGTCAGATCCAAGTCCGATCGATGTTTATTCTGTTGGTGTTTCGAATTTCTGAGCAATTATGCTTGTAAATCTTTGTCGCACTCAACAAATTCCCTTGCTTGCAGACCGCTACACATGTCCGAGACTGGAGTAGCATGGGTGGACCCTAGCCTGATCAAAGAGTGATGGTAAGGAGCAATAGCTATGTCTAATCTGCCTCTGGACTATACTAGTATGTCAAATAATGACATCGGTGGTGTGTCTTTCGTGCAACTCGAATACACCATCAGAGCATGTGCCAGTATCTTACGAAATATGGCGTCGTAACATATCTGATATCATCTCTCCAATCAGATAGCGTATCTCTCTGATTTCCAGGGTGAGTCTTTTCCGTGAACAATTTCGGAAATATCACAACAACGTTTAAAAATTATCAGTCTGGGCATCAGTGTAACCAGTTTTGTCGTTCCTTTGGTTGGCAAGCTTTCGTTGCTCTGTCTCGGAGATGAGGCGTCGGCCCAATTGTTGGATTATGGGTTTGATACAGTTGTTCTACAGATACTATGATTGTGCATATGTTCGAAGAGGCTCTTGGCACTGCCGAATCCGCGAGTAGTCGTGCGTCCGAACAAAGCCAGAAAAACCAGGGTGACTATTTGTTTTGCCGAGTAATTGAGCGTATTGCTCCCTCAGGAACCTATGTGCTGTCGAGTGGTGCACAGAGGAAACAAAGAAATTTAAATCACTCGCGAAGGAATTCGAGGCTTATTGGAATAAGCTGAAGGAGTACCTGGATCAACTGAAGGTTCGTGTCGTTGCTTATTATGCTATTAATTATAATTATCAGGGGTCACTAGATCTGTAGCGAGAAGTCGGCTGCGTTGATGTCAACAGGCGGATCAAAAGGTCAGTGAATGCTGTTTACGACTTTGTTGCAATTCCATGACAAAAAAATTACTCAGCGACACGTCCCTCGCTTACTGGTTTTTTTGATTACCCAATGAGATCACTCGGTCAACGATTGCATACTCTTGGATGCTTTCAAGAGAATTGTTGTTCGTTGGCCCGCTTCATTCTCAATACTCACGTATGACCGACCCAATAGCTGACAGTTACCGTACTACAGTGAGTCGTTGGTCGCATCTGGATAGCCACGCTGTCTCATTTCTTTGTTGAAAAATCAGGTGACATAGGCGATATTGCTTGAAGGCACAGCTCCGATAGGCATGCATGACTGACATAGGCCCAAAACCATTTGTGTTTTGATTCCAAGCTACTTGGTACGCGACACAAACCAATTGCAAATACATCATACACGATTAGGATGCAAGACTTTCGGCCCTGTTGGAATTTAAACCAAAGAGTAATAAAGCCACATTTCCCGCACGGCTTCAGTACACACCAGGTATGATACAATACTTCACCTTTCTCGCCCACGCCTCCCATTCTTCTCCGAATGCGGAATGCATCATCCTATCTTCTCTCTTCATTCTTAAGAACAATGCAAAATTCACCGCTGTGCACAGGGAAGTTCCAGCAATGATAACCGGTAACACCCCAGGGATTCTCGCTGATACACCGGAGGCCCTTAACCATGAGTTGGGAGAGCCATGCAGAATGATGATTCCGAAGCACATCATCATTATTCCTGTGTAAGAAGGATGGCGGACGACCGCGTAAGGCCCGGTGGTGATAAGGCGATGATCCTGGCGTACGCTGAGCAGAAACGTAAAATAGCGACCGAGGGTTCGGTAACATAGCCAGCGGACGAATCCACCGCTAGTCACGAGACCACAACCCACAAGAAAAGAAGGAGTGATAGGGACGTCTGTGAGAGTGCTCAAAACTTTGGATGCCGCCCGTAAAACTGGTGGTAATTTTGAAGAATCAACGCGACGAGCTATAATAGCAGCTATTTCTGCCACTGTCCCCACCCAGTACAGCCCCTAGATAGTTGACCGAACCCTGTTGAATGAACATCTCCTAAAAATACGCAGAATTCGGACGAACGGATATCGTTTGCGAGGGATATTTTATTTTACGAATATAAGATGAGAGAAGAGTCCGAGTCGGAGGACATAACTCCTCGGTGGATGCAGAATGAGGAGGTGTGACTGCTACCTGGACTGCGATGGCTGATGAGAGAACTAGAGGTATTTTGAGGAGCGACATGTTCAGTTGGATGAACTTGGTGGCAATAAGTTACTGGCCTTTAGTACTTTGGTAGGGTATGATCTGACCGGGATTGCACGGACGTATAATAGAGTGCTACGTAGAACTGAGAATAAGTCACTGGTGACCAGGACGTGGTGCCACGGGGTGTGCCACATCGATCCTGGCCCCAAGTTGTTATCGGATTAGTAGGGCTGCCAAGTGCGAATTGCTCAAGCTCCGGGACCGGCGGGGCCCCGATGCACAAGTGTATTAATAGTAACAACTGAACTTAAGTCGTCAGCTTCAGCTTCGAATTCATGCTCGAATTCGACCACTTTACCAAGGTTTTTGCTAAGAGATTTATCAAGAATTTTATTAACTAACGAGCCATCGATTTTACACTTGACTAGAACAAGGAAAAGTGACTTGGAACTTGTCGAACCTTCGAGCGACCAAGTACTAGAGATTATGCGTTTAATACTAGTACTTATGTGTTACGCAGTGATACTTACTGCGTGGAACCGTGACTATGTGTCGGATCACATCGTGAAAAATCCAAAAGTCACTTAGTAAAAATTCCCTAATGTTTAAATTTACCACCTCTCACTCCCATATGCTCCGTGACGGCGGACGGTCGACCACCACAGTGGCACCAGAATAATGGATGACGATAATTACCAACAGTTGCATTCTTGACGCAGGAGAGCGGGATCCCGGCCGTTCTAGATCTCGCTCTTATAAGATGCCTCAGCTGTATCGAGCGCAAGTGCAATTAATGGTTATTCATGGCTCAACTAGCATCTCCTCATGCACTCTACATATCAGAAATATTCTTTGCCATCTCATACTACCTTGAGGAGGACAAGAAAGCACTAGCGCGTCTTGCCCGTTGCTGTCACGCATTCTCAGAACCTGCTCTCAGTATCCTATGGTCGTCCGTGCGGTCTTTTTCGCCATTTATTCCCCTCCTGCCGCCGACTGTGAAGTTCTTATGGGTGAGCATCAAATTCTTGCAGCAACTACGTCACACTCAAGAATGTGTAGGAACACAGTCAGTTTGACGAAGTGGCCCTTGCCGATTTCCGGTGCCCGCTTGAAGAAGAATGGAGAGTATTTGACAGTTACGCCCGCAGAGTGCGGAGGCTATACTCTGGATCTCGTTGTCACCAAATAGTGACCCGCATACGCTCCGGAACTACTTTATTCCCTTTGCTACGATTCCTGTCTCTTCAACTTGTTGAACCCCTTCATATGCAAGGGCACCTCTTCTCGAACTCGCTGCGCTCTTTGAAGATATCTGGACCTGCGTATGTACACTGCAAAGATGACCGTGTCCAAATGGCCATCGCGCACGTAGCTCGCGATGCGCCATTGGTGGAACATCTTCACATCGAAGATTATACCTATTCTGTTGTCCAGTCGTCACTGCCACCTCTCCATTTTGCTCATCTTCGAGCTGTCGAAATATCTGCGTCTTTCGGTTACACCCTCCTACAATCTCTCTGTCACATCCTTTCCCAAGCACCTGTGACACAACTCAAACTCGAACTTCCACCGTTCCAAAATAAGGATTGGAATATCTCGATTCCTGTCTTTCCTGCTCTGAAATCGTTGCAAATTTGTGGCAATCCGGCTTCTGCCGAACAATTCGTATTCCATCTTGCCAGCAAGGATCTTCAAGAGCTTAGTGTCTACCACACAAGAGGAACCGCGAGTGTTGCGGATTATCACCAGCTTCTTTTGTGTGTTGCGGATAAATATGGCGACACTCTTCAACAACTCTCGCTGTCAACTCTTCAGCAAATCTCGCTGTCATTCAGTCAGTCACCCACCCCGAACCACCCATACGATCTTTCCCAAGCACTTCTTGATGCTTTTTATCCACTCGCATCACGTTTCAATCGACTACAGACTTTCCACCTCTCGTTGCCGCACAATCGCTACGTTCACCTAGCGCCTGAGCTCACATCTGAGTCTCCTACATGGCCATCTCTCAAGCTCTTGACCTCGAAGCAACATAGTGTTTTGTACGGAAGAACTGAAGAGGCGCATAGTGCTGTATATTTTAGGAAGTATATATGCCGTGTTGATCAGGTGTCAAGTTGCTGTCAATGCGAATGTGGAATACGAGAAGACTGTGCAGCAGTGTGGGAGTGTCGATGAGCACTGAGAACGGTACCTGCATCAGGGAGAAGTGCAAGGCATGCTATTCTGAGGCGATACTGCTGACCATGTGTGTGCTGCTAACTATACGATCCCGCGAGAAAAAGGCATCTAGGTGACAAACTCTCGTCTTCCCGCGAAACATGTTTTTCACTTGCATTCATTGTATTCACAGGAATCAATGGACTAGTACTAATGGGCGAAGGTTACTCTTGAGCAAGATAGACACTCGCACCCATGAGAAAGTACTAGTATCAAAAACATCCAGTCTTATGTTGGCTCACGTCCTCAATCTCCTCACTTCTCGTCTACCCCAACTCATCCTCCTGGCCAGTACACGATAAGAGTTTGATCGATTAGCTATGGTCTTAAGCCATCGCGCTCTCTACATTTCCGAGATTCTTTTAGAAATCTCATACCAGCTAGAGGATGATAGGAAGTCTCTTTCACGTCTTGCACGTTGTTGCAAGGCATTCTCAGACCCAGCTCTGGATGTTCTGTGGAGGCGGATGAGCCTTTTCTCTCCCTTTATTCCCCTTTTGCCCCCAGAGGTGTTGACACTTTGGGTGCGCATTATTCTTGGGCAGGTTTGTACTCGTATAGTTTTGACGTATTCTATAGGTGGAATACCAATTCAGCGCAGAGTGTATCAGGGGCTTTCAATGTCCCCCTATGCACGAGTGGAAAGCATTTGACGCCTATGCTAGGCGCGTGCGGATTTTGTACAGTGGCGCCTCGCACTTCCTCGCAGGTGTGGCTACTATCCGAGCAGACTTCAACGTCTTCCCCTTCCTTCGATCCATGTCGATGCAGCTTCAGGAACCTATACAGCCCGAGATCCGGTTGTTTCCCGAAACGCTGCAAACATTGGAAATTTCGGGCCCCGCTTACATCAACTGTAAGGATTCCTGTATTCAAACTGCTCTTGCACACGCTGCGCGCGATGCACCCTCCCTGAAACATTTACATGTCGAGGACTACAGCTACAACAGTGACCGCTTGGACACACCACCCCTACATTTCAAACACCTGCAAAGCGTCGAGATATCCGCATTCATCAGCTCTAACGTCCTTAGATCATTATGCTGTGTACTTTCGCACTCACCCGTGATCGAGCTCAAGATAGAGCTTCCTCCTACTAGCTGTATATGGGATACCCCACAATCCCTCTTCCCATATCTGGAGAGGGTGGAGATACACGGCACCCCTGCGCTCGCGGAGGCTTTCATCACGAATATTTCTAGTTCGTGTGTTCGCTCGCTGACTGTTAGGCACAGTCGTGGGCCCGCACGATTGGCAGACTGCAGTTTGTTATTCTCTACCATCGTGAACAAGTGCGGCTCATCACTGCAGTCGCTATCTCTCACAATCAGTCGCTCGCCAGTTCTTCATAACCATGATGGCATGGCGCATGATATTATGGATGCACTGTTCCCTTTGATGCCGAATTTCGAGCACTTGGAGGAACTTCATTTGTCGTTGCCTAGTGCAACTCAGGTTGATGACTATCCTGCTGTTGAAGCGTCTGGTTGGCCAGCTCTGAGACGGGTTGAGTTTATGGCCACATGATGATTCACGGGAGGCTTGGAAGCTGGGTTTCTTTCAATAGTGAAATGGCTAGACCATAGAAGCGTTTTGATCACATGTATTTGCATTTGGGTACTTATGAACTATCTAGATTTGCACTGCAATAATACTCATAGGTCAGGCATAGTGAGGGAAGCAATATACTTTTGGGCACTCGTGAGGCATCGACAAGCCTAAGAGGGACGCACACAGTGCGCAACCATGTAAGGTGTCAAAGATCCCCGGCACTTAACCGAGAACGAATAACAATCAAGCGTTGTGACGATAGAACAGCATATATCCCACCATCACCAATCACCATCGAATCCGACAAATCCTGTGCAGGTAGTACTAGTCAGTTACATCGGTCATCAAATTTGATAACGAACATACCTGTGAGCAAAAACACAGGGAAATACCTCTTCTTTTCCAGTTGTGCACACCAGTTCCATGCGCTGGTCAGACGGCCGTCGATACAACTTCCCGCGTCAAAGAAGTTATCGGCGCCAGAACCATCGAAGCCATGCTGGAAGAAATCGCACAAGATCTCGCGCACGCAATTATCTGTCGAACCGAAGTCATCCTCAATGTAGGAGCGTAACGCGGGTTTTTCCGCAAGGCTGGGTATATGTGAGAGGGTATTACAGATAGGCAGTAGGATCCGGTAGATCTGGGAATATTTATCTGTGCGAAATATGTCTAAGTTAAAACGTGGACGACGTTATGATAGTAAAACATACCGATGAACATGAGCGCGTTGGGCACATTATGGTCGCCCATGTGGATGGCGGACGAGCCAACCCAGGTTCCCACGCTTTGTTGCGCACGGTGTAGGATCGTGTGCATCATGCGGAAGGTTTTGGGAGCTGCTTGCACACGATTTAGCCCTTGACCAGTATCCCTCAGTCGGTAAGGTACATTCTCCGCCAGTAAGTCCTGTTCAGCGAGCGACCATAACCGGAACATGTCTGTCGAAAGAATCAGCATGACAAATACACAACACCTTCAAAGACTAACCATGCAGGATCTCCCGCCATAAGGTAAGACTCTGTAAGACATATGCGTATTGTTTTGCATGATCGTGGCTAAGTCTCGCGCCCTGCTTGCCACTTCGTATCGCCAAGCTGGACTTGTTGTCTTTTGGATGCGTTGGATGGAAGTATTGCTTCAAGTACGCGATCATCTTTTCGCAGGGATCTCGGTTCGTCCGCAAGAACGCGTGATTATCGCCGATGCTGTATATGCATTGACGGACTTGTTCTTGGTTTAAACCCGAGCGCTGATATTTCGAAGCGAGCGCCTCGATCGCGCGCTCCTTGTTTTTGATATCCCGCTGGACTTCTCTTCTTGAGCGTCCTTCAGAATATATTTCTTGCGTGGCAACTATGATGAGATCATCTCGTAACATGTTGAGAGCATCGCTTTCTTCAAGAATGGTGTACACAGATACAATGGGCTTGACGCAGGAAAAGCTGAGTATGTCTCGAACGTCCGGGGACTGACTGTCCTATGGAGAGCAGTGTTTGCATAGTCGAAGACTGTGAAGTACAGAACTTACCTGTAACAAATAGATCAACTTTCCATATGTCGTGCGCATTTTATCTGGGTTCATGATTTTATGTCTCCGACCGAGTTCAAAGATAGTCTGGTAGAAGTCCGAGTTGGACTGAAAATCGCGATCTCTGAACAATTCTTGGCCCTGCTTGTAGTCTGCGGCAAGGACGAGGCCAGATAGAATCGCACACAGCTCGCGAATCTGATGCACGATACGTTTTGGCTTCGAAAGTCCAAAACCCAGCGTGTCGATCTTGTCTGTGTACTCGGATACCTGAAGTGCGGCTTCGAGGAGACGTAGGTACTTGCGCTCGCCGTACGTGAGTCGAAGAGGGATGTATTTCGAACGGTCGACAAACCACTCGCCAACTTTTGATCCAATTGTGGGTTGGGCGCCTATTATTTGGGTAGAGACGGGCGTCATGGATGCTTTCGCTGATATACGGTCAAGTTCTTCATCAGAATCATCCATATCAACATCGTCTTCTTGCTGAACACAGAAGTAAGTATCAGCTCCACCACAGCCAAGCGAAAAAAGTCCGTACCTCCTCCCCATTTTTCTTTACATCCTCCGCCACACCATTTTGCACCGACTTGGACTTGGCGCCACTCGGGATTGGCTTTGCGATATGCTTCTTCCTCGACCCCTTCCGGTGCTGTGCTGCAAAGCACACTTCACAGTAATTATCTGCGCACGTATCGCACACAACTTGAGCAGGCTGATCTATATACACGGTAAGCTCGACCCGATCCGCATAATCACTTCTTATCAGCCACACACCTTCGCATTCGACGCAGAACCCGTCCTCAGCAGGCCTAACGGCTGATTCTTCATCCCATCCCTCACCGGGCCCGGTGGCGTCGCCTGAATCTTTTTCCTTGAGTCGTGGGTGTTCGACTGCTTCGTGGTTCGTTCCGAGGATGTTTTCTAGGGTAAATTTGCCACTCGGGGATTCATTTGGCTGTGAGGTGGATTCTATAGAGGCTGGGGATGTGTTTACGGCCATTATTTCTATGGATATGACATTTATCTGCCTAAGACCTGTAGCTGTGTAAGAAATAATGAGAGTAAGGAACGCGTGTACGGAGGGAATTTAGCTATGCGCCTGACGTAAGGTGAGCGCGTAAACATGTACATGAATACCCAGCGCCAAGTCCAAAATCAAAAGTATCTATGAGCGAACGCTCTAATACGTATTAATATTAATCCGCGAACGTATGATACAAATGGGCGGCGGTGCGAAATGGAAATCATACATGATGAATGAATGAATGTGGGATGATGACAGAGAAACCGATGCTTCACAAGCTCCCAAATGTATGGCGCCAAATCTTATTGACAATACCCTTGGGCTGTTCAGTCCGTGTGTCAGCCCGCTCCTCATCCTCTACTCGCTCAGCACAATCCTCTCTTTCCGATGCGCTGCGATCCACATCAGCCAGATGCGATCGAGGTGGATCAGGGGAGTTGATTGCCGGTATATAAGGCGCTTGGAACTCAAGTGGAGGTGGTGGAGAACGTTTGTACTTGTGTCGAGAGCGGGAGCTGTGAGATAACAAACTTCCGATACTTGGAGGATAATCGTGGGGTACAAGAGAAGATGGAGTAGTAGACTGAGTTATCGATAATGGGGAGGTGGATTCGCTGTATTTACCCTTGGACTCTTCGGATGCAACTATCGTTTCTGCATCATCTCCAGTTGGCATCCTTATGTAAGTGAGTTGAGGATTCTCCATGTCGCAACGAACATCGTCCTCATCGTCTTCTGGTGCACGAAAGAGCGGTTCTCGATCTTGCGCATCAGACACACGGGGTGAATTTGTGGGGAGTTCGACGGAGCTTCGACGAAGCTTTAACAATGGAATCAATGAGCCAAAATTGAAGGATGTTCATGATGATAGGGAAGAGACCCATGACGCTACAAAGGCAGGATAAGACCATTTTAACCATGAAAAAAGACAACACACAATATGATTTGAAAGGCATCGCCGTTACCGATAGCAGTCCAGCTGAGCAACCAGTCTCCCACTTTCGATATTCCTGGCCACACCGTAAACAACCCTACAACCAGCATTTTCATTGACATCAACGCAAAAACGTAGACTGCGGCTTGACGCGCCCAATACGCTATTGACGGTGGGGAACCATACTGCCCCGACTCGTAGCCTTTGAGGTAGAGTCTCTTTGCCAAGAGGTACGTGAGACCATGGTGCACGACGTATATTATAGCAACACCTATGACAAGGATGAGGATTGAAGGTAAGAGTGAGATGCATTGATATTTACCGAGAGTAGTATCGACGAGGACATTAAGAAAGTAGTAAGTGCAAGCATTGCCGGCATTATGATGTGAACCAAGGTCGGATATCAGAACATTGACACCGTGTACAAACATCTGTCCAACAATTTGCTTGGATACATCGAAGAGCCTGCATGATTGTGGGGAGGTTCAGTGGTCTCCTACATCGCTGTAAGCCACGAGGACGAACCATATTCTCCAAGGTCGTTTCTGTGGTTCACGGTGCCTCTTATACACGAGCGAAAGTATTACGAGCACGCCCATGAGCGCCTGGACAACCTGATGGTGATGTAACATTATGAGCCTTTCCTATGCAGTGTTCCATGGAAGAATTTTTGACGTACCAAGGCAGTCGGACCAAGTAATTGACATGAACGTCGATCCAGCGGAAAATCATCAGTAAGACGTGCAACAGAGAACATGGCTGGTTGAGAAGAAATACTGCGGGGCTGCTCGCCCAAGCAAGTGTGCGAACTTCTTGAACGTGCCAGTGACTACGTTCGACAAGATGGTCGTCTCCTCTCCTTCTCAGCATACCCTATTTTGGTAATTTCACTCGGTGTTGGTGAGAACAATGTATGATCCGCTCGAGCATGATATACTACTAGGTCTATGCATACGATGTAAGTATCTTCATGTACCAAGTTTGACTTTAAATGCTTTGGCCCAATGTTTGATCAAAGTGAGTTTGTTTTGAATATTTATAATTTCAAATCGATGCTGTGGGGTAGATGAGTTGTTGATTATTATTTGGCAAGAGCTTTATTGACTACCGCTGCGGGGCCACGACAACGACATGCTGATCACCATAATTAAATATTAAATATAATGTCCTTTTTCTCTAGATCTTCCCAACCCTCACCTTCGGGCCCGTCATACTCCAGTGTTCCTCGGGAATCCGTTCCAAGACCCATGGCACGTAACCTTCCTCCACAGACTCAATACAACGACCCTTCTCAGTCTCTCTTCGAGAAAAGATCATATGATCGCAAGCCCCCTCCATCACGCTCTGGTCCAGGCATGAGGTATGTCTACCTCACCTTACACCCTTACTCATACCGACTACGCTTATAGCTACGCAGTAGTTACTACGCCAAACGAGGGTCTTGCTCTCAGAAACTGCTTGGTTGTTTGCCCTTCGGACTTTTCCAATGGTGTGCATGTTTTGGTACGCAAGGTAGATCGTGACTCTGTACGAAGGGAATACCCCTTTACAACATGGTTAGTACAGCGTCCTCTACCTGATTCAAGTCATCTTAAGCGTCATCTAGCCATGACACTTCTGGAACAATCAGACCGGGCACAGTCGCCATCGGGCTCACACAGCGCCAATGGATAGGTGCATCTCTGTCAGGCGACGACGTCACAATCGACATGATTCCTCAAATACCCCCCTTTCTCCAATCCATCGATATTCAAGTCGGCTTTATACGAAATCGCAATGAAAACCAAGAGCCTTACTCCGCAGATGAGATCTCCCGTAACTTCATCAAGATCTTCAATGGCGTCGTCTTCGCCCCGGGCGAGATACTCATTTTCGACTTCAAAGGAGAGAAGCTCAAAATGACTGTTGCATCTATGAACGTGGTGGACCTCCCGGATCAGCAGAACAACTCGCGATTCGGACAACAGCCACGTATGGAGATGGGTGTTGTGATGGATAGGACCGACGTCACCATCATGAAGGCAAGTGATAGTATGATCAAGATTAAATCAAGTGCGAAGAAGTGAGTTTTGTAGTCTCAGGGTTAGGCTCCACTTATTGTTCACGTTCAGGGCTGCCTCGAACGCTATCATCGCACCCAATTTCAAGTTTGAGGAAATGGGTATCGGTGGTCTTGACGAGGAATTCGGCGCTATCTTCCGTCGCGCGTTTGCATCACGCGTATTCCCTCCAGCACTCGTTGAGAAGCTTGGAATTCAGCATGTGAAGGGCAAGTTTTTATCAAAAAAATAATTGACAAACGTCTAATGTCATTCATGAAAGGTATCCTTCTTCATGGTCCACCTGGAACCGGTAAAACCCTCATAGCTCGCCAAATTGGCAAAATGCTGAATGCTCGGGAGCCAAAAATTGTCAATGGCCCTGAGATTCTCAACAAGTACGTTGGTGCATCAGAGGAGAATGTCCGGAAACTTTTCGCAGATGCTGAGAAAGAGGTTAGTCGTGGCTTCTGTTTTTACTTGCGCAATTGTGCTGAAACAATGAGCAGTACAAGGAAAAGGGAGACGAGAGTGGCCTCCATATTATCATCTTTGATGAACTAGATGCTATCTTCAAGCAACGTGGTTCCACGAATAGTGGAACAGGTGTTGGTGACAGCGTGGTCAACCAGCTTTTGTCAAAGGTAATGTACAGTATTCCCTTGCAACCTCAATTGCTCACTTCTCCAGATGGATGGTATCGATCAACTGAATAACATACTCGTCATTGGCATGACAAACCGTATCGACATGATTGACGAGGCCTTGCTGCGCCCTGGACGTCTTGAAGTACATATGGAAATTTCCCTACCGGATGAGCATGGACGGTTCCAGATCCTGCGCATTCACACTGCTAAAATGCGGACGAACAACGTGATGGATGCGGACGTTGACCTGGCTGAACTCGCTGCCATGATGAAGAACTATTCGGGTGCAGAGATTGAGGGCTTTGTGAAGAGTGCAACTAGTTTTGCCTTCAATCGCCATGTCAAGGTTGGCACCATGGCAGGCATTTCGGAGGACGTCGACAAGCTTAGAGTCAATCGTGGTGATTTCCTCAAGGCACTTGAGGAAATCAAGCCAGCATATGGTGTGTCGGAAGAGGAGCTGACGGATGTTATTGCGAATGGGATCATCCATCATGACCCGATTATTGAAGTATGCTTCCCGCGTCTTCGGTATCTGTTATGCTGATGTTTTTCCAGGAAATCCTTGATAAAGGCAAACTATTTGTCAACCAGGTTGCCAGGTCGACACGGACACCGCGTGTCAGTATACTGCTCCACGGACCCCCTGCGTCAGGAAAGACTGTCCTGGCTGCATCCATTGCTTGGGCTTCCCAATTCCCATTCATCAAGCTCATTTCACCTGATCGTATGGTTGGATTCTCGGAAGCCCAGAAGATACAGTTCATTACCAGAACATTTACCGATAGTTACAAGAGTCCACTGAGTGTCATCGTCGTTGACAACCTTGAACGACTGTTAGGTGGGATCGCCTATAAGCCTGTATTCATTATGCTGACCTTCACCCGCAGACTGGACGTCGCTCGGCAGCAGGTTCTCGAATCCTGTTTTGCAGACCCTTCTTGTCCTCATTGCTCGCAAACCACCCAAGGTTCGCATCTCTGTCAGATATATGTGAAGTCTGCCTGATCTTATGTCCTCAGGACAAACGTCTACTCGTGATAGCAACGACCTCACTACGCCCCCTTTTGACAGAGCTTGGCCTGTCCGATGTGTTCGATTCTGAGTTGCGCGTGCCTCCAATTTCCAACCTTTCGTCACTCGAACTAGTCCTACGCGAAATGCAGCTCTTCCCTTCAGAAAACGAGCTCCGACAAACAATGCACATGCTTGCAGATGCAGGGTTCGCTGTTGACCTCAACGCAGAGGAGGATGCGACCTTGCATTTGCAAGTTGGCATCAAGAAGCTTTTGAGCATCGTTGAGATGGCGAGGCAGGAACCTGAGAGGGCTGGAGAGAGATTTGTGAGCGCGATTATCAACCTGAATTCATAGGTTTCGGGTCGCATACCTGTTGGATCGATATCATTTGTAGAGTACATACAATTTGGACACCATGGTGCAACACTTTTAAACGCTTGGCCAGGAAAGGTATAACATGCCTGATATGGTATGCTCCTCAAGTTCAACATAACTTCCACCTGGCTACGGCATATCCACGATCACCTGCAGCCTCATCTTAACTAAGTACTGACTGCGACGACAAGTTACTATCATGTCTTCCGTTGAGATTATCAGGGACCCAGCTCAACCAGCCCGTTTGCCACGATCAGCCTCTAATCCCAAACCAAAGGGGATCCTCAAGAATGCAGCGCCACAACAACCAGGGTCACAATCGCAGTAAGCCTCCGCGCAGATACTAATCAGTTCCCTTGTTAACCTCCTCGAGCGTATAGTAACTTGCAATGGGACGAAGAGAATCTTGCGTTGACTGAGATCCAGAAAGACAGTCTCATGAAGATTACGGAACCCAAAACGCCCTACGTACGGTATAACGCTGAAACAGACCAAATCGAGGGCGGTATGGTCCCTTTTATCAATCATTCATTATATGTGATCTAACGCTGTATATGATAGATATCCCATCGCTTGACCTAGGCGGGCGCATGCCCTCACCAATGGAGTACTTGTCGTCCTCTCCACGATCGGTATCACCAACAGGCGCAGATACGTCTGGGCCGTCTTCTCGCAGAACGTCGCTTAGTAGCGCAGGGCGCGCTTCATCTGGGAGATCAGCTAGTACTGCTTCTAGCAGGAGCAGGAGCACGAGCTTCAATCTCCCGAGTGAGGCTAAAGCAGAGATAAGATCTGTGTATGGCGAGCCGGGCGAAGAAGTCGAGGTAGATGAAGAGATGGATGAAGAAGGTGTGTTGTTTTTATTATTTCCTATGTGAGATGGGCTTATTTGCTTGGATAGCTGCTGCCAAGCATGCGGCTTTCGTACGAGCCAGAGGACGGCACTATTCCAATGAAGCAGAGGCGATGAAGGTGATTGGCTGTTCTCAAGTATTTGGAATATACTCAACAGATACTACATAGCGTGCAGCGAAGATGGTGGACGATGAGGATGAAGAAGCAAATGAGGGGGCCCCGGCACTTGCGGATGGTACTGAGAATGTCGCAGTCAACGGCGTTCATGGTGATTGATGGGATAACATATGCATATGCTCTGCGTGGTTTCTGGACGGAGTAGATGTGGACATGCTCACGAACTTTGAATTCTCTCACCGGTATATATTGTATTTTTACCAGAATATTATCAGCCTTTGAGTCCATTTGGCTGTAGGACCCTGATAGCAAGTAGGTCTGGGCTATGTTAAGTGGAGACTTGCCTAAATAGTCATTGTAGCCACGTGGTTATCAAATGATCGACAGATCTAGATGATCGTGAAGTAGGTAAATTTTGAACAACACGGCGTCGACTGCGTCTACCCTCAACAGCATCAGAATGGCCCCCGACGTTTCTGGTAAAGGCATCCTCCTCAAAGTTGACTCTATCGCGGATGCTTTTCGCGCTGAAGTCAAGGATGGACTTGCAGCTCCGCATCGTACACCGACGCTTGTCGGAATCTTGGCAACTAATGCGTCTCCGAGTAGGTTTTATGCTGATTTTACGAGGAAGCAATGTGAGGGGCTCGGTGTGAGGTTTATTCTCAAGGAGGTTGGGAGTGCGGTGAAGCAGAATGAAGGAGAGGAAGCGAGGTCAGATGGGGATGGTGTGGAGGAGGCGATCATCGAAGCTAATGAGGATGATAACGTTGATGGTATTATGGTAAGTTTGACGTAAGGTCTCATGGAACACTTGTCGATTATTGCACAGGTGTATTATCCGATATTTGGAGGCCAGCAGGTGAGCACTCGGGAGCATAGGACTTTAAATTGATCTAATGATTTTTTAGGACCATTATCTGCAGCAGGTATGGTTATATCATGTACCTGCGTGTATTGCTAACTGCGCTGTCCTAGATTGTCTCTCCGCTGAAGGACGTGGAAGGTCTTCATTCGAAATTCCACTATAATCTGTACCACAAGTACGTCTACGTTTCCCCTGATATCACCAGGTTATAATTGACTCGACGTAATCAGCATCCGTTTTATCACGCCTGCCTCGCTCGCATCTACTATTCCGTCCTCAAAAGTTGTCCAGCCAATAATAGACGATATCCCTCCACCCGGAACAGTCAAATCCATCATCCCTTGCACTCCCCTCGGCGTCGTCAAGTGCCTCGAGTATATCGGAGTTTATAACAAAATCCTTACATATGGCGATCGCGCATACGGGAAGACCGTGACCGTAATCAATCGGTAAGGCTCTGGCGCAGTCAGTATCTAAGGAATGTCGCCTAGAATATCGCACAGGTCAGAAGTTGTAGGACGCCCTCTCGCCGCACTTCTTGCGAATGACGGCGCGAGAGTGTTTTCCGTCGATATCGACTCTATCCAGGTAGCTCTCTACCTACCTTTCTTTTTCTTGCCATTTCGCTTATTTCACCTTGAAGGAATATACAAAGCGGCCACGTTCCTCAAACCCGACTTCTGCGCGACAATACCTCCCGCATCATACTTCGCACCTATGCACGCTCTCACTGGAAGAATGTCTTGCCATCTCAGACGTTGTGATCAGTGCTGTGCCCAGCGCATCATACAGGGTCAAAACTGAATGGCTAAAAGAAGGATGTGTGTGTGTCAACGTCGCAGCAGATAAGAATTTCGAAAAGGATGTAAGGGATAAAGTGCGTTTCAGCGGATTCTCAGATTGGTCCCCACTAGCCGTCCATATTCTAACAGCCGCTAACATGTTGTATGCAGGCATCTATATACATCCCAGCGGTCGGCAAAGTGACTATTTTGATGCTCCTTCGGAATCTGTGCGTCCAATCTTGTGTCGTGTTTAATTTCCTTCGTCATACTATGGTTTCCCGCACTGGTGTCAGTATCCAGCTACCGCCGATGCATTGTTACACAGCTTTCATTTTGTGGCCGCGCTTTCCTGTTCTTATTTTATTTAATCCCCTCGTTCGCAAGGGGTCTTCCATGTTCATTTTCACACCGTGACGACTCGTGTATGTTTTGCTTCGCTGCGAGCTGTGTGCTTATTATGTTTAGGCTACGTCTTTCACACTACAATGACGTGTCGGCCCCGAGTGGGAGCGAAGACATCATACCCGCCCAATAAGCGAGATCCCTCGTGAAATCGTGTCGGTGCCGTCGGTGGAAAGAAAATAATTAGAGGACAGGATCCAGCCTAGAAGCAGGAAGTCACGTAGAATCTAGCACAATGCATTACAATCGCCATTGCCTGGATATATACACCATTAGTTGAGATTATCACCGCAGCATGGGAATTTATGTGTAAATTGTATATGGTGTGCAATGGTGTGGTGATTGTGTTCCTCCCCTGATGGGTAAGAGCCAAAGAAAGCCTCCTTACGTAAAGATATAACACAGGTGCTGAACAATGCAGAGGGATGCGCGATATCACCCGAAGCGAGCATCGGTTGGGTTTGCAGCATGTAGTGGATTCTGGTCCATCTTGGGAAAGGAGGGGGTGACAGGCGTTGAAACGCCTGAGGCGTCACCGGTGAGGAAACGAACGCGTTGTCTGTGGAGCTGAAGGAAAGCAGTCAAGTTTGGATATTCAATAATTTGGACGCAAGGGGAATTGAGTGGGAAGTCAGGTGGTTGTGACGTGGACGACGTACCTGAGGAAGTTTTGGGATTATGGCAAGTACGATGAGAGCGGTGAGATTGATAGCGAATAGCCAGGGATTGTAATTTGTGTAGTGTGTCGAAGCCAAGAAACTGGTACGTGTGCTGTGAGTGAAATATGACGCATCACAAGCACAAGACGAACAGTAATATAGGCGCAGTGAATAACCATTTTTTCGATGGTGTATATTGTGCGCCATCATCAATTTGTTCCCAAAGAGTGAGATCGTCATATGCGCCGCCGTGAAGCTCGTTATCGAAGGGAATGCCGGTAACCCAGTGGAACATGAGATACGAGAGCTGCGGAGATACGTGGCATGTCAAACATAAGGCAGAACAGACCGAAGGATGGATGGAGCATACGTTAAGGTATATAAGGTTAACGAGGGTCCAGCTGATCTGCTGTGTCATGCCAGGTATAGTATCGATAATGATCTTTCCCATGAAGACCAAGACGACGTGTATGAGCCATGCACCTGAGCAGACGGTTCAGTGAAATGTTCACATTACTTGAGTAGCGCTATGCACCCTTTGCATTCACCCAGTTAGCATTGATGTTGAGGTATGCGCTACGGTCCAAAAGTTCCTCTGTACGCCCACCAACTTCTTCGACTTTGACGATACTCCCGCTTCGCCGACGGCCTTTGATATCAGCCGGAACTTGTACAGTAAGGTGTAGTAGCTTTGGTGAAGGGCGCGACATTGATTGCGACGACAAAACGTTGATGCGTTGGTTGAGAACGAAGTAGGAGGGCCGCAGCAGTCCTACACCCCGAATATTAAATTCATGAGCGCTAACCAAATAGTGGCATACAAACCGTAGGGTGCCACCAGGTCACCGGTCGGCAGCGGCCAATTCGACAACTCTGCACAGCACTATTAAGTAGTCCTGCGATCCTCGTGCACACAAAGAATCTTTCAGAAGCTTCACTGTGTAAATAATGGACTATCAGGAAGTGTGCATTGCTGGTGCTAGCCCTTTTAGCACCAAAAAATCAAGCGTCTTTCTCGATGCAGAATGGGCCTTGGCATGACTCGGAACTTGGAACTCATAGAGTCCAGAGGAACAGCATAGTATACCCGCTACTAGATAAACACAGTGTGTTCAATCAATGACACCAGGTCCCTTACCTCCGTCTATGCCACACCGCTTCCCCCCGCTCTGACGGAATTTAATTGGCACACCTTAGTACAAGACAGCCTTCCGGGAGAATGGCAATTGATAAATAACCGGGCCTCCAAGAAAGCTGATCTGAGGGACATCCTCTCTTACGTGTCTGGCTTTCCTCGGTAAGCTTGGTGGAATTTCTTCGCTCCAGCGCAAATTTCTACCAAGCGTGAGCTATCCACGACTACTCATACAGAGTAGCATTTGACAGCTCGAAAGAAAAACGCGTGTGGTGACTATCTCCGACCGATAGTGGAGGTGGCTCTGAACCTGCGGTCAAAACCATCACTACCGATGTTCGTTCTTTTCGTCGCCAAATCCTTCTTTCCCTTTGCTCACCCATCAGGCTATTACCAACTCAGTAAACCCAGCACATCTGAGAAGAAACCAACCACAGCTCCACATGGTGGCGTCGTTGGCTCGAAGAGTTCTCGGGTACATAGCCAACGCTGGATACGGCACCATTACCTTTTGCAGTCCTTCCGGCAGCTCCTCGTATTGTCGAGATTGTATATGATCTCCGACTTTGCTTCTGTAGATGTAAAAGGTCGAGTACTCCTGGTCAGCTCAGTTTTCGCGGCCTGGTCTCGCGTATGGTTATCTCATATTCGAGGCGTGCATCAGTCTGGAAATACATTCGTGGGGCAGTACACTTTATTGTTTCCTGAAGGAATGGACGCAACGGTATACGTTTTGAGACAGGTAGTGTTCGTTGTGGAAGATGGAAAGGTTGTTGGGACTGACTTGGTCGGACTGGTGGGTCAACTCACAGAGAGCGAACACATATGACCGTGAAAGACAGAGTTGCAGCGCCGAGGTCTGGTTCGATAAGGTATCTATTCACGGTAATACAAAAGTTGATGAAAGACCTAGAGCCAGAAGAAGCACTTACATCGTGATGATTATGTAAGTCATGTGATACCGCACATAAAATCGTTTATCGTTTATCGTCGAATGACTTCGAGTCAAGACGGTCCGTACCGGTAGGGAAGAAGATAATTATAAGCTTAAGCTTATCTACGTATGTTACTCCCACAATATTTGTTATTTTAGAGCGCAAGATCTCGCAAGGCTGGCCACCGAGTGACCATTCTCCTACCCCCTTCTCAACATCATGGTTAAACTACTGAGTATAGCATTAGGCTTCTTGAGTCAGCCTTTCACCCATCTTTCCCAGCTATTGTTCTTAGTTGATCCTGTCCGGGTAAACAATGGCCAGGGCCGCCAGGTTATCACCTCAGAGCTCTCCAACTCTATCCAGGAGACCCTCGATACTTGGAACATCACTGGACTGTCTGTCGCAGTTGTCCCGAGGTACGGCGAACCGGAATTTCATTCATGGGGAAACATGACGGAGGATGGGGACAAGACAACAGAAGACGTGCGAACTGCTCAAGTTTCTTCTTGTATGGAATCTGAAGCTGCAATTTCCAGACATTATTCCACATGGCGTCTGTGTCCAAGGCTTTCTGCGCGAGCGCTATTGGAATTTTGATGGATGACTATGAGCATGGAAGAAATGTTACACCGCTTCCTCCCGCTCTGTCGGAATTTAATTGGCACACCTTAGTACAAGATATCCTTCCGGGAGAGTGGCAATTGATGGATGACTGGGCGTCCAAGAAAGCAAATATGAAGGACATCCTCTCTCACGTGTCTGGCCTTCCTCGGTAAGCTTGACTCAAATTCTTCGCTCCAGCACAAGATTTTATTGAGCGTGAGCTAGCCATGACTACTCGTATGGACCAGGCGACAGCCCGAAAGGTGATGTATTGCGGATGCGCTATCTAAGGCCAGCTTTTGAACTTCGGGAACAGTGGTCGTACAACAACAAGGTAACAGCAGTCTCAACAAAAGCGCTAAATGCATCTTCTTAATCTACAAACAGATGTTCACGGCAGCCGCACATATCATTGAAACTTACTCCGCACAAACATACACATCTTTTGTGGAGGATCGAATCTTCACGCCACTAGGAATGTCTTCTTCTACGTTCTCGCCCACAAAGGCTGGGAAGACTGGCAGATTCACCCAAGGATGGACCAGCAGTGGTAGACTCTTGCCTGAGTGTTTTACAGAAGAGATGGCAACGCTGCTGGCTGGTGCAGGCGGTGTGATTTCGAGTGCTGTAGACATGGTAGATGCTTTTTGCCTTCGTCTATTTATCAACTGAAGACGTTTGTTCCATCCAGTCAAAATGGGTTGGCATTATGGCTTAACAAGGGCGTGCACAATAACGTCACAGTTATACCGCTTTCTGTACATGGAAACGCATCACAATCATACTCCGTATCCATCAGCGCCTCAGCTGATCCTGAGCTCTCGATTCAGGGGTATGGGATGGGATGGTTCAGAAACTCGTACCTGGGCCATGATGTAACAAATGTTCATTCATTATTGTGCATGATGACTGATGCCGGAGTATTAGATCGTATATCACACAGGGTCGGTTCCAGGATTCTCTACGCTAGCCTCATTCCTTCCAAATGACGATGTTGGAGTCGTCGTCTTTGCCAACGGCGGCGATAAAGCAACACCTGTGATGAATATCTTCAAGCGTATAGTCGACGCAGCTCTGAACTTGCGGTCAAAACCCTTACCACCGATGTTCGTTATTTTCATTTCTAAGTTCCTTTCCCTTTGCTCACCTATCACCGCTTCAGTGAACCCGACACGTCTGAGAAGAAACCAGTCACACCTCCAAACGAAAACGTCGTTGGTTTGGAACTTACACTCGAAGAGTTCTCGGGCACATACGCCAACGCTGGATACGGCGCTATCACCTTTTGCAGTCCTTCCGGCAGCACCTCGTATTGTCAAGATGTGATCTCCGACTTCGCTGCGGTGGATGGAGGAAAGTCAAGTGCTCCCCAGACCGTTCAGCTGTTCGCAGCATGGCCTCGCATATGGTCATCTCATATTCGAGTCGTGCATCGGTCTGGAAGTACGTTTGTGGTTCAGTACACTTCGCTGTTCCCGGAAGGATATGGGCGTGACAGGACACCCTTTGAGACAGCGGAGATAGGGACGTCCGAGGCTACGGCAGATTTCGTTGTCGAAAATGGCAAGGTTGTCGGGTTTGGGTTAGTCGGGCTGGTGGGTCAACTCATGGAGAGGGAGCGAACGCAAGCGACTGTGAAAAACAGAGCTGAAGTTTGGTTCGATAAAGTGCAGTGATACAAATGATCAGATCGATCAAGTTGGAACATGAGTAGCACCCTGGGGTTGTATGAAACACTACTACAAATCATCTTCTGTGGATCATGGGTCTCTCCTCAGCACGCGTCCTCGATGAAATCCTTATCGTGGTCCCGCGTGACTTATCATGCACTAGGGACCCGCAGGCCAGAGTTCAGTGTCGCGTTCTCGACATTCTATTTAAACAGATAGTAACCACAGCATCCGATGTCCCAATGACGAGCACAAGCTCCTGCGAATTGGATTGGAGACCCTGCACCAAATTCTACAGGCGTCCAGACACTTTTGTCATCAGGTGGGGTAGCATTTTCGAGATCCTAGGGAATATCTGTAAACCCGCGGCTCCACAGCACTGGTGAAGATCGCCTTCCAGTCCCTAGGCCTCAAACCCGAGTTGTCTGCAACTCTGTGTCTCTGTGGAACCGGAATATAGCGCGCTGCCCGCTGGTGATGTCATAGAACACATAGCGCTTACTATAAGTAGAAGTCGGAACGAAGACATGAACTTGTTTCCAACCCCATCTTCTCTACGACTACGACCATGGAGTCAATCAATACCCCAGTTGGTTTTGAGCTCGAAATCACATTGATGCCACTACAAGATACCGTTACCGAGCTCATAGATTTCGGATCTCGAATGGAACCCACCAAACGTGATATATCCCACAATGCCACTGCGATACATCACTTCCTGAAATCTCGCCTCAACCACGGTCTTAAAGATGCTGGTACCTACTCGCAATGGAACGTCATGGCTAATGGTACTGTGGCCTACGAAAACCCCTACTGTAAGTAATTACTTTTCGTCTCCTATCATGTTGTTGAATATTTGGCTATAGACGGCCTCTCCGAGACTTTCTGTCGGCTCATGGCAAAGTGCCATACAGCATATGTTCAACACGCTCAAGGACCTTAATCAATTCCGATCGCTTCAGCCCATTGAAGATTCGCGGGACACAATCGAGTTCCAACTTTTCCCTTCCACAACAAACCCTGCAATATTTCAACAATACGTATTGTTTGCGTTAGCTCTCCTCTCGTCCGCTATACGAGTCAGCACAACATACTATACCAATCGCATCGCGGAACTACAAAACGCTACTCTGGATGACCTTCGCCAGTTCATTGCTCCACACCCCCATGAAGCATTTCGATACTGCACATTGTTCAGCGGAAAGACCCATGATGCAGATGCCAAACGAAACGAGCAGCGGCTTTTGCCAGCAGAGTGGGCCCAGGAAGCCGAGGAGGCCCGCCGCCGCGCTGCGAACTCGACTCCACTTCCGATAGTCGAGATACCTTGTGATGTCATCATTCGCGCTGGTTTCTGAAGCCATATTCTGACTCGGCGGCTCTACAGCGTGCACTGGTATTCATGTATTCACTGTCTGTTCGCATCGATGTCGCAAAGCTCGCTGTCTATTCACATCGACGTTTTCGCAACCATCATGCATTCACTGTCTCTTTCACACGGACGTTTGCCAAGGGCTTTCTGTCTCTTCTCTGCCACCGTCTGTTCCCGTCAACGTTTTCGCAGGGCTTTCCACCCGTTCGGCGGGCCTTCGCTGGCACGCATTCATCGTTTCTTCGTATCAATATTTCGGCGCCAGGGCTTCGTGAAAACTAGGCTCGAGGTATACGACATGGTTAACTAGGCTTATCCTCAGGGTTTTCACGAGTCTCAAAAACTAGTTTTTGACGAGTTTTGTATGCAGTTTAGAAAACAATTTTTTTGAGCTATTCTGACATGTTTGAGCTATGGAAAAGCGAATGCCCATTGCGCAGACCCTCCCGAAGGCAATGGCAAAGTAGATCTGTTCTCCAGAGGTGCCGTGTTTGATCCTTCAACTTACTTATCAGAGAGCAGGTCCAACAGGCCGCCGAAGCGAATAAACTTTGAAGATGAACTGTCTTGGCTGCTGAATCTTCTTGAGTTTGTGCGCTGCCTTTCTCGATTGAGGCCATCAATGCGTCAATATGAACATCCAAACATGAACTCGTTTTCGAAACTTGACGGAGCCCTAGAACTTTTCGCAGTGGTCTCGTCTTCGCTGTCACTCGCATTCACCGTCTCTTTGCATTAACTTTTTCGCAGTGCTTTCTGTCCAACTCTTCACTCCCAGTGAAAATCGACCAGAGGGAGGGATATGTATCGATAGACATCGAAGCTATAGACTGTATCGACTCGTTTAGAAGTCTGTAGAAAAAACCGGCACTTTTCGAGATGGAAAAGATAAATATCAAGAGTTGTTGAGATGGTATTCTTGCTTAGTTTAGATACACGTCTAATGCAATAGAACGAGTATCGACGGGTATTTCCATGAATGGGTGTTATGATGGTGATATAGGGTAGGGTATCCGCTGCTCATCCGGGTCGCCAGCCATCCTAGTTCGCGCCATACCGCGTACGAAAGCTGCCATCCACGCTCCTCACATCCACTCACTGGCAATCCACCTCGGGTCCATAGACCGTGGACACAAAGACCAACCCGAGCCAGGAACGCCTTGAGCAGATGGCGAAGAATTGAGCTGAAAAAGAGGGTATCAGTACAGGATCCAGAATGAGAAAAAACAAGATTCACGCGAGCAGCGGCTTTGCGCTTGTACATCTAAGATATTGGTAGGTTAGAGAATATGATGGACGTGAACACAATAACAGTGACATGCCTCTTTGTCGGTATTCGAGAGCTTGTTCCAATGGGTTGCAAAAATGCTCGCGGGTTCCGTTTAGTTGCCATTCTGTTGCCAGTCGAGAGCGCACAAGCTCCTGGTATGGTATGAGCAGCGTGAGTCTTACAAGATTTCGTATTAATAGCAGACTTGACTTGCCGTGCGGTGATATTCGCAGTGACTCACATTGGTTTAAAGCTTGGTTGTCGTTTCTTGGGGGGTTCCTGGCTCGTGTAGCTCTGGGTTTGTCGCCACGAGCTCCTTAAAGTTGCATTTGCAGCCGTCAGTGGGTAGGCAACGTGTGATGATACAGTGGTGGTAGGGAGGCTGGTGTCAGAACTCGACGGTTTTGAAGGAAGTGTTGTAGTGCTATAAACCGAAGATGAAGTAGCTATAGGTTTGCAAATGGTGCATCTTCCATTTTCGGATGGAAGCCTGTCCGGCAGCGCAGAAAACTCAAGAAGATTCAACAGTCAGGACGCTCATCTTTATTTGCTTCGGCGGCCTGTTGAACTTGCCCTCTAATAAGTCAGTAGGAGGTTCAAACATGGCACCTCTGGAGAACGAATCTACTTTGCCGCTGCCTTCGGGATGGTCCGTGCAATAGGCATCGAGCCTAGTTATTCACGGAGCCCTGGCGCCAAAAATGTTGATGTGAAAAGACGCGCATTCATCGTCTCTTCGTATCAGCATTGATAGCGAAGGGACTGGTAGCAAAGAGACAGAAAGCCCTGCGAAAATGTTGGTGCGATGAGACCTAGTGAATGCACGACAACTAACAGATGGTGAGCCTTGCGAAAACGTTGATGCGAAGAGACAGTGAATGCGTGACAACGAAGAGACGACGAGCCTTGCGAAAATGTTGACGTGAAGAAACGGCAAATGCAAATGCAGCATCAATATGAACATCCAAACATGAACTCGTATTGCAATGTTTGGCAGGAGCCTCTAAACCAAACAACATCCTCAGGCATCCAAGTTGGCTTGAATGATGCTGCTACAATGGTGCACGCTCAGTCCTGCAGGCCCGTCCAAGCTCTCCGCTATCAGATTCTCGTCACCGAGCAGAGTGCACTCGATCAAGATATTTCCCACAGACGCTCAACCCTTTGGTCAGTGTCCAGACATCATCGCGTAAGTGCAATTATTCCTGATCACGCTGCGTGACATAGACATAACCATATAATCAGCCGCACAGAACCAGAAGCGTTCTTTCTTGATGTTTACTTCAATGCCCACCCAGTTGGCTCATCAGTGGACGCTAAGCAAAAGCTCAAGGCACCTAATGCACTCATGCCAACCGTCATCCCATACGCGGGCGGTATAGTGGAGTACGCAGTGAACATGGGCTCTGAGGTACCTTGAATGTCATTTATATCTTGTCTTTTCCAACTAAACTCTCAGTTTGCGACTCGTTTAATGATTGTACGTGGAGACTTTGAAACAGTATCAATGGCAATATACGGCGATGTTGTTTCAGATACCCCAACCAAGTCAACTACTTACTCTCCCCTCTCCTTACCCATCCATTCCTCCGTTCCCCTCGTACCTGCCTTAGACGCTGCAAAAAGTAACGACCCGACTGCTCTTGCGAGGAATCTCCTGGCACTCATTCCCAATGCGCCTCCCTTTCCCTCGTCATTCGCCTTATGTTCTGCCTCAAGCAACCTAATGATGACTGGGAACTCCCTGAATTTCCGCATCTTTACTCCGACCTGAACGAGGAAGAAATGGACATCGACTTAGATACTGCGTTCCGATGTTTGAGTCGTCCTGTGGTGGATGACGTTTCATCAGAGCAATTGCATCGTTTTGCAAAGAAGGTCTCCGAGGCTGTTGGCCCCAGGGTACGTCTTCTGAAGTCAATCCCTATCCAAGCCTATCAACTCGTTTCGTAGGACGATGCACAATCGTATCTCATTGCAGGCATTCTTTCCCGCTCTGCTTCGCAGACTCCTGAATTTGCGCAGGCTTTGATGGTATGTCAATTTTCAGGTGCATAACACTTGTTTTCATACCCTCGCAGCAAGCGCTCGAACTCGAGACGATATTTGACTCATCAACCTTGGATGAAGACGCTCTATTCACACTTCTGGATGCATCCACGAATCCTGATGTATCGCGGTTGTTGAAGGCGTCATGGTTTCTTAATGTCCTACAAGCTGTCCTTGCGCTGCCGACAGTGACCCCCGAGATGAAGAAGGCTTGTCGACGGCTAAGTGATCGGGTAGGATCGTGGACAGTCTTCGAACAAGCGTTGTCCGGGGTCCCAGACGCAGATTACACCAGGGCAGCGTTGTTTTTAAAGGACATCGGGAAGGAGGAGAAGAGTTTTGGCATATGGCTATCGTGTATCACCACTCATGAGGACCTTTTCGCGAGGATCAGAGATGCGCCGGCATACGAGGGCGTATATCCGCTGGATTTGATGTCTGGCTTGAACCCCTCTGAGGAAATAACGCATTCGGAGTTCATGGCATTCGTTAGGGCATATGTTGGCGTTGCTTCAGTGCTAGCTGTGTACGCCTGGTCGGACAGCCTTCCAAATTTGCATTGTCGCGAGCGCACCCTGGGTGTTTTGCGCTTGTGGCAGGAAATTCCTGGATATCGTGCGGTAAGTCATAGTTATCATTACTTTACCCAACTTCTGACGAGTGTATTAGATTATCTCCCCCCTGCTACTCCTACCTCAAATGACCTTCCGCCTGGAATGCATGACAATCGGAAATGACCCACCCACAACTGCAGGCATCAATGCCGAGTCCCTCCTTTTCGCGCTTGCAGCCAACCCGCAAAGTTTCCTCAATCCTGATTTTGTTCGCTGCGTGAAGGGCTGGGAACCATGGAGTCTAACATGGATCAACGAGCGAGAACGAGCAGACATAGAGCGCGCCGCTAAACTCGCGGATGAGGGCCTTGGTGGAGCTGTAGAAGAACTCGTTGGGTTTGCTAAAGAAGGTCATGACGCAATTTTGGATCAGGGCAGGATACGGGCTCTCAGGGTTGCTGTAGCTGTCATCATGCACACACTGGAGGATAATATCGAGAGCGGAACTAAGGGTGGCGACTGGGCGGTGTTGGAGGCTGTATGGGGTGAACACACGCATGGACTTTTGAATTACACCATCGACGTGTTTACTCGTATCAGCGTGGAGGTGAAGCAAGGGTTCTCGTTGACGCCGTCTCCATCGCCTACGATTGGTCTCGAACCGCTCTTGCTCGTCGCGAATGAAAGCCTCTACCTCATTGCGAGCTTGCATCCACTCTCCATTACGACAACCCGTGCAGTGCGAATGCTCGTGAGCGGTGTTTTGGACATTTACAGCCGGACTGATGTCGCATCCCACGAATCTGTCGCGAACACCGCAGTACGGGACGCTGCATTCCTTGTCAAGCATGCGTGTGCCAATGTACTCTGTGCACTTTCAAGAAGCTCGCAGGATCAACCTAAATGCGGCTCATCTGCAGTCCTCCGCACGCTCTTCGAACAGGGGCTCCATTTTGATAATATCGATCCTGCGAAAAGAGTTTCGAGCGCCCTTGACCTTGTCCTTCGAGTTCTAGCAGGTGATGGGGATGGCTTACCCGCGGGCTGGATACCCACTGTTATTCCACAGATTCTAACTCCCCTCACACTTTTCTTTCGTCATCTTGAACCCATGCACAAGGTCCAACTGGTCCAGCAACTTGTCAGCCTCGATCGGGGTGTGTTAGGGCTGGGCGAGTTCCTCGTTCAAGATGAGGTGAAGAGACTCGCCGGTCTTCTGAAGGTGATGGCCGAGAGAGGGGCTGTCACGCAGTGGGAAGTGGGCGCGGGACTCGAGTTTGTGGCAGGGCTCGTGGAAGGTGAAGACGGTGACTGGTGTATATCCGCATTACACCAATCAGAGTGTGGAACCATCATGGCCGGCTTACTCGAAGCCGGCCTCTACTCAAAACATCTTGGAATGATTGCCGGGCGGTTGGCTGGGAATCCAGAGTCCCTAGGGATTGAGCTTAGGCTTTCTGTCGTCACCGCACTCTTACGCGGGGTGCAAGTGCAAGAGCTGAGCGTATGCAGGATGAACGCCTTCGGCTTGATCTCTGCTGTCCTCGAGACGACTGACGAGAAAGACAGGGATCCCGAACGGCTGCTCTGGGAAGTAGGACACGCACTCGGCGCAGTAGTAGAATCAAACGACAACCTCTCCTCTCTCGACTCCGAGAGCGTCGTCAACACGCTTCTACTCCTCGATTCTCCCTCTCAATCTGATCTCCATGGGCTCACCTGCGAGCAATGGGTCAAGCTCTGCACTCATTTGGAAACATCGCTACCACCCAACATGCTCCCCATGCTCCCCATCATCAAAGGCTTCCATCCTTCCCCATCCTCACCACCAATGATCTCATTCCTCCCATCGACCCTCACGCTCCCCCTATACGATTTGATTTCCCTCCTTCAACCACTAGCTCCCCTACCCAGCACCCCACCACCAAAGCGCAAATCACCAAGCCAAGACGTCCTAGGTCTCGTCGCTATCTCCCCACCAACCGCAGTGCTGCGCTCGCCGGCTGTTACAGGTCTCACAAAGACGTATACACGGAATGATTTTCGTGAGTTGAGGCAGTTACCGAGTGCGAGGCAGAATACGAGTAGGTTGCCCAGTATGCATGTCGATGTGAGTTTTTTTTTCTTTTCACTTTGTTTTAGTGTCAGACATCTAACCACCACATACAGGATTTTCTCCAGGTCGAAATGTCATCTTCACCGCTCGCTCAGCCTGTAGTACCTTCGGGAGACATGCTGAATCTTTCCCCATCGTTTAACATGGGCAAGGAAAATGGGTACATTTAGAATTAGGAAATGTCGTCGTCGTAGTCGTCGGTGTTACCCTTTTTGTTGTGGATTTGAGTCAGATCATATTGCGTGGGTGTGGTACATTGTCCTTGTCCTTGATATTTGTTCTTGGAATGTCTACAGTACTAGAGTGCCAGCATCGGGTGCAATTGCGTCCACCCCGTCATGCAGTTCATTCCTATTTACGGTTCTTTCCTCACCACTATGGCGACCTCTGCGGCATTGTTCATCTTCAAAATGGGAGCAGGACCCATGTGTCAGATCGATTAAAAGAATTTCTGGCGATACGATGATTACATCGCCACATTGGCGATATTCGTATAAATGTCTTACATTTGGTGCCAACCGTTTCCAGTAGATATTCCTTTTCGCTGGAAGCATGAAGATGGAATTCATCTACTGAATGCACTGACAATTATCTGACCTATCATTGATGTCATGAAGACAGATCTACGCATACCCTTCATCTCTTTGCCAATGATATTGCAGTATTGAGTAAGTGAGCGTCCTCGACCCACCGTGGAAGACGAAACGGCGCTCGCGCCTTTCCAACGGTCATCATAGCAGGTAAAGTTTCGCGCAGTACCTTTTCAGTCAAGCGGGAGAATGAATTTGATATTACTGCAATTCGCAGCATGGTTGACACGTGGTTCGCAGCTTTCGTAGATCGCATTGGAGAAGAGTGCTCTGGAGATCGACAGAATGTCGGGACTATAGCGGCAACGACGACAGGCTTCAACGACACTATTGACTTCCTCTTCCTACGACATGTTCTCGAAGATGCTGAAACCTGTCTTCATCGTGCATCCCTTCCCCCTCTCAATGTCTATGTCGATGAATCCAACGACAAAGTTTTGGACAGATTGCCGGGCAATTTTCGTAAGTATCGCAATTGGACATCGATCACATATTTCGCTCACAAGACAACATAGAATCTTACAGACAACCTGAAAGAAGCCGATCATACTCCATTGAACGCACCAGAACATACGCCCGACTACCTTGCGATGTTGACATGCCTCCTCATCGCCTGGATCTCAAACAGAGCTGCATTTACACCATTCAACAAAACCTCTTAGTACAAAATGGATTGATGAGAAACGCACGTGTGCGTGTGGCCGCTCTGCATTGTCGGTTCGTCGAAGTCCAACTCATCAATACATTCGAAAGCCGCAATACCCCCCCTCCTCAACTTTGCGTTCCGTCCAAACTGTTTGTCCCGGACATTGAGTCAAAGACTGCTTCCTTTGCGACGCATATGCGGCGACGTTTAATGCATGAACCATACTCGACCTTCGAACAGAGAGCCATTTGTTCACGGTCAATTGTACACGACGTTGTCGAGGGTGAGAATGCGGAGACACGATGTGTCTATTTGCAGAGGCGAAAGAGGGGCAAGGCTGCTAATGTTGTATTTCCTGAGTTGCTACTATAAACACAGTATATCGTCGAAGAGCCGACCGAAGGGGTGTCCTTGCAATGTGTAAGATAAAATATGTCTGTATACTACAATGCTACAAGCCCATGCATTGCCATAATACATCATCGTTATCATCATGAACTGAGCCGAGAATCCAAATGGCGGGATCAATCAATCGATCTAGTGTGGACGTCGTCTTCGAACGTCATGGGAAGAGGAATGCGGTAGGTCTGATGCTGGGGATAGGGATTGCTGTGATAGTGCTGTTGGAGGCGAGCGGAAATATCGGTCCATATCAGATTGATCGAATTCTGATGGAGGTACGGGCGAGAGCGGTTGCTCCGAGGATATAGACGACTTCTTGGCTGGTTTTTGAATATCCGGCGCCCTCGACCTCCCACTCCCAATCCTATACATCCTCTTCCTCCTCGCCTTAACAACAGGTCTCTCACCCATCACCTGGTCCTTACTCGCCGTCCTCGGAGGAACGCTCCGTACCGTGAAATGTGCGAGCGAACGCGTATAGGGCGATAATGTGTGGTTCGAATGGGATAGGGTACTCAGCTGGGATATGGTGCTGTTGAGGGCGGGGCGGAGGATGACGGGGTCTGGATCCGGGTCTGTGGGGTGTGTATGCGTGGTGCTCCAGCTGTCGAAGTGGTTTTGACTAGAAGAGAGGGAGATAGAGAGGCGGCGGGCGGAGAGGGATGACTTGAGGGAGGTTCCTGCGTCTGCGTTTGTGTCTAGGGGCGCGATGGAGGAGGGTGGGGTGTCGATGACACCGCTGCTTGAAGAGAATTGGGTCTCGAGGCTGGACGGAGTGATGGGGCGGGGTGGGAGGGAGTGGGTAGGGATGTCGTACCCGGGCTCTGATCGTGTGTACTGGCGCGGTTCGCCGTAAAGGGAAGGCGCAAGAGGGAAATACGGGTTGAAACTAGGACGCGGCCGATGAAAGAAGCGCGTGGGATGCGATGGACCGGCATGGGAGTCTGAGCGGACAGAAGCTGCGTCTGACAAATGGGGTGTGTCTGAAGGAGACTGGATCATGGATTGGGAATGGTATACTCGCGGACGAGTGATAGTGCCACCACCCACTGCGGGCAGCGTTTCGTATTCCGTGACAGGCTCCTCGGCGATGGTCGGAGGTGGTGAATACTCGGCAACTGAATCTTCCCAGTCAACGACATCGAACGAACCCTGCTCTTCTTCGCCTTCCAAGCCCTCATCTTCTCCGGGCTCTTCAGTAAGATCTCCGAGACCCATGTTACGCGTGAAGAGGCGGCTGAAGGATGAGAAGACGCTTTTTGTTGGGAGCCCCTCTGGACGGAGGCCGTATGTTGGGTCGAAAATTTCTTGCTCGGGGTTGGAGGAAGACGGGTCTGATACTGGAAAACTAGTACGAAGGGGAGTGGGGGGAGTTCGGGTACTTCTACGAGCTGATGTTGATACAGATGCACCCGATATCGAGCGCGCGCGACCGTAGGAAAGAGACCCGAGTGATTGTTGGCGGAGCATGTGTAACCCAACACCAGAAAAGCCAGGTGGCACGTAAGCGAGATCAGGTGCAGAGACGACGTCGAAAGGTCTGCGTCGCGATGTGGGCGTTCGCTTGTCGAGATACGGCGCCTCCACTTTGGCTCTTACCCATTGCTGACTTAGACGATGAATGATTCCTGGTAGATCCTCCCTGAACATCTGCCTAAGCTGGCCTTCGATCTCACGTTGGATGAACTTTTGAATTACGGCGATGGAATCGAATGTACTGTTTATATCTACGTTCTGGAGAGGGTCTGTCTTGAATACGAGTGTGATGCCTTTTTGCTTTGAGACGACTAGGACGACATAGGAGTTGAGTTTGAAGTGGGAGAGGCGGAGAAGCATTGGAACTACAAGAGGGTCCTTGGCAGCCAGCATGCCACGGGAGCCTGTCATGATATGTATATCGGGCTGCTTGTGATTCAAGGGATTCGCCTGATAAATAAATTGTCAAGATGGCAGAACGAGAGGGAGATAAGTGGCAACAATAAACACCTGCACTTTGGTCTTGAGTACGATGTGTGCGTCTCCTGCATAAGTGAACCGAAATATGCCGCGAAAGTGGTCCATTGTCAAGTCACCGATATCCCGAATTTCGAGTTCTGGTGGCTGCAGGGTGGCATATGAGGAGATAGGTGGGATGAAGTTTGAACTGTGCAGGACTCACCTGTGTCCCCATCTCGAGTTCTACGACCTCTATTCTGTCAGCAATCACTGGCGGTTTATTGCCCTTGTTGAGGGCGTTGTTGAGCATCTCGATGGCATCTGTGTGAAACTGGTCGGAAAAGCGTGGCCATTCGAATGTGAACGACATCTCTTTGCGTTGACTGCAGTGATTTGCTAGGCATTCAAGATATTCGAAGGCAGGTCAAAACCAGGTGGACGTCAGACTGTGCATTAATTTTTGGCCAGATGAAGCCAGATGCTGACTATAAGATTACGAATTCTGGCAGGAAGTGCGTGCATGGATGAATTTGAATGCGACTCACGTGCATGCGCGCTTCTTCGAACCTAAGTCTATTGACGGTTACACAGATTCGAACTACATTTCAATTCTTCCGCTCAGCGCTGTCCACTGATTTCCCCGTGTCCAGAAGACTCTTGTCGTAGGAGCCAGTAACGAGGAGACGGGTACCACGGATAAAGCTACCTCGTTCACCAATTTCTCATGACCCTTCAGCGTCAGTTCGAGTCTGTGAGGTATTTCCTTTTGAGTTTGCGCTTGGGACGCTACTTTGTGAACGTCAATGGGGCCACCATTGAATCTTTTTCGGTTTTCGGTGAGCACGAGCGTCGACGTGGGAGTGAGTGGTCACTTGCGCGTGCTAAGGTGAGTAGGCGCTGAGTTGCATCTCTTACAGGATACTATCCCTGAATCCACATGTCGGCCTTGCTGTAGATACATGGTATCCCGCATGCAAGTTAGTGTTTCAGGAGTAGTGCGGTGGTCACTTTTATTGTGCTTCGCCCTGTTGCGGCTGATTCTATTTCTCATCCCATCAATCTCTTCTCCCATTGAGATTGTGCTGACAAGTGACCGCATAAATGCAACGAATCATTGGCTTGGTGGCTGCGGTAGTATCATAATTTCAGACTGAGGGAGAAGCAGCTTTTCGTTCCTATTCACCATCGGTACACTGGATTACACGACTTCTCCCGACCACTATGAGTTGATTATGTCTGCAGGTTATCACGCGCAAGTATGGCCACCATACGGGCGCGCAGCTCTACATGTGGGCTAGCCAATATACACGCAAGATTATGCATCCAAGCTGTCATCGATACGGGCCGTCATCGAGCGATGACAGGATATAGGTATTCTCATCGAAGTTCACCGCTAACATCATATTCTTCCCGTGTTTGCTCGCTCTATACGGCTGCGCGAGCTGGTACATGTGGACTGATTCGCGGTTCATGACACTATCGTTAGCTACTGGCCGCTCGCTCTCGCCTGCACAACCAGCCACATCGTCAGACAGACCTTACCCATTTGGCAGTTTAGCTTGAATTCATCAATTTATCTTATAGATTCATAGCCAAGTGGTTAACAGATTCGAGATCTGTCCGTGCAGGTTTGAAACCTGCTGACGATTGCTTTTCTCCATGATTACACCTTTGCATGAGCTGATAGAGAGGTCGTCGAACGTCAACCATAAGAGTCATGGCTAAGTTGTTAACAGATTTAAAATATGTTCTTCCCGGGTTATGCAGGTTCGAAATCTGGTGATAATTTTTTTTTTTTTTTGATCGCACCTTGGGTTTGAGCTCATGGAAGGTCTTCGAACGTCAACCATAAGAGTTGTGGCCAAGTTGTTAACAGACCTGAAATCTGTTCCTCCCGGATAGTGTAGGTTCGAAACCTGCCGACAATATTTTTTCTCTATGATCTGCCAGTGAATGCTGCGTAGGATAGTACAATGGCAGTCATTTATTGGAACCAACGTAGTTGAGTCGTCAAATACTCAGTACATGTGGTGATATCTACTCTGACGTAAAAGACAGAAAGCCTGCGGGAGCTGGAAGTACATAAACAAAAAATATACTATGTACTATTGTGATGTTAATGGTTTGATTTCCAACAATAACAAACGAAAGGGGAGACGATATAATGAGACAACATAGGAACATGTAGACGAATGGCAGCTAACAGATGATTTACGGTAGGAAATCAATTGAAATCGTACAAAACCCTGCTACTGACTGTAGCGGGAATCAGCGTGGTCTTCGCCACCGCAGATGCTAGCTTTGCAATGGACCTTTGGAAATAAAGGGACGAGCCTAGTTTGCTGCACCTCCGCACTCATTGTACCAAAGTACCTGCAAAGTAAATCATTGTAAGTGATTATCCATACCATTGGGAAGTTCTTGAAACCTTTGAACGTCGAAACTCCAACAATAACTTGCTCGCACCCAGGTTCCTAGTCCATCAAGGTACTCCTTGACTAGGATATCGGTGGAAGGACCCCATGAAGGAATCTTCGCAAGACCGTCAGTAAATCTTTTCTTGAGTTTAGTGTGATAGGCGGCTGCCCAACCCATCGCACTGCCTATGTCGAGGTCAAGTTCTAGCATGACAACAGTTATCAGTGAATTGTAGTCGTTCCCGCTCGCTTGTTCTCTATTCCACGAGAGCATATCCTATAACAGTTATTAGCAAATCGGAAACCAAGTCTTTAGTGTGATTTTACATTGTCAACTGTAACCAAATCTGCGGCGCATTCAACCATATCCACGATGGCGGGATGGTAGAACACCTCATCAGGAAGTTCCATCTCCATTCCACATAGTAATAACCAAACTAATATGCCAGATGTTTCCCGTCGGTGCTTGAAATGTTCATCGATACTGCGACAATGTTTTTGTTCGCGGTCAATGGCCTCGACAGCTACTGCACGAAAATATGTCGTAAAGACATCAATGAAGCGGCGCTGACAAGTCATGCTTATGGTCTGCATCGCATGAGTTGAACATCTACATAAAATTCAGATGCATGATCAAACAAGCGGCGGGAGGTACTTACTGTTGCATCATTTCTCCAATGATGTTTTCACCTTCTGGTCGTATCTTATGAGGATTGTGTAAGGCATCAATGGCGATATTCACTATTGCGTTGGTGCCTGCTGCAGTGCTTCTATCGGTAACTTCATCCACAAATAATTGAATATCCATTATTTCGCAACCGACTCGAAGATGTTCTATGTTGCAAGAATAAAGTCAGGGCCCCGGGGGTGTGCGCCAGGGGTTGAGTACGGACCTCTTGACACAGTGGGATGAGCCAGCGCTACTAGGTAAGCTACAAGAACAATGTACGTCAACGATCTTCAGAGGCAAGTTAACATAACTCGAACCTGCACCACACTTGTCAAATTCTTCCAATATCTCAGGATCCAGAGCTTTGAAACTATGAAACCAAGCATCAGCCTCAATTTTCACAGCTTCGAAATGAGGGTTGATTGCACGAGGCCACGGCCAGTTGGTCATGGTGTCCGGGAGGTAAATCATCTTTGGGCGAGTTTCCATGATATCCTATTTTTGATGATAAGCGATAGAACCTATGAATTGTAGAAGGGGGCTAAGGATAAATGGCGTGCAGCGTCCCTTTTATACAAAATGTGAGAACAGAAATTTATGGAATAGTCTTTGTTGGTGGATCCACATCAGTGGGTTGGATTGTGCTACAGAATGCTACGGAGCGCTCTGTAACGCTCTGTAGCAAATTACGTTTTCCTGATGCCCATGGCATACTACCAGTAATCGGCAATCGGCTACGGCTCAAGGCGGCAGACTGCAGGCCGTAGACATGGCGCTAGAGCTCGCTGGAGTGTAGCGAGCGCCCTAGGGGTTACCCTTTCGAAATACTTCGGCTCTACAAAGCTCCTGAAGCGGTGCAATGTGTGCCGTTGTGACCTGTTGCCACTCCAAATTTGTTTAGCTCCTACAGCAAGGTACAACTGAGCATTAGCTCAATCAATGCAGCAGAGGTGAAGACCTCATTCACCGAAGTTAACGGAACCCTGTTATCATTCGGATCTTTTTCGGTTCCTTCGAACGACTTCAAACCCGGTTTCCTTTTTTTTTTGGGGGACAAGCAGGTCTATTATGGAGTAACCGAGACTGTCTAGCCCTATATAACAAAACGCTTATCGAAGGAATACCGGTCCGAGGGAAAATGCTCTTACGTTAAAACTGATGTCTTTCTATTTGAAGAAATGCACTAGTATTATCACGCTACATCATCAGAGGTGCTCTGTTGGGCAGTTTTCTGCTTGTTCATCTGGTGGGTCCAATATAGATTAGCACAGAACTCTGGCAACAAAAACGGGGACCATGACCACTTACGACAACATAGAGCGCAGAAGACATGATAATGACGGCGCCAACAATTGACAGTAAGGACGGCATAACTCCGAAGATTAGGCGTTCCAGCATCACAGCGAAAATGACCTGGGTGTACATTCCAGTGACACCACGCGACACAGTTTCTCGTTGCAGTCCCATTGTCAAAAGAGTCTGGAATAGTAATGGATAACTACTATGCAGATGCAGGATCACTAGCACTCACCTGCGTCACGAAGCCAAAGACACCAACCATGAATAAAAGCATCCACCCCCATGGTGTGGGATACACAACCGGGATATTTAAAACAATCATCCTGTTGGAAAGTAGTATTAAATCGGCACGTGAAATGCAGGGATGGATTTGCGAACCCCAATGATGATATGATCGTACACCACAGCGAAAAGAATGTCAGTACATGCATCGGGTGGGCGCGTTTTCCAATTGCACGAATCGACGTATCTGGAAAAAAATATTGATATGCCCGACATGAGAGATTGCATGCATACATGCACCAGTATTGCCGAGCACACTCATCATACATGCGCTACCGAAATATGATGGTGAATTTAGTGGAGTAACATGCAAATAATGGTGCGCACCCAACAGCCGCCAGCCTTTCTGCTGGAGTTCCTTCTGGCAAGTGACCTCCGTTAGGGATGGAGCCGAATAGAAATGGGGGCCTTGTAACGAGAACCACACCGAGTAAACTGCATGCTAGGGACGCCCCTATAAGAAGTCATAGACAACAGAAGTCAGAGAATAACTCTCACCTCCAGCGACAGCTTGATTGGTGGAATAGCTCTCCTTCAGGAGGATGGATCCAGCGACTGCTGTCGTAAGAGGTGTCAAAAAAATCAGGACTGTCGCATCTGCGACAGATAAATGCTCAAGTGACAAATATACGCCGGATAGTCCGAAAAACCTTAGCCAAGAAAAAGATATCGGAAAATTGAAGGTTGTGCGCGTAGAATCAGTACGCACCCAGTAATGCCACGAGTGATCAGTAACGATCGAACATCTTTGGGGCCAGTTATCGGATCAGGGATCCTCATAATAATCCTTTGTATCATCAGCTGTAGGTTGTTGTCTGCGAAAGCAACCAACAGACATGTATGTCACACAACATAGGAATGTGACGGCCTAGGACAAATCGATATTCAACTCGAACCTGGGAACTATTTCGGACATACCATCCTGATTATAATAACCTGTGATCCCGTTCACTCCATTCGACGACCAGAGGTAAGGAAACAGCTGACCTGAAGCGCATGTACTGGAGTCTCCAATCTGTTTAGTATCTTCACAGAAATATACATGCATGCGGAGAAAAACTGTGCGGATATGATGAATAGCATCCCAACATTGCTGGCGATGATGTCTGGGACACTGGGTTGACTGTAGTTCACTATTGCTCCGTCATCGCGTTCAAGTTGGTTTAAGGAAGTTGTGTTGTCAATGAGATGAGACTCGTCAGACTCGCTATCGCTCATCTTCGAGATTCGTGGGGTCGCTCGCTACTAATCAGCGTGGGTATGGTTCCCTTTACATATGTAGCGAAATGAATGTGAGGTGCGGTAGGGGTACATTCGGCGGCCCTAATTGCGTCACGTGCAGTCGAAGCGAAGGTCAATTAATGTAGCCCTGCAGCTGCAGTGGGCAGGGATTCACGAATTTTATGCTGCAGTGAGTAAGTATAAATTGAAGTAATTGCAATCGTAAGCAATACTAGGTATGCAATCCTAGCGAGGTGTGTCAACACGCTCTAAGCGCCATCGCGGAGGCGTCCTGAGTCTGCCATGAGAACAACACGAGGAATAGTAGAGGAGAGCCTTGAGCCAGTGAATATCTGGGAGACAATCGATGTCAGACGAATCAGACGAGGGATCATCCTGCGGTCCGGTAGTCTGCTGTCTAGAGGGGTGCCGAGTGTCATCGACTTTCCTGTATTCTGGTAATTTGGCAGTAGCAAGACGCTATTGGACGCGCATGAGAAACAAGGCAACGAGAAATAGGAAAGATTGTGTTACAGTAAATTTCCGCCCAGGTGCGACTTCAATGACTGGTAGCTCATGTTGGGGTCCGGACCTACGGAAAGAAAGGCCCTGACGCAGGAACTGCGTGATTCCGTTGGAGTGGCGGGGTGGAGAGCTTGTTTCAAACTGGATATGGACTCAGTCATGTATTGTGAATATACTGAAACTGGAGACTGACATGATCAAGCTGAGTTGCGGCCTGCTGCAAGGCCGAGCGGTTGGGAGGCAAGGGCAACGTAGCAGAGAACTGTGAGAATGATCGAGTTAACTCTAACAGAAACGAGTTGAAAGAGACATACCTCCCATAGATCGCGAGGCTGTACAAGAGGAACTGAATTCACGTGAGAAGTAGAGTGGAAGAGTTCGCGGACATGGCGAAGGAAAATGGGCTGTTGATGGCCTATTGTGGGCGAATGGATTTGATGCCTGGGGGAAGAAGATATAATGACAGATCGTTTTGCTGGGGTTCTGCGCACGGCGGTGGGACGACGGGCTGTGTCAGACTGTCCAGAACATTGGCGCATATGCAATAAACTCTCGACGAACATATTCCCCCACTCCACTCTGACATCCAATTTCTGTAATTGAATATCCCAGACCTCAAGGAACATCACCAGCCTTGACTTGACTACGAGCTTCTTCGAGTCCGGGGAGAATCGAATTGCGCCCACGGAACAAACGCTCTTGAATGGACCAGCCACGAGTTTGCCAGTGTCCAGGTTCCATATCTGTGATGTCCATAATGTGACCCACTCACAAGTAGCTTGTTGTCTGCGGAGATGTCAATACAGGTGATACTCGATGAACCACCATGAAATCCTTTCACGATTCCTGTTTCAACCTCGCAGGCTTCCAGCTCAGCTGCACAATCGTAAATTCCACCACCAGTGATAACTCATCGACCATCCCTTGATACCGCCACTACCCATATTTTCTCCTTGCGAACATCTCGCGCTTCCTCAATCTCCTTACCCGACTGCAAGTCCCATCGCCGAGTGGTCTTTTCACCAGCACTGAACATTCGCTGGCCGTCGGGACAGTAGGCTATGGATGTTATTTTCATACTCTCATCGTCATCTGGTGTGGTGCCCTCATCATCCTCCGACGTCTCTATCGGTAAACCCTGCCAGACGAGATGAAAGCTAACGCGAATCGTTAGCTTTCCTCTCGTCTGCTGTATGAATCAATACAATATACTACGCCGATCGGGTCGCGGAACTACAAAATGCTACTCTGGATGGCCTTCGCCAGTTCATCGCTCCACACCCATATTGACTTCTACAGCGAATGATTCCGTCGATGTGGAAACCATGGTCATATCCGCAATCGAAATCACAGTTCAAGCAGCCAACAACGATATTCTTTGGATATGTTAAAAGGAGCTGTGACGCGCTGTCCTCGTGCCCTGAAGTAGTTCTGGTGTTGATGATGACAGCACTTTGCCTACTGAAGCCGATGGTCAGTTCACCTGCGCTGGCAGTTCAAATGAGCTTTCAAAGGCGCTTGCAGAGATAAAGGGCGAGGAGTTCTTGAATCTGGACATGGCAATCTTCTTTGCATATATCCTAACGGGCTCCCACATGGCAGTGCTAGTCGTGTATGTCGTCAATGTAACTGATCGCAATTCAACTTTCCTTTTCCTTGCGTTTCATAGTTATTGCCAAAGTTCCTGTGTTAGAGCATAAATTCCATCAAGTCAGTTCCTCAAATTGTGTACGTGAAACAGGCACTGGAATCATAAGAGCAGCCATATTCCACAGGCAACGTTCGTCTCAAGATCTGATGACAGGATCCACTCTGGTTGTAGCAGCTGCCTTTGAGCATGATACTTATATATTCAAATATTCTATTTCTGTTGATACGGGGATCGTGGCTCTGAATATTCAAGTCGATAGTTAGCATGCGCTGCGTAGCAATTATCACCAAGTATTGGGTGCCACGTCACTGAGTTCCCTCCTTGCCCGGTATCCTAACTCAATGACAGGAAATACACTGCGAAATGGTTAATTTATGATCAACCCGGATTCTAATTCGGCAGTCAAGTTGCTAGCGGAACCGAGTGCATATGCATCGTTTGCGATGGGTTGTTTTCCGATGTTTATCCTGACCTTCTGGATTCAACAATTATAAACAACCACTCCGGAACAGTTCCTAATGAACGAACACCGGATTTCCCAAGGCTTGCTGGCCAGTTGCGCATTGCTCTCTGCAGGCAGGTCAATTTACCAATTACACTACAAATGAATGGTGTTCGCAAACTTTGGGGAGGCGGAAGCTCGTCTACCAGTTCACCAATAGCACAAACACCTGGACCAGCAACGCCTGTAACACCTATATCGCCCGCACCATCAACCACGCCTTCTTTCGAAAGTTCTCCTCTCACGACAACCCCGGGACTTTTCATCAAGAAAAATAAGAAACAGTCATCCGTGGCAACTATCTCGGACGCTGGGAACGGTAACGACATCAACGGCTCTGACCGCTCGGCATCACCTGCTTCATCCCGAGTCACTTCTCCCTTACGAAAACCAGTTCCAACCCCAACTCCAACCCCGGTCCCAGGTCCCTCATCTCCAAGAATTTTACCCCCACTCAAACCACGAACGTCTACAGCTTCAGAATGGAAACGCACCTCGGGATTACTCAATATAAGAGACGACCTCCTCATGAGTCTTCTCACAAGCGAAGCAGTCGTAGAAAGCCGCGAATGCGAGATCTTGAGCGGAGAAGAAGTGGAAGAACTCAAAAAGGTTCGATTTTCATTCGATTTGCGCCTTTATATTTAATTTTAATAAACCGTTCCTTTAGGAACACCAAATTCTTAAGATTCGACTCGCTGCAGCACAGAGGAAGCTCAAGTTAGAAACAAAGATCCGCGATGCAGCTCTATCTCTTTCAAAAGTAAACACCGCGCACAAGAAAGTTTCGAAAGCCACAGACGACCAGCTAGATGCTGCAGAACGCAGAGTCAACGCTGCACAGTCGGAACTTTGGCGCGTTTCAGAGCGAGCAAGTGAAGTCGAACGAAAGCTTTTGGAACATCGTGCAGGCGTGCTCGGTTTCTCTGTCTCCAAGATGGAGAGAAAGATGACGCCTAGCGGGGATGCATCAGGCTTGAACACGCCCAATAAGAGTTCGGCCTTCAGCCCCATTACGACCACCTCTCCGTCACCGAAAGCACGATTCGACGGTGCACACCTATTTGCAGGCCACGCCGACGCACAAATTCCCAGAGCCCCACCATCCGTCGATGACGTCGTCGCGCTCGAAAGCAAGCTCCGCGCTGCCACCGAAGCCCTCAGCATCGCGAACCAGAAACAAGCTGAGATGGCGCGCGAATTATCTCACCTCCGTCTCGAGAAAGAACAGATTGAAACGACGATGGGTATGGAACTTCAGACTGCTGAAGAGACTGTTGCTGCGCTGGAGCAAGAGTTTCCGCGTCTCGAGGAGCTGAATATGAAATGCCAGGAACTACTCGAGGAACGTGCGCAATGGGAAAAAGACAAGACTCTGTTGGCTGCAAGGGAGAAGGAGGTGGAGAGGCTGGAGAGGCGGTTAGAGGTTTTGGAAGAACAGAGTGGCGAAGCGACTGAAATGGAACGCGCACTCTCGGACGTACAGGCAAAGTGCGATGCGGAACTGCAGACAAAGAACGAGGAGATCGCAGCGCTGAAGAAAGAGTGGGAGGACGCAAAAGAGGAATGGGAGGCGGAGAAAGCTGTGATGGAGGAAGATAAACTTGCAGAGCTTGGTGCGCTACAGGATGAGCTTGAGGATGCGAGAGAGGAATGGGAGGCGGAGAGAACTGTGATGGAGGAGAACAATTCCACAGAGCTTGGTGCACTGCAGGATGAGCTGAATGGTGCGAGGGTTGGTGGCGAAGCACGAGCAGAATTGGATGAGAGTATCGAGACACTTCGAACAGTCATGCAGCTGCATGGAATCCAGGTTTCCCCCGATACGTCCTTGCAGGGTCTCCTTGCTTCAGTCGCTTCACACCTTGAAACGTTGTCGGCTGCGCTGCAGGGGCATAGTGATAGGCATGCGCACCTTGGAGATGAGCTGCAAGTGCACATGGAGAAGAACGAAACTCTCTCAAAGGACCTGAATAGCCGTTCGCCTAGAAAGGGACAACGCACAACTTGAAGTCCAATCCCTGGAGTCACGAGTCAAGGTAACATGAACATGCCATTATTTTGCAGCATGAACAGCGCTCATCTTAATCCCAGGAACTCATCGATGCCTCGTCAACACCTACCGACCCCCCAGTCCAATATACAGGCGAAGCAGCAGATATCATCGCCATTCTCCAACCCATCTGGAATATCCTCCCCGCGCCCGAACTCCGCGCCCTGAAACTTAACAGCAAACGACACCTCCGGAACCCTTCCATGGTCTCGAATCTAGGCAGATCATCACCATCACCATCCAAATCCACCCTTTCTGACATGGACGTACGCACGCTCAAATCTCTCTATGACGTCCGCTCGCAACCTCCTCCTACTCCTACTTCAGCAACTAGTCCCCCACCCCCAGACCAAAGAAAAGGCACATTCAGCGTTGAAGCATTCGTCTCGCGCGTTCAAGCGCTTATCATTGACGACCGAGCGCTGATCGAAAGACTGATACGGTTCGCCCAAGCACACGATCTACTCAAGAAAAACGCAGAACGCGCTCAAAAACTTGCACAAGATAGTAATACAGCCCTCGAGACGTATCAGCGGCAGGTATCGACGCTTGAGCGGCAGAATGCTTCTTTGGTGTCGAAGCAGAATGCATTGTGAGTCTTTGTTCGCTTATTTGAGTCGAGTGAATTTTTGAACGGTTTTGTTTGGGTAGGATGGACGAAATACGTGACCTACAAGACGCTATCGAACGTGCGGTCTGTGAGTCCCGTGAGATGGAGATGCACGCTGCAAATCAAGCAGAGACGTGTCGACAGCTCACAGAGGCTAATAGCTCGCTGAGCGCCAAGACACTTAGGCTCGCTGAAGAAGCCGCTGTAGCGCCTGAGAAGGTACGCAAGCAACTTGAAGGTCAACTTGCGGAGTGCACAGAGGCTTTGAGGAAGGCGAGAGAAGAGGTAGATGCGATGAGGATGTCGGAGCAGACGCAGAGGATTGCGTTGTTGGATGAACTTAATTCGATGCAGACGGAGAATGGGAATTTGAGGGCGCAGTTGAGGGCGAAGAAGTAAGTGGGTTGGGTATGTGGTATGCATATCTATGATATTGTATGAATCGGTGCGCTTTATTAAGTTTGTTGAATTCGGATTTTGTTGCAGTGAGAGCCGGTGTAGGGGCTCGATGGAATGTCCTGATACCCAATCGACGGGGAATTTCGTACGGAAATGCAAGATGCAAGATTCACGTTTAGGCCCTGCCAGTGGGGGAACATTTTTGACGGGTAAATCCACTAGTAATAATGCATGGAAGTCGACAATTGATGCTGGAGCCAATAGTATATAGAGGAACGACTATTTTCATCCGTCTATGGTTTGTCTTCCTCAATTTCATCCATCTCTCCGCATTTGACTCCACATTAAGGGACCCGCTACAATTTGACTGCAAGCTTCTTGCCGGTGAGTGACCCCAACCTCACAGACTCTGAGCTTCCCAGTGTAGACAAAGCCATTTACACCTGCAGAGGCAACCCATCGACCATTCCTTGATGCACCCACAGCATATACTTCCAGCTCACAAATATCCCGCATTTCCTGACCCGCTTCTAGGTCCCATTGACGAGTGGTCTTATCATAAGATCCGCTGATCGTTCGCTTGCTATTCGGAAAGTAGGACATGGATGGAATAGCCTTTTTGTGACCCTCCAAGGTCAGCACGTGTGTCAGAGACTCAGAGTCAATTTCTTTGCTGCCACAGTAGCCTGTCGCGATCCGGAATACATGTCCCGTTTCTGCGCTAGAGAGGCTGACAAGTACAATAAGGCTGTTGTTTGGAAGTATTCCAAGGGCTGTCGGTGAGGCTACCTCGTATCCTGTGACCTGAAGTTGGTAGTGATTTCGAAGGATACCCACCTACTGGCAGCTGGTATACTTTGCCTGCCGATGTCGGTCGTCAGTTTGCTAGCCCGGATGAAAGAATCTTTCTTGATTTATACTGCGCCATTACATTCATTGATTTGTTACTCTCTAATAGTAATAATACGATGTCAGCATTGCTGGCTGTATACAAGTAAGTCAAAAGAAGGTCTGAAAGATTGTAGTTCTGCATTCGTCGATCACCAAGCATTACACACTACTGCCAGTCGATATATGCACGCGCTCCTGGAAAGCGACTGAGGTCAAATAAGTTGCTACGTCAGAATCGGTCACGAGCTTAGCGTGATATTCTCGAATCCCAAGGATCAGGCGTGGTCCTAGCACAAACGACTGCACGACATCCAAAATCTGAAGAATGCCATAATATATCTGAGCTTCCGGGGAAGAGGGATCCTGTAGAAATGATGAACCGTGATCATAGGCGGAGGTAAGTGCAAGATTGACGTACCGCTGAGAGTGACGGAGAGAGATTAATAATGAGCTGGAAGCAAGAAACAGCAACAAAGCTACCACGTTCGACCCTTCAGTGAAAAAAAGGAACAATAATCACAATATGAGCTCACCTCGCAAAGTAAAATATGTGAGTTCTCATCAACACCATGAAACAGTCCCTGACAATCCCTGCTGTTGAATGTTGTCGCAGTGCACGGAAGTGTTTGACAACAATCCAGATTGCGAGACATAGTGCGAGCATCTCCCACACAGCGCCGAGTATCCAAGGAATGGAATACAGAGGTATTTTACCTTCCGTGTATTCAATCGTGCATTGATAGGTGCCAGAAAGAACGAGTTCCTCTGGTATGCATCAATGAGCCCCATGTACATTTTTGCCTATCCACAATTAAGCGTACCTCCTAAAGTATGCACCGTTGTCAATACGGCGATCACTCCGTTGAAAATGTTGTCAGCCAGGAAGGCGACAATGAGAAATACCAGGATCTTTCTGGATTGTTGATACATGGCATGCAACCGAGTGATCATGATGACTTGCAGCATGTCTGAGTCCCATCAATATCACTGAGGTCTTGCAACTCACCCCACAGCATTGCAAATACCAAAACATACGTCCAACTACATATGACGGACATAATCCAGCCTGACGAATCTAGTCAGTGACCAAATTCAGGTAGCACACACCCCAAACACTCACATCTGTGGCAGTATAGTGTAGCAGTCATTAGTGAACCAAGAAGTTAGTAAAGCGTACTCACCCCTACAGGGCACCGCGGTTAATTGGAGGGAAATAGTAGGCATCTGTGCAGAAGACTCACTGTATCTGTCAGCGAGATGGTCGGAACACTGTCTGTATGCTGTTGGTTAGAAGAAGCAAAGACAGAAAATGTACTAAGGAGACATACCCAACAGGTTCAGGCTGATTATGAGAGATAGATGATTAGCACAACACCGATTATTTAGCCTTCCGAACATACGCAGCAAATAAGATTCCAAAGTAGCGCACCTAGGATACTCTCAAGTCAGCACAACATGACAACTGTGACAGGCAAGCTAGTACATACACTGAGATACAGAACTGTCATCAGGGACCAGCGTTGCCTCTGGAATGAAGTGTATTCCCATCGTGTTCCTCTGACATGAGACTCTACTCACCCAGATTAATTCGACCTATAAATCCATTCTTCGCGAGATGGTTACTCCAGTTATAGTATTGACATACCTCTGGTCCGAACGTAAGTGCTGGAAAGTGACTACTTTTAAGATATTAGCAGTTCTTCAATATTATCATGCTCACCCCAATCATACACGACTCCGACAAAGGCGGCAACTGCGAACCACAGTCAAGGTTAGATTGAGATATCAGCTTCAACATCCGACTGCCCTCCACAAACCTAAAAAATAGCTGGAAACACGGTATGCATTGATGACCGGCCACCAAGTGGGATCATTTGAGACTATGATCATAATGGTAAAGAATGGGATGTGAGTGGGAGGTGAACTTGGTAGACTTATGGCGATGGCATATATACCACCGTCCAGTGCTTAGATCACCAAAATGACATAAGATGTCCGTTCCCAAAGGTAAAATCAATCTAGGGACTCAACGTAACTGTTGGTTGTGAAACATTTGCACCGGCGGGACACTTGAACACCGAAGGCAAAATGTGTCGGCATGCTGATGCCAGACCATACATAAACCGTCAAAAATGGGGGAAATCCGCACAGATAACTCACGTTCTACTCGTGTGCAAGCACATATCTCAAATTCAATGTCTACTATTCTCGCACTTTGTCCTGGGGCCATCTGTCGCTTCGTGAGCACCTTCTGGCCTCGGTTATCACGCTTTCGTATCAGAAGGTTTGCCAACAATGATAAGCGTAGAATTATCTTCTATCCGGGTCTGCCCATCGTGGAGTTGATGTGGTGCTGATAGGGCATCGGTTTGCACAGCCAGACGTGCTGTCCGCCGAGATATCGATGCAGGTGATCCTCTTTGAGTCATTACCAAAACTGCCCAAACATTGTCACAACGGGTAACATTACCTTATTAAGAATGTTTCACACGATCGAGTGTTATGGCCCATGTAAGATACTAGGGGAGTTCACAGTTGCGTTGGCGAGGCGTTTTTCGCCCGTTTTTCATAAAAGTTTTGAAGTCTGAAAAACACTGAAAAACGTTGGTTGACTGTGATAACCCCGTTGTTCGCGCGCTGGTCAGCAAATTTGTCGCATCACTTGAAAGGGATGCCGAGCCTGCCGACACGGTAACATACATTATGTAATCCATGCAGTGGCTGCGATAACAGCGAGATCGAGTTGGATTTACTGTACCACTTCACCATGCCTCGCAGCACACCACGAAGACAAGCTATTCAGGCTGTATATGATGCTTATGTCTTAAATCTTATCACCCAAACTCAGTCTACAATCAACCATGAGCTGTATGGCTCATCCAATGGATCTAACTCTGATCACTCATCATCATCTGACACTGATGAAAACCTCGAGATCACAAATGCCACTGGTCAGGTATTCCTGCAGCTAGCCAGTGACCTATACTCCCAAAGATATCTGACAGATCAGATCAATATCAATAAAAGTGGACAAGACCTTACTCTCCTCCTCACTGATTGGAAACTCAATCACCCCGAAATCTTCTGCTCATATGTCCGAATGTCTCCTGAGTCTTTCAATGCACTCCTAGCTGCTATTCAGGATGATCCAATTTTTCAGAATAATTTGCAGAACACACAGGATCCTATTGATCGACAACTTGCAGTTGCCCTGTTTCGCTTTGGCCATTATGGCAATGCTGCCACTGTAACAAAGGTTGCACTGTGGGCTGGCATTGGATATGGTACAGTGAGGTTGTATACCAACCGCATCATGATTGCAGTGTGTTGGGATCACTTCTGAAAGGCTGTGGTTCACTGGCCTGATGCAAATGCAATTGAGTGAGCTAAGGAGTGGGTGGAAGAGGCATCTTGCCCAGCTTGGTGACATGGCTGGTTGATGGTGGATGGGACTTTAGTTCCACTATACCAGCACCCTGGGTTTTATGGCAATACCTGGTTTGACAGGAAAAGTAATTATTCAATGAATGTGCAGGTAAGTCAGCCACTAGTACAACTGACTCATATTAACCAAATAAATAAGCTCATTTCAACACCTGACTTGCACATCATTGACTATGGTGTTGGTATGCCTGGAAGTCAACATGATGCAACAGCATGGGCAGAAACACAGCTTCCTCAAGAGCACTCGATCCTACTAGATGATAGTGAGTGGGTTTGGGCAGATTCTGCCTATCCACTGGAAAATTGGTGCCAGTCACCCTACAAAGCATACAAAAATTTTCTACTCTGAGAAAAATAAATACTCAGCATTCCAACAGGCCAGAGAGAGATTTACTGGAGAACAGCCAGTTTAATTATTACCTATCTCATGTCCGAGTCCACTCAGAGCACTGTGTAGGATTTCTCAAAGGATGCTGGTGTTCTCTTTGAGGGCTTCAATTACGCATTGACAAGCCTCAAGATCTTCAGTATGCTTGCCTCTGGGTCACTGCTTGCATCATCCTCCATACCTTTGCAATGGACCAAGAAAGGTCAGATGATGATTTTTCTGCAGACTGGTTCTATCAGAAGGGTCTTCGGATCATGCACAAAGAGACTGTGGAAAGGGCACAATGGCTGGCCAAGCGAGAGAATGATGAATTAATATTTCGGGAGGAGGCATTACTAGAGGGCAAACTGAAGAGGGAAGAACTAAAGAAGGCGATGCTTGCATTCAAGAATGGTAGGGAGATGGAGTGCAAACATGTCAGCCTGAAGACTACTACTGGATTGGTGATTGTAAGATGAAGCTTGTTGTAGACAGGCAAGCTTGATGCGGGCCTGGAGCATTTCACGCTCATGCACACGCTGATGTTCTGCTTCATCTCGTTGATGCTGTAAGTGGAGACACTCGAGCTTAATCATTGCCTTAGCCTTGGCATTCTCATGGCAAGTCTTCTCCTTCGCACTGACAGTCATGACTTTCAACTGGGTGACCTGTGCAATTAGTGCCATCTCCTGAAAGGCAGTAGCAGGGTTCCTGTGACTAGCACTCATTGGGCGAGCTGAAGATGATGAGGTAAAGGAAGATGTCTTGGCAGGTGTCTTGAAAGATGGTGGAGATGGCAGCTGAGGAGAGCTAGGTCATGTAATTGGTTCTCCATCTGACTCTGGAAGGTTACCCTCAGAGTCAAATGTCCAGTTGGGAGATCCAGATCATTGCTGTGCATAACTTAGGCACAAAGTGTGTAGATGTGGCATAGATGACCTACCTTAATATTTGGCATATGCAAAGCATGTGAAGGAGACTCAGAGTCCAGTTCATCCAGTGGAGCTCGATGAAGAGGTCCAAGATCTAACAAAGTAGAACTATTGAGGAGAGCAGATTTGTCGATGATGGGACTCTTCGTCATCAGCTCTTGCATCTGCAAATACCATGGAAATTCTTGGAGGATCTTGTCTAATCTAAACTGAAGTAAATATCTCTGTATATAATAAATGAACTCACCTCGCATGTTAGCTAGTGGAGTACCAGGAGTGATCTTGTGCTGATGGTCTGTCGTGAGCAGACCCTGGCCAGTTTGACCAAGTTCCTGGTAGTGTTTTGAGTAGGATTCCTTGAGGCTGCATGATGATTAGCATTCTGAATCAATTATTTTCATGCAAAACAACTTACTATCTGATTCACTGATATATGGATTTACTGAGTTTCGAGATCTTGATATCCTTCCATCTGCTTGTCGGATCTTCATTACTGAGAGTATCAAGCAAGAGTACTTTCTCTGCAATACGTTCAGTGTGCTCCTTCACCTTCTTACCACTGGAATTCACAGATCTTGCATCACCTTTATCAAACCCAAAGGCAACTTTGTAAGTCACATGCTTGGATATAACTGTAAGCAGCTTGTCCATCAGAGTGGACATGTTTGGGTCGGACCAGCTGCAAAATTCAGCTAAATATAACTGAAATTTTGTGCACTTACTTGACAACTCTTTGGTTGGAACTGGCAGCAGCTTTCTTGACGGACACTGCATCACCCAAGTCAAGGTTGACTTTGGGCCTCCGAGCAGCCTTCTTGGCCTTGGCGACAAGCAGTTTTGCAGCCAGGAGTTTGCTGGGCGAAGGTGGCAGAGAATCAGCATGCTTCCCGCGCCCTGATTGAGTGCGGATGGGTGCCATAACCTTGAAGTGTGTCACCACAGTGCTCAACTAGAACGGAGCAGTCCAATTGGAGATTGAGCGGAATTCAGACTCAGACGGAGCATGCCGAAGTTAGGATTTCTAAACCATTGGTCACTGAGGTGACAAACAGAGGTGGACAACAAAGTGACAAATTCAGCAAAAAACACCTCGCCAATGCAACTGTGAACTCCCCTACTATCTCTGGCCCAGAGTTGCAAAATGTTCCGAGCAGTTTTTCATAACACAACAACTACACAGCATTAAAATAAGGAAACAGTAGGAGTACGTAGGATTTTATGCAGACTTTAAGGCTATGTAAAAAAAAATAAAGAAATTTGTCAAGGCTACATTGCCAGAGAGAAGCTGGTGTGAAACAGCATTTGAGTGCAGAGTTGCAAAATTTCCCACCTGCATAGAAGTCATTGTGTCACACTATGTCATGCTGCAGTTTTAATTCTCCGATGAATGAAACCGGCACATTTGACAAGGATTCTGAAGGCTTTTGTTCAGCATTGAAACTCATATTTCTAACATAAAAGTATGCTTTTGTACTGTAAGGTATTAACTAGATAGGTATAATATATTATGGGTGACGTTCGAGAAAGCCCCTGACCCACTTGTCATGAGGCTTAGTTTTGCCATGACACAATACAGCTGCCTTGCTTTGAATTGTGCACTTGCTGAGTGGATGCCCCATGGAGCTGAGTAATTTGATCCAGTCAACAAGCACATTTTCTGATTCCAGTGATAGGAGCTGTTGCTCAATATGAGCCTTGTGGTATGACTGACTCTTGCCAAGATACTGCCACTGAAGGGTGTTGTATGGGACTTTGTGCTCTGTTGCAACAGCGCAAATGTTAGGAGAAGGAGAAGCATGTAGAATAGTGCAGGCATGTTGAATCTTATCTTCAAGCTCTTGAGAAAACTTGGAGGGTTGGTTTCTCTTTGGCATGTGACCAGCACTGCAAGACTGTTCACAGATATGAGTGAGTGTGAGCATATGTGTTAGCTGAGTTGCCAAGTGGTGCTTTACAACTCCAAATACAAGCTCACCCCTCCTGTCACATTTTGCATCTCAATAGTACAACATTTATGGCTCTCAACATAACACAGTTTTCATGTCAGAAAAAATTAGAGCAGTGCTAGAAGGCAATGTAGAATCACTAGTAAAATTTCTGAATTTTTTGGCACATGTAATGGCTCTCCTCTGACAGATTGGTGCAGAAAGTGCATGTTCCACACTGTATTTCACTGCCACAAGCACTTCCAGTTCATTTTTCATGAAATAAAAAATGAATACAGCAAGCTATATACTAATCATCCTCTAGAATCATTGTGCAAAGGAAATGAGTAGAAGATGAGCATGCTACATTGTGATTTGCAACTCTGGGCCAAAGATAGTAGGGCTTGTGCATAAACCACCAATGTGTGACACATTGTGACTGACGGTGACCTGATGTGATCTCTAAGCACTAGTGGCAGCCAAATGAGCACTATGTAGTGTAACATCCATACTGAGTATCATATAAACTATGCCATCAGATAGTGTATGCAATAAGAGGCAAGATGTATTGCTCATTATATAGTGAATAATGGTCAAAAGTAATAGTCTAAAATGTCAGATTCTGACTATCTCAAGCTTGGTAAGAACAGAGTTAGGAAGCACTTGATGACTGTGATATTTCTTGGTGGCCCAAGCTGCTTGCTTCCCCAATAAGCCTTTTTGGTAGGCATCCATAAATCTATGAGAACACTGTGCATATCTGAGGTTCAGGTGAGATAAAACCAACATGAAAATCATCAGGGGCTCACTTTCACATCTGTTCCACAGTCACCAAGTCCAGTGCATCAACCAGGTTCTTCTCCAGGTCTCCTTCACTTGATGATGGCAGTTTTTGACAGTATATTCACTTTGCATGGCCCCAGCACTGTTCAATAAAGTTAAGCTTGCAGTGGAATTTAGGAAGGAAAAGAATGCTAATGCTGTGTGCATCACATGCAAGTTCAAGTGTAGATTTCACATTGATGAAGTCAGCTTCATTGTACAGCATCCATTGACAGCAACAATTTGGGATGCCAGGTTTGCAAGTGAAGTTAGGCTTGCACTCTGCCCAAACCTTTGACATGTCACCATAACTGCATTCCTCAAGGATTGTTGCCATACCCTTGAAAATACCCTCGCATGCATAACCCTCAGGGAAATAAAATGGCTGGGCAGAACCATCTTTTAAGGTGCCATCAGCCATGCACATTTTTGCCTTTGACGGCTTCCCATCAGTGCCATAAATGATCTTGCCTACTGAGTTCCTTGTGGTCACCTCAATGCCCCAGTTTGTCCCAATTCTAGGTATCCCCTTGGGCATCTTCCATGTGGACAATGAGCCATCAGGGCACTTAAGGTGAGTTGTTGCATTATCAAAGACAAACATATGATCCTCATTCAGCCAAGAGGCTTGACCAATATCCATTGCCTTCTGACATTGTGCAAGGATTTCCTCATTTGAGAAATACCCATCACATGATTTCCCCACTTTAAATAATACCTGCACTGACTCTTTTCCATCAGGTGATTGCAACCAGCTGTGATCTGTGGATATGAAGTCTGCCACCATCAAAGAAGCCCCTTCTCCTTTGGCATATGGAGTGGTGCTGGTGTTTTTGTGTACCCATCTTGACTTCCTTTGATCATTAGCATAGAATGTGCTTTTGTCATGGAACCAGACACATAAGGGTTGCTCAGCACTGCAGATTTCCTTGAGATTTGTTCCCCAGGAACACATTTTTCCTTCCTCTGCAGCCCATTTCCTCAAGAAAATGTTTTGACAGTAATCAACAACATCATTGCACTCATGACCATCAACATATTGACCACAGTGATTCTGGACCCAACAGTAGTCCATGAGCTTCATCCAGCATTTTGCAGTTGAGAGGGAGATAGTTTTCTTCAACTTCAGTCACATTTTGATTTCCTCCCTGTCCAGATACTCCATGACATCCTGTGCTTGGACATAGGCACCAATGGATTGAAGATGTTCATGGATCTCATTGGCAAGGTCATTGGTGTCTTAATAACTGAGGGTCTTATATAAATGCATGTAAAATGTAATGACACCACACTTACACTAAGATAAGACTTCTTGCCAGTCCTTGATTAACACAGTCTACGACTTTTCTTCTTTTGTGGTAGATAACATGTGAGTTCTTGGGAGGCTCGCTAAACCAATCAATGTGATTAACTTGGCCAGAGCTTTTGTGTTTTATCCCAACTTATAAACTTGTCTAGGATAAACTGTCTAGACACTGGAATGTGGTTCCTTGTTAAGATAATTCTCTGTAGAGACAACAGTCTCAAATACAAATTATGTTGACCAAAGACTGGTTGATCAATAGGCACAAAGTGGTGAGAAACTGGTCTCACAAATGAACAGATTGACCAAAGCTTGTATTGGTCAATATCAGAAAACTAGGTGAGAAGCGGGTCTCACAAACAAACAGATTGACCAAAGCTTGTGTTGGTCAATATCAGAAAACTAGGTGAGAAGCTGATCTCAAATAAACTGAGTTTCTATTGTAAGAAACTTATGTAATCTCAAGGGAATGTCTTTTCCCTGCACTTGGTACTTCAGAGGGGCTTTCTTTGTAAGCAACAATCTTCACAGTGAGTAGCTCAAACTGAGATTCAAATGATTGCAAGTGGAAGATCCTATTTTTTGGGGGGGGAGAATGGGCCCTCCTTATATACATTTTGTGTGGGAATATTATGTAAGTAAAAAGCGGAGCAATGACATCAGAAGTGGAGCAGAACATTCTAGAACAAATGACATCATCATGATATCATCATGACATCATAACTTTCAACAGAATACTTGCAGGAGTACCTATGGAGCCATATGACATTCTCATGACACCATACCCTGTAGGTACAATTTTGTGAAGTATCTGATGGGTCAGAGCATCCCAATAGAAAAATAAATCAAGGAAATACTAGAGAAAACAACTCAGAAATAATAATACAATAACAAGACACAAAACACAGGCTTTTTAGATAGGTTTTTTTTAGGCTTTGAGCTTTTCTCTATGGTTTTCTCTAGCCAAAGTGAATAAGCCAAAGGCAAGGCAATACCTTAACCATCTTATTGCTTCACAATATCAACTAGGTCATTATGTGATTCCCATCTCACAAATGACTTTTCTTCAAGATATAATAAATTCATGAATCACAGAGTGTTATGAACTAGGATAGTTCTAACGACAGATGACTCAATAGGAGTCAAGACCTCTGCCAAGTTTCTATGCAAGATGATAAGTCAAGCGTTCAGTGTAAGCTAAGTCAGAAGGAGTGCTTCTAATTTAAAGTACAATTCAGATGACAAGAGATTGGAGGTCTCAAGCGAAGGATGTTTCAGGTAAAACCTAGTAAGATTAAAGTGAAGAACTACAAGATACATCATCGACTATATATAGTAAACATAGGTGGTTTAGGGCAGGTATGGGATCGACGACGAGTCAGAGATAAGAAAGGATGCATCAGTGATCATGATGTAATACAAGATATGAGTCAGAGATAAGTCTAGTGGCAGCATCATGTGGCTTGTGACATAATACAAGGTAAAGAGAGAGAAAATGAATAGGGGCGTACATGATTGTAACATTACTCCTTGTTTGGAGACAAAGTCACCAACTTTAGTTATCCTGGTTAGCCCAGTAGACCAGGTCAGTGTCATAGTTAGAGTCCAATAAATCATCCTGTTCTTCAGTAACAGAAAACTGCAGTTTATCAGTGATCTCAGTGGCATGATAAAGAGCATCCTGCTTGGTTTCCCAATGAGAGAGAGATTCGTAGAAACCCAGATCAGTCCAGATCAGCAGGATAACTGCATTGCCTTTCAGGTCTTTACAAAAGACCAATAGATGTCCAGGTGCATAGGCCTTGCAAACCCAGCAGTAGTACATCAGGCAATTCTTGTGACAATGTCCAGTGGTATGGCAGTTGCAAC